TCGAGATTTTCAACTGGGTGCTTCAAGCTGAGGAGAGCGCCACAGCCTCTGCCGACCGGGAGGTCGAGTCCTGGTTGCGTGACATTCCTGAAGAGGACCAGGCATTGGAACCAATGCACCATGACAACGCTGATTCGGACGATGAGGCTGTCAAAGTTCAGGCCCTCACCATGGATGATCGAATTTTGGCGAGGCGAAAAGGCCTTTCAGAGGAGCACGACCAAGAATGGCAAGATGCCACCTATGCGGCTGAGGATGAAGACGAGGACTTCAAAGGGTGGGACCTCATTGAGGATGACAAACGCCCGCCGGGAGTCGTGGCCAATGACCCAGTACATGAAGAGGAAAAGGAGCTGGACCTTGACGACCTCGAGACGGTGGCTTCGGTGGAGATTGTCGATGAAGAGGAGTTCCACGACGCTGAGGAGGGGCAGGCAGAGCCGATTGATGATGATGACGATGACGACATGGCCGTGATCGACAAGGTCTCTTCTATGCAGGCCTCGAAGTCTGATGCACGGGGGGACCCGGAGCCCATGGATGTTGATGATCAGGGCAACAAGATGGTCCAGAGTACGGCATCGGCGAAGACCTGGAAGACGGAGATGGCCCAGAGCTCGTCATCGGCAAAGACGTGGAAAACTGACATGGCTCAGAGCACCTCATCTGCAAAGACATGGCGAACTGACACCACTGCAGCTGCGTCGGCGGGAGCCACGCCTTCTGACCCGACGTCCAAGCTCAAGCCCAAGAAGAAGGCCATGCCAAAGAGATTGAAGGTTGTGGATGAGGGACATGGGCCAAGTGCTGAACAGTTTGACACGTCGAAATTTGCCTCAGCACAGGATCTGGTATGGATTGAGCCGGACAACATGGCAGGAGTTCCTGTGCGCAAGGTGGACTACGGGAGGCTTGGATCAATTTCCCATGCTATGTCCGACTACCTCCGTGGCCATCGATTGTTTCACAGGAGGCCATCACCTGAGATTCGGAGGACTGATTTGTCAATGGACTTCAAGGCATTGGTGAGGCATCTCCAAGGAGATTTTGCGCACCTTCGAGAAGAAGAAGTTTTGATGGTTGTGCGCAACTCTCCGATGCGTCGCTTCAGAGTCCAGGTGAACGGCTTGTCGTCCGGAAAGCTCAGGTGGACGCCAGTGAGGATCAGGGCCATTCAGGGTCATCGGGCCTTTCTCGTGGAGCAAGGGGGGATGTCAAGCATGATCAAGACGATGTTCACTTTTGATGAGAACTTCGACCAGACCAAGATCGACGACCCAACGGTCCACCCCGCATTCTCCGCGATGCCGGAAGGCTCGCCTGTGTGGCACAAGTTCCCCAGAGTGGTGTATCACACCTGTGACCAAGCCGCCTTCAATTCCATCATCAAGCACGGCCTGATCCCTGGCGGATTCCCGTACAAAACGGGCAGAGCCCACAACTTTTTCAACTCCACTCCGCCCTGGAAAGCGGAAATGAAAAAGTTGCAAGGTACGCGGGCCGGGAGGCCAATCGCCATCGCGTTCGACATGGAGCTCATGATGCAAATGGGCTACAAACTTTTCGCGACTGACGAGGCCATCCTGTCGCCAGACTGGATCTCGAACCAGCCGATGATCAACGCCTTTGATATGCGTTCGGGCGAATTTTTCCTTATCAGCAGGGCTTATGTCAACCATCGGAAGGCTTACCAGGAAGTCCTCAAGCAGGCCAAGGCCGAGTTTGATCCGACGGATGTTCTCATGAGCCGCATGGAAATGTTGATGGAAAATGCCCAGTTGAACTTTGAAGGCATCAAAGAGCGCATTGAGTTCGGCAAGCTCCTCCCCTTTTCCAGGCGTGAAGACATTGAAGTCGAGAAGAGTACTGCCACCCGGGAGGGTGAGCCGGCATCAGGTTCTCAGCTGGTGCCCGGCTACACCATTGGAAAAATGGCCGCCATGACAAGCACGGATGCCTGTGGCTTCCAACGTCGTGGACGGAATGGACCCGGTGGTGGAAATTGGAGTCGAGGGCAAGGTCGACACGGATTTGAGTTGCAATTCAAGGACATTTCCTACAACCAGATCCAAGACACGCCTCAGGTACGTTGTGGCCATCCGATCTGTGGATATCTGATGATGGATGGGCATTTGAAATGCCCGCGCTGTTTCCGGCAGATGGAACCCGTGACCGATGCCAACATCGCCACGGAAGTTGCCCGCCGGGAGGCGATGGCCCGTACCAGAGGAGTGCCCTTCTCCATGGACAAGGTGATCTTCAACCACCCGCGAAGAGGCAGAGTAGCCAGGCAGCCGGAGAAGGGATCATCGTCTTCTTCGACAGCCATCCGGACCAGAAGCACCTATGGCAACTTGAGAGACATGGCCAAGAACTACGTCAGATCTTTCAAGAAAAGGGGCTTCAAAGACCTTGTTGACCGACTCGTCCGCGACCCGTTCTTTCAGTTCAATGCGGCGAATCAAAACTTGGTGCCGGAGGCCTTGCTCTTCATTGAGCGTTTGGCTGGCTGCGTGAGCCCGACCATTGAGCGCACCAAAGCTCAGGTTCTTGGTGAAAAGCTTGAGATGGCCACCAAGTTGATCTTTGTGCCATCGTCGGAGCGGGAGCCCGACCAACCCTTGGATCTTCACACCGAGGTGTTTGTGTCGCATCGGGGCGTCTTTCTCGACATTGGCCAATTCGCAGTCTACGTGGCGAAGTTCATCAAGCCAAGGCAAAGACCTCTACCCATTGTTTATGGATGGGGCAATCGTGACTTTGTGCCTGATGCTTCAGATGCCAAAGAGATCGCGAAAGAATTGGTGGAGTTCAGCAAGCTGCAATGGTCGAACTTTGCCTCCCAACAGACGCACAAGGAGTCTGAGACCACCGGCGACGACCGGGAGGTCAGTCTTCCTCATGCAAGTGCAGCCATCAGCCAACCTGAACATCAACGACCCCATCACGAGCAGTTTGAACCGAATCTTGGCAAGCCTGCTCGCGGCGGTCCTTACGGCCAGGGTGGTGGTGGTGGAAAAGGTCATCACAAAGGTGGAGGACAGACCAAAGGGAAGGGACAGCAGAAGGGGAAGGGCAAGCAAGGCAAAAGCCCACCGGGAGGTGTGGCCTACGGTGACTTTGAAGGAGATTCCTTCTGGGTTCAGGGCTATCGCTACACGTGGTACTGGAATCAACAGCGAGGCTGGTACTGGCGCTGGACCTGAACTATGGGATGACTCGCATTGACACTTAGGTCATATCTTTCCTTTTTCAAATTTGCTTGCCGGGAGGCATGCCTGTCTATGACAAACTTGGCAGGCATTGCACCCATTGAACAAACCAAAGCTTTGACGCACATTATGCATTATTCCATTCAAGTGAACTTCTATGCACAAACTTCTGCACAGTTTGAACGAATTAAAATATCATCCATAACTTCTCAAGCCATACAATTGGATGTTCAAGGCAAGGACTCAAATCGATTTGCACTTTCATGGCTGTACAGTTTTTCCATGCCATGGTGTCCGATTGGGATGACAATAGAGGAATGGTATTGTTCCTTCATTCCATTTGAAGACGCCTGGCGGGAGCCAAGGCCGTGCCGTGTGCAACCTCGAGCCAACTCCGGCGTAAAAGAAGCATGCAAATTGCATTCGAGCATTCGTCCATCACCTTGACATCCGTTGCAAACGAGCCCATTTCGCATTCGGCATAGGATTAGTCATTGAACATTTTCACATTGACTCAGGTCGATTTGCAGCGGCGGACTACAGGCACATTATTTACCGTAACTGCCAAGCAGTTGCGGTAAACGGGGGGTGTTTTTACGGGAGTACTATTTGGTATTCCCCATACCTCCCTGTAAAGTAGTGTCTGTTGTCCATTGTAATGTATCTGTTACTTCATGGCTCAAGCAAAACAGTGTGCGCGCTTACTGGCTGATTGTGGCTTGATTTCCTACAAATATATATATATATATATATATGTATGTATTATATATGCATAAGTATATGAAAGCGCGCATTCCTCCAAGGAGCTTTGTATTGTGCACAAAATGCAGCACATCTAATGTTGACTTCGAGACGTATATGTGTAGCATGCCCAAAAGAGTTTCAATCCTCTCTTGTGGAGGGCAAAATGCCAATGTAGTGCTGGTAACATTCCCGAGAAAGAACATCGTCTAAAGAGCACACGGGGTGACAGACACAAACAATATCAACATATATCAACCAATGGTATGAACAATTTGTAGGTGCAGCTGATTGCCGCTGTGCACAGGTGATCCATGGTGATCCACTGCCAAAGTCTGCCACGATTGCACTTGTTGCTAGGACTGGGGCGAGCTGTCGGAGAGTGCCGATTATCTGAAGATCATCAAGACAGGCCTTGCATATGTGTTACATACAGACGTGATGCATTGTGATGCCTTGCTTCAGTTTCACACATATAACTTTGACAGTGCATAGGGGCCGCACTTGAAAGTCAAAGCATGCTTGTGAGGCAAGATCCTATCCGAAGAAAATGCGCCCCTTCTGGCCTTTCAGCAACTCAAAGCCTTTTTTTTGATTGTTTCGAACGCTTATCCGGGAAGGTACAAAGCATCCGCCGAATTTTCCAGCATCTCAGCGACCCTGAGAAACAGTACATTCAGAAGGCCTCTGGAGCGAAGCCGTCAAACTAGATTCTGGCAGACTTTACAAAGTTTCGCGGAGGATCTCACTATCATCGCAAAAATGAGGTATTATCGGTATTATAGTATTGCACGCACACACACACACAGCTCTCTCTCTCTCTCTCTGTCTATCTATCTATCTATCTATCTGTCTATCTATCTATCTGTCTGTCTATCTATCTATCTATCTACCTACAATTTATTTTTCCATTTTATAGATCTATGATCGCGGTCCCCTTCTCGGTACCCCTTTCTTGCCTGATTGTGGAAGAGCTCCTCCACAATTACTATACTTTGAATCAATTGCTTCTTTGCAGATCATTCCAGATCCCTGTTGATTTGCAGCATGCAGTGTTGCAGTGTTCACCGAAACGATTGTGTGCAGTCTCGGCAGGATGAAGTGTATCAGGCCTTGGAAGAGTTTGGCATCGAACTCAACGAATTCTGGGCCGATGATGTCATTTCTTGATTTGGCTCAAAGTTGCTGACCTTTTTGGCTCAGTTTTTTTCTTCACTTCTAAGGCATTTTTGAGGCGGACAGGAGCTTGGTGTCCAGGATCACCAACGAGGCATGGCATCAGAAAGGACACGTTTCAGGATTGCTTGTGCTGCTTGCGCAGCTTTGACAGGCGGCGCCCTATTCGCAAGTGGATTTGAGGGACCTCACTGACATCATTGAGCCACTTGCATCAACTTGTGTTTGGCTGATGTGGTTGAAAAACTTGCTGAAGTCGCCATAACATGGGAATCCAACCATGTCATACCATGCCCACTTCCAAGGAAATGGCTGGCCAAGGAGTTGTGACCTCAGCTTCAGCCATAGCTATTTTCATGGCGTTGCTAGTCCCAGATCTTGAGTGAAACACGAGAGAGTGGTCTCATAATCCTGAGCAACGACCATGATGAAGGAGGATATTTTACCAAAGGTTATCGAAGATTCGATTTGATTCAATTATAGGCCAGTGCAGCACATAGGACTCGCGACAACTAGTTAAAACACCCAGGCAGGAGTTTATGCACGAGACCTTCAACTTGATGGACAAGGTCGCGGCCGATGATCCAGAAAAACCTCAGAGCGCGAAGTGATGGATGCACTGTATAGTCACTTTATAATCAACATGAGTTGAATAAGTTGTAGATTCAAGGCACGAGGTTTCGATGACTCCTACTGTGAAGCTTTGCACGGTCGGGCCAGCTGCTGTCAAGCAAGACATCAGCAGGATGGCAGCGGAACAGTCTCAGCACAAGAGCTTTTCCAGTACCTGGCAGATCCCTTGGAAAGAAACAGAGGAACAGCTACAGCAAGAACTGCCCAACCTGTGCTTTTGCTCGTGGCAGATCTTGTGGTCTCTTGAAAGTATTGACATCCATTGACCGATTCATCCATACAATTCTTTACTTGCTTTGCTTTGCAGCACCTGAGTTTATACTTACCCTACTTGCAGGGGTCTGTTGGCATCACACCGGTGCGAAGTCGAGTGAGGGAGGTGCCGGTGCTGGCCATTTAATAAGCGCAGAATATACATAATAAGCACCTTAGCACCTTAGCACTGACGTGACCAGTCCAAGTCCTTGGGAGTGCTGGCAGCGCGGCAGGTAACTCAGCTGGTAGATCCTGACTCCTCGGGTGCCTGGACTGCGGAAGGGCATGGGAACAGACAGGATTAGTTCTGGAAAATATTGTGATTATTGTGAGACGTTTCTTGGTTTTACGGTTTGCTATTTTTGCAGTTGTTTTTTTAGCAGAAAAACCTTGAAGCACTATCACTAGCATCCATGTGTGTCACGCATGCGAACACGTACCCCCCAGTGGCACTGTCCTGCTCGTGGCATGCTGCGACCGGCTCGTTGCAGGTCGCTTTGAATTTTCTCAGATAGTCTCGTGCTAAGACGTCCTTGTTTGTCACACTGTAGAGTCAAGACAGATGATTTGAACCGACAGGCAGGCTGCCGGCCGTCACTTTGAGTCATCTCGCATTTTGGGCTTGCAGATGGCAGAGAAGAAGCATGCGCCATGCGGTAATGGATACCGTACCGCTGCATACCAGTAGATGCAGGAAATGGTGGTGACCACATATGATAGATTTGACAACAACATCATGAGCCCCGAAACTGAATCAGACTTGCTGGATGCAATCTCCCCCTTCTGCTTCGTTTTTGACAGGGATTTCATCTAAAGCTTCCTTTAAACGTTTTTCCCCACATCTCCTCTTTCTACACAGAACTCAGAAGGCAAGCGACGGAGCATATCCTGGTATGAAGCTGCGTAAAGACAATTCTGAACACCTCAGCCATCCTCAGCCTGTCATGCTGCTGTCAAGAGCTTCATGCTGTCGAGCTGTTTGCTTCACCTGGCCTCTAAGTGCCTCAGCCGACTTCAGCCCTTTGGTCGCTCCGTGGCCATGGCTTTTCATAAACACAAGGCCCGCAAGGCTTCTTTGGCGCTTGCAGCTACGCTGGCTATGCTTGTGCTTTGGCAATCTGCAGCTCAGCGAAATGAAAGCTTCTGGAGTGCACGCCCACGCCCAGAGCACTGAGAGTTTGCTCAAAAACCAGGTCCAAGCCTTTGCCGTTCGGCGGCAGCTGCCAATGATGGCGCTGTACTTAGGCTCCTCGTTTTGGCTTCTTAAGCCGCTCCGTTACATACTCGTGTGCTCAGTTTGTTTGGAGAAGGCTGTTTGTCCATTTGACTAACTATGTGCTGTACCTATCAATCCATTTGTCCATTTGGCTAGAGAAAAGGACATGGTGTGTAGGTAGATTGGAGGCACGTTTGGATTGCAGGAGCCTCGCCAGCTTTGGCCCAGGCACCGGAGCAGGGCAAAACTGTAAAACATTGTAAAACACGGCCACATGGCATTCTTTTTCAGGATGGGGAGCTAAAGCGAAGAACCGAAATGCATCGAAATGCCTCCTGTTTTTTTTCCTCCGGATCCTTGGACGAAGTTCGTCAGAGTGCCGCCTTTGATATGTTTTTTTTCTTCTTGCATGCTTCTTATGGCTTGCAAGCGCGCCAGGATGGCATGGAGCAATGGCAAGATTTAGGAAGCCGTGGGCTCAAGTACATCGATTTGCGCCCTGGTCCGCGGCTGAGTGACACCTTTGAAGAAGGGACGGCGCACCATCCTGGAATAATTGGAATCCACACCTCACTGTGCGGATGGACCAGTGGACCCTCCCCAGCTGTTTGAGGCAAAGGTGCTGAAGCTGACAAGGAGCATATCCAAAAAGCTCTTAGGCTGTTCAGTGGAAGTGGCTTCATTGATGCAGGACGCCGTTGTGCGGGTACAATGGTCAGGGCGATTGTACAGTCGCTCGACTTCACTAAGTAAACAATCACACTGATCAGATATGACCTGAGAACATTTTGCCACGTTACAAACATTTTGATCTTCCAGGTCAGGAGATATGGACATGCACACTGCGGGTGTCCATGGTAATTGCTTGGAGTACTTCAGAGGAGTACGTCCGATATAATGATTCAAAAAAGCAGCCACTACCGACTACCTGCATATGTTATCATATGTTCAGAAGAGTGATAAGGACCAAGAGTCCCCACAAAAAAATGTGTAATTGATTGTAATTGTATATGCGCATACTGTTAGATGCTCATTGGAAACAAACATGGCCGCGAGCCACAGCGTTTGTTATGCCTGTAGCCTGTGCAAATGTGTTTGGATGTTTTTATCTTGATTTAACAGGACCGCCACACAAACAGGATTTATCATGCCAGAATACGGCGGACACGGAACCAGATTTACGTCGCCCCAAACAGGCTGCAGACGGCTATTGGTTCTAAGGCAAACAAGGCTGGACTTATGGCCGTTGCAATGATCCGGAGTGCGAGCTGCGCTTCAAGGCCTGTCGGTTTTTCATGTCGCGTTTGAGAATTTATTCTGATTTTGTTTTGATTTTGTTTGTGTCAGTGTGCATTCCTTTTGCTGAGGTCGGGGATGGAACAACCATCGCCGGACTAGATGAGGGCATTCGAGGGATGCGAGAGGGCGGATATCGGCGCTTCCTCATCCCGCCACAGATCGCATACCAAGAAGGTGCAGCTTCAGCAGTGGTAACCATAGCCGCCATAGCCGCCATAGTCGCCATAGTCGCCATAGTCGCCATAGCAAAGTGTTGCATCGTCCGGTTGATCATTTCAGATCCGCAGGGCAGGAGCTGCAGCCGCTACCTGAACGGGATGACTTGAAGAGGAATCAAGCCTTGACGATAAGTACCAGCCAGGGTTAGAACAATGAAGGCTTCGGTTGTCCAAACGAAGGTGCAGAGAAGGGATGCTTTGTTTGATCATGTTTGATGGGCCTTTGACGCCTACTGTCAACACAACAGAATGACATAATTCCTGGAATATCCTGGGATGATCTGGCAGATGGGTTCTGCTGTAGGCAATGCAACCTGTTGCGATAATGGTTGATACATGCCGTGCCGTGCGTCTGATCAGGAGACTCTACTCCACTGTTTTCAACAAGGTGCGTATCGCCAATGGTGAGGCCTGAACGCGCGGAGTCCGACAGCCATCCTGAAGGGCAAATTAGTCTCCTAGCGTTCTCAGATTGTTCTCAGCCTCTTGCCAGGGGGCTACGCTTGGTACCATTGTGCTGGATGTTGTCCTCAAAAGAGTGGCTGCACAAACTTGACCAGAAAGGAGTCAGAGTGAAAAGGATGGCATTGCACGACAACAGCTCTGCTTGCAGTTGCATGAATCTTCAGGTACTGAACGATGCAAGCTGCTTCGAACTTTGTTGCTTTTGTCCACCAATTTTCTTTCGCCACCTTTTCCGCTGCTGTTTCTTGAATATACATCAGCTTCTCATGTAGCATGTTCGGCATTGTCCTCTGCCTTTGCGAGGATTGAGGTGGGTGTAGTACTGTAAATGGTCAGGATGGGGATGTCATTTTTGACTTGATTTTGTTAGCAGCTTGGCGCTCGAGTTCTCTGGCAGGTCAGATGGCGCCCCAAGGCAACAATTTCGATGACTTTCAGTTCATTGGATACGGGATACGTATGGATACGCATGGATACGTAGCTATGCTGCCTTGACTTTTGAAAAAAATCGGCGCCCAGCCTGGCAGCGATTGATCGAACTGGCGAGGCCACCTCTTGTCCGGATGGGTGTCCTCTTTCGAGGATGCAGACGCGCCCTCAGCAGTGGATGGCTTGCACCGCTTGGGCAATTGCTGGGCTGGGAGCGTGGCCATGTCACCAGGGGAAAGAAGCAATGGCCATGAAGCAACCGGAGCCAGTTGGAGACAGTTTGCCACTGGATATTCATGTGGCTTGGCAGCCCTACTTGGATTTTGGGTGCTATTTGCACAGACGCTTCACTGTTTTGTTTCTTTTTTTTGTTGTTTGTTTGTTTGTGTGTGTGCGGGTGTTATGGACCCTTCATAATCCTTCACGCAAACACACACACAGATATATATATATATATAGATACACTTCACCAGCTGGTTGTCTCACTGAGTTTCTTCCCTGCATAGTCTTTGATCATTGAATGATGGCATGCGCGTTACATTTGGCATTTGCATGCATTTCTGACATTGAGGTTATCATCAAGAAGGCAGGTCACGCCCTCATGCCGTGTCGGCTGTCCAGCTGCTTGCTGCTTGTCCACATGCTTGTGCAACTTTGTCCACAGTGAAGATAGATGGCCACCGCAGGCTTCGGGAGGCATTGGCGGAGTGCAGGTGACAAAGCCATCAGGCAGCTTTCTACAGATTCTGTGAGTCCATCTCCGAGGACTGATGAATTCGGATGAATTCTGTACCCCTGTCATCCCCTGTCCAGATAGTGCTGGCATCGTGGCCGGAGCACCTGCGCCCAAAGCAGCCATGTCCCTTCTGGTGCCAAGGCTTCACCAAGACTGCCAGTAATTGAACATATTGAAACATGCTGTGTGAATCCAACAGGTGTCCCATGCCAGAGCGAGGAACACGAGGCTGGGCTTGAAACAAAGCAGTGTCATGATTTGTACCACCTTCAGATTGAAGAGCAGCACAGTGCTGCGCTTTTGGTGCAGCCCGCAGGTAGATGGCGCAAGCTGTCCCAGTTCCTGTGAGCGCCCAGCAATGCACGTGCAAATCTGTGCATGCTCTCAGGGTCGGCGCTCAGTGAGAAAAATTGACCGCCACCACATGGGTAACATCCAGAAGTGGCTATTGAGTCGCAAAAAAGTCTGCTGCGCACCTGCTCCCTTGTACGGATGAATGCACATGCCTTGTTTGTGGGTTTGTTTTAGCAATCCACAGCTTTTTGATTGCTGCGCCGAGGTTCAGCTCATCCTGCTGTATAGGCACCTGCAGCACCAGTGAACTTTTCAGATCTCAGTGATCTCAGCAGAGATTCTCAGGAAGTCTTAGGCACATTTTTGCAACATGTTTTTGCAAGATTTGCAGGCACACTGAAGGTTTCAGCATGAAAGAAGTCAAGGCACGGAAGTCTCATGAAATGCTCACTTTGTGCCAACAGAATAGAATCGGCTCTTCAAAATATGTTTTCCTGAGCGCCTGGCAGATTTTTGCTGATTGCACGAGGTCCTCCGAGGAATTTGTGCACGAGAGGCTGCCCTGAATTTCCTTGATGCTCAACTGCTGTACTTCGTACTTGCACAGAACATGACATCTCAAACGCTGGCTGGAGCCCTTTCTGCTTGTCGGCGTGCTGTAGCAATCGTGGCATACTAGTGTTATCTTGTGTTGGTAGCTGAAACTCGCAATGTGATATTGTTTTGGCCCGAACGTCCGCCATGCTGCATCCAATGGAAGCAACTCTTCATCCTATCCATCTGGAATCCAACCCGCTCCTACACAAGGAAAGGTCAGATTGTCTTAACAGGAGCAAGGGGTGGAACTGGACTGTCCCAGACAAACACTAGAAACCAAGCTGAATGCAGTGCATAGGGTGACACATCAGTATCCCTTTTGAATAGCCGCAGTGAGAGCTAGTGAACCTCCGCAAGACTGTGCTGACCTTGGATTCTTTTTAGAGAGAGAAAACTCATGAATTGCTCACTACTGGTGGGCTTGTGGGCTTGTGGGCTTGTGGGCTTGTGGGCTTGTGGGCTTGGTTGACAGATCGTGCTGCAGAAGCTCACGGTCCATTGAGGTGCTTTGCAGGGCCGGTTGCCAGAGCGATGGAGTTGCATGCATCCAGCCTGCAATAGAAGGCTCAGCAGACTCAAAAGAACATCCAGAAACAGTGAAGCAGATTAAATGATCAAAAGAGTGTACACTGATGGATGGACAGACGGATGGAAATAGGTAGGTGATATGTTTCCTGCATTGGGCACAAACGGGCCGCAACATGAGAAAAGCGAGCTGTATTTGATATGCGTTTAAGCCGAGGTGGTTGAAACTGAGGGAATTCCTGACGGCTGTGTGCTCTCTGTTCGAGCCGGAGCGACCCGCAGACAGGCAACCCATTTTGGATTGTTTTTGGTGTGCGGTTGATTTTAAGTTCAGTCCACATTTTTCCTTTTTGCCTTGACAAGTGGACAGGCTCCGGTCTCTTCTGACCGCCCTTTTCGTTTCAACTGCTCAGTGGAGGAAGCAGCACCTTTCAAGGCATTTTGGTGCCGGTTCTTTTGTTCTTATGCCATCATGCCGCGTCATTGGTTTTCTCCACTGTGGCAACTGACATCTGCCATAAGCAGCCTTGCAGGTGGATGTCCTTGAGCCGGTGGCCACTGCAAGATTGATTTTACGCCCAGGCAGGGTGCATAGCAGCATAGCTACATAGCATGATTTTCTTGGCTGGATGGCTGGATTGTTAAAGGCTTTTCCGAAGGTATGCGCACAGAGATCCAAGAAGTTGCAGCTTCGCTGAACCTTGCTGAACTGCTTTATTTTACATCTTCTAGGTGAAGAAAGACGGTCCGACTGTCAGCATCATCATTGCAAGGAGAGTTTGAGCATGTTTTGATCTTTTTTTTGGATGCAACGCCCTTTCAATCATATTTGACCTAGGCGACATGGTCTGGCCATGTCTGGCCGTTTGGCCGCTGTCTAAAAAGATGCATGGGATATCGGATGGACGCCGAAACTTTTCCGAGGTATACCATCCCGCTGGAGCCTTCCAACTCTTTCGAAGGCTCAGGGCCTTCACCGACGCCACCTCCAGGCGGGTCAAGTTTGGAGGTGAAGACATCAGCGTCATCAGCTGCCTTTGTGCATCTTTGTGCTCCAGGGAACAAAGACATGTTCGTTACCATAGCTGTCAGCCCGGGTGACGAGACGGAAGCGGAGGCGACACATGACCTATTTGGAGTGCGGCCACAGTGTTAGAGGTAGAAGAAGGTAGAAGAAGGTAGAAGAAGGTAGAAGAAGGTAGAAGGCTATGCATGCGCGCCCTTGATCCTTTGGACATTTCTCCTTGGTTTCAGATTATCTTGGTTGCATCTCTCTATTTGTTTCAAATCCTTGTCCATGCCGCATCCACACTATACTCCGCATAGTAGACAAGGGCCCTTGATATGGTTTGATGATTCTGCGTTTGCAGCCACACTAGTCATTTATTTCTCCCATGATGGTGCGCTTCCTGATTGTTTGCGTTCTTTTCTGTTACAATGAATGATGGTGAGGGCACATTTCTTGTTTGCACATGGCTACTGAACATATACACGCACACACGCACACAAAAATCACACGCACAATATGTGTACTGTATAACTGTATAACAATAATACCGCAATAATAATAGTAACAATAGTAATAATAAGAAGAAGGATAGTAATAATAATAGTAACAATAACGATGATGATAATAATTACTGATAATCAACATACATGTTGCATTTATACACGCTGCACGGACTGACTGGAACATGATTCCGCAGGAAGCTGCACGCACAGACGATGCAGAGAAAGGCTGGAGGGTTTGTGACGCAGCACTGTTTGCACAGTGCGGCATGTTTCCAGCTGACAGGTCCATCCAACTCCCGCATTGGCCAGGCTGGGGTGATACACTGAATCTGAGTCTTAAAGGTTTCATGGTTTCAAGGTTATGTCGAGTCATGTCATGACAATGTGCAAACGCCACTCTTCCCATAAGGCCAATGCTGCACGGGAATACCTTGACAAGCACAATCTAGTGGAGTTCACCCAGCTCTTGGTCCAGAGTGCGTCTTGGTTAAACATTCTCTGAACTGCCTTGAAATTGGCAGCCTTTTCATACCCTTTTCAGATTCCCCATCCATCCTCACCACCAAAACGCGGAGGTCATCAAGGAGCAGCCTGAACGGCCCTACGAGTTCATGGCTCGACAGTCACTTTGCTGTTACACAGGGCTCACATAAGAACGAAGGTCGATGAACGGACCGTAGGATTCAATGTGGTTATCAGCTTTGATATCATAATGTTTTTTTTTTTAAAATCTATGGAACAAAATTGAATAAGATCATATATAAACCGGATAATACATATATATATATAATATATAGTGCATATATATATAAATGGAATAAAATGAACACATTATACACAGATTACGGAATAAATGTAGGTAAACGTATAACATTAGTATATCATTGAACATTATAACATGATTATAAATTGCAAGTTATAAACATATAAATTCTAGATGCCAGTCCTGGCACTCTGAAAGTCCCGAGGTTCTACTTCCCGGAGCCGGAGCCCAGGCCAAGGCCACCAGCTGATCTGGACCCAGGCGGAGCTGGCAGCCCATGCCCCGAAAATGGTGAGGGATTCATCGGGCTTCCATCACGTCGAGATTGATGGAAAAAGACGGTTGTAGTTTCAGGGAGTGGTTTCTGGTGCAGGCATGGTGCCTTGGTACCTTTAGTAGAACTAGACATGGTGCAGGCATGATTTCTTGAAAGTTGGACATTTCTCTCCGTCGGCAGCTCCTGGCGAGCACAGCATTCTCCTGGTGAGGAGTGTTTTTTGTCTTTTGTGACCATGCCAGGTATGCCGTTTGGAGCCACTATGGCCACAATTGGCAACTATGAGCGGTGAGGGGATCCTTTTGTCAAGTCATTCCAGGACTTGTTCTGGGTTGAAGTCTTACAGAATGGGCCAACTCTGCGAGATGGTTTGATCAGGGTTCCGGTTATTCCGATGGACTCCATGAAGACCAGGGGCAGAGGCAAACGAAGATGCAGCTGCTGAGACATTGTAGCACTTGTTTTTTGCAGGAACAATTCTGCCTTCTTGGGCGCCCTGTTCCTTGGGCGCTCCTGGTTTGGTGTCCAACTGCGGAGAGCAAGCACCATCTTGTTTTTGGAAAGGCAAGTGCTGAAACAAGCGCCACAAAGTGGCCAATCTTAGCCTCCTGCAATTGCTTTGGGTGAGATTTGAACTTCTGTTGCATTTTGCCTCATATTTCCCCAGGATGTCTTTGGTTAAGGAAACTTGTTGATTACGCTTCTGCCACAAATTTACTATATAGATGGAGCATCTTGAAACATCCAAGGCAACTGCACCGGCCGTAGCAGCTTTTCCGGCACCAACTCCAAGACCCCGCTGAATAGCAGTGATGAACAAAAGGAAGTCAACCAACAACTAATTTTCAAGTTGATCCAAAAGCTGGAGAGTAGCATAGAGTTGCTGCCGGCAAAGTGTGTGCAGCAAGAGATGGCCGTAGAGCTTCTCCTGCTGGACCTTTTTTTACTTGATCCTGTTTGGATTCTAAGAGCCAGTCATATTTCTAGTAGCCAACCGAGCTCGTCACCGGTCAGGTGAATGTGGCACGGCAGAATAAGCTGAGTAAAAGTGTTGTAAGTTTGCGGTGGGTGGTTGGAACAAGTCTTCCCGGATAGGAACGCATCGAAGTGCAGCAAGTTGACATAAGTTGACCTGTGGACTTTTCAGTCTCTGATGATCTGATGTAAGTCTGTAGGCAAATGGACAGACAGGAGTTTGGAGCTGAGCTTTCCATTTCAACGTCATTGAAGTGCTTAACCTTGGAGCTTTGGAGGTCACAAACTTCGCACGCATGACAAATGTAGGGATTTTTCTGCGTCACCTCTGTTCACCGTCACCTGGTGCGAGTTACCACGATTCAAATTGAAGGATGCCAGGACCTGAGGATCCCTGGGAGGGCCGCCGATCTGATCTGATTCGGTCAGGTTATGTCAGGTTTGCATCGCTTTACATCGCTTTACCCCTTGATGACCTTGATGATCTTGATGTCATTATCCCTTGATACAGTAATAATAGTAATATACAGTATCCCTTGATGCATTCTGTCTACTTCTTTCTCGGGTTCGAAGAGCCACTTCAGGTGCTGCTTCTGTTCTTTGGAATCCGCTCCAGCCACATCACTGAGCAGCTCTACCAAGAGGTGGAGTTGGAAACAACATTTTCACAGCTTACAGTAGGTGAAGTTTTCCTTGTAGACAATTCAATCCATCATTTTGGCAAGTTGAACAGAACAGCGGTCGCAGAGTGGCAGTGTGATTGGAATGTCGTTGAGTGAACGTTCTGGGAGGCCATGGGCAAAGCCACTGACGGGTTGGAACCCTCAGAGCTTGCTGTCGCATTTTGTTCCATCTCAAGGAGAAGCCTGCAACCTGAAATTCACTGAGGCAGGGGCTTATGCCTTTCAAGGAGGTTCTGCTTTGGGCTCGTCCTGACCTTTGTACTTGGAAACCATTGGAAACCTGGATTTTCACAGATCATCCCAGATCATCCCACGGCGTTTTGACCATGTCAAGGTCGCCAGAGAGAGGTGGAGTTCAAGGCAGCACATTTGAACGATGACGATTGCGGGCAGGACAAATTGGACTGCACATGTGATCCCTGCAAGGATTTCCGGCACAAGTTTCAACTGCTTGATTGCGATGAAAGTGGAAGCCACGGCCTCAACGTGTTTGAAGTCTGCAGAGATCTGCAGCTTTTGAGGAAACGGTGTGTAGGCCTTGCCATCGTTGATAATCCCTGTAAACTTTGCTTCTTGGCATAGGAGTTGAGTTTGACAAGCTGGTCCAGCTGGTAGGACTGCTGGATTCTGTGTGGCGCTGTGTGGCTCTATTATTCTTATCATCAATATCATCAGATATATGATATATATATATAATATATACATATGTAAAGAAATAATTGCATACACATGCATGCATGCATACAGCCAGACAGACAGACAGACACACACAGACACACGGACACACGGACACACGGACACACGGACACACGGACACCATACACACGGACCCACAGACACACAGACATACGTACATACGTACATACGTACATACGTACATACCTACATACCTACATACCTACATACCTAAATACCTACAGACATACCGACATACCGACATACCGACATACAGACATACAGACATACAGACATACAGACATACAGACATACATTCATACATACGTACATACATACATTCATTCATACATACGTACATTCATACATACGTACATACATACATACATGCATGCATGCATGCATACATACATACATACATAAAGAAACAAATAAATACATAATCAATAAACAAATAGATAAGTCACTATACACACATAATTGCACATATAAATATATACATTTGATATGGTTGTTACGTGACATTCGCTTTGCTGTCGGCGCAATCACACGTTTTACTATTTGATTCCACTGTTTCGATCCTGAAAGGATCCCTCGGGCTTACGGTGAGCGAGGCCTTGATATCTCCGTCCCAGTCACAACTCACCGCGAGTCATGGAAGGAAATGAGGAATAAAGGAAAAAAGATGGGACAAGTTTTACATGAAATATTTTACCGTCTTAAGTTATATTTGCATAGTATAAGTATGCAATTAATGAATTGTAATGAATTGTCATGAGGAATAAGCAGAAGTTACATTAAGTTACAGATTTACAGTAGGCATGCAGAATGCATGTTTTATGATGTTTTATGCACATGTTGATCCATTTTGCACTTGCCAGATCTTGCCAGGCGACAGTGAAGGAGTTGGTGGAGGACAGTGAGGATACGTACTTTGGCCTTGGGCGGAAGGACTGCGCTTCGCCAACTCCAACGAGTCTTTGGCAACACGGCATCGATTGGCACCATCCGTTGTCGTGGCAAATGGTCCAGGATGGAGCTCTGGACTTTGACGAGTTCGTCGTTGCCTCAGTCCGTGAAAGCTCCATTCCGACCACTTTTTCAGGGTTGATTTTTTTTTGAATGATTCCACTGAAAATCCAGCTCCTCACTCTGTGCCCTGTCATGGGATTTCATCGTGGGCAAAATCGATGGCAAAGCTTAGGTCAACTTTATGTTGAAACTGAAAACACGAGAGGGCTTTAGCATTGCAAGAGCCTCAAGAGCCTCAGAGAACATTTGACTGGAATGCCCCTCTACAGTCTTTAAAGAAGGATCAAAGTGCATATCCCTGCAGTGTCATGTCATGTCCAGGCGGAAGTCAAGCAATTCAAACTTGTTTTTGACCGCTTCGACGACAACAATAACGGCGAGGCTCAGGGCGTGAGCCTTGCAAGGCAACTGCGACAGCATTCCTCTGGTGTGCAGGTTGAAGTGCTGGAGCTCGCGGATGTTCTGAGGCCTGACAAAGCCGAATTAGCAAAGGGCCTGCCAGTTGATGCCAGTTGGCCCAAGAGTCCCAAGAGAGAGTTCGCACTATGAAAACGCGTCGCAGATATTTGGGCCGCACCGTGAAGCTTGATGAACTACAAGTGCTCATCAGCCAGGTGCGTCTGCCAGCCCGAAAGGTACTGATTTGAGATTTATCTCCTGGAATTGGAAGGTAGACTTCAACGGCAGCGGAGCTCTAGAGTTCGAAGAATTCCTGAGGCTGATGTGTGGTCCTGAGAGGAGCTTCTTCGATTCACTTCATTTCCACAATCATGATCACAAGATATTTCAAAAGGGGCACCCTTGAACAGCGTGATGTCCTTGCTACTTAGGCGTATTCATCGGGAGGAAGAGGTCAACAAGATACTGGGCTTGAAGAAGCCAACTCTACTTTCTCTTTTTGAAAACATCAACAAGGAGAAAGCAATACTCAATGCCATAATTCTTTCTTTGATTGAATTTGTCATATTTGTCCCCAAGGATCCGGCAAGCCTATGGTCAGTTCGCATCCGGAGAGACCTTGCCTCAGATTCCTGCTGTGACCCTGCCATTCTTTCCATTCTTTATTGCACGTGTGCAAATGATAATTGGTCTGAGGACTCAACTCTTGTCCAAGGCCAATACTTGAAATTCCTGCTGGAGATACCTTTGATGCTTTAATTATTTTACCTTGTTGTACTCTTTTGGCTTGGCGCATCAACATTTATATAACTGATTTCCGGACTTGCCCCTGTCGCTCTATAACGTAGATGGCATACATAGAATACAGAATCGATAATTTCGGCCTCCAGAAGCATCTTCCGGAATCGGTAAAAAAAACCTATACATAGAATAAAAGCATCTTCCGGAATCGAAAAAAAAAACCTATACATAGAATATTTCCGGCTATCTATTTTGATCCGGGATTTTTTTTTTCCTCAGGTTTTGCTGGATTTCTGCAGCCGCCCGTGATTCAAGTATATGTTCACTGGGGACCTATATTCTATGTATGTAGTTCTGCAAGGAATTGGGTTTCTTTCATGTATAAGGGTATATATCATATATGTAATTCCCTTTGGCAAGTAGCAACCCTGGATGTCTGAAGTTCCTAAACTACAACGTTTCAACAAACAAACAGGTCACCCGAAATGACCAATTTCTTTTTATATTGTATTAAGAAAATGAGTTTTTCAGGCTCACCGAAGGGTACCCCCCACGACTAGTGTCGTAGAACTATGAAAAAAAAACTATTTTGCAATGAAAACCAATGGAATTGGGTGGTGATCCTCAAAAAATTGATGAATATTTTCACTTGGGACCTATATTCTATGTATGTAGTTCTGCAAGGAATTGGGTCTCTTTCATGTATAAGAGTGATCTTGTAACAACGACTGCCTTTTTCACCATTCTCAAGCTTCATGCCCCCCTGGTTCGACGAGGCTCTGAGGTTTGAGGCCTTGGGTTCTGGTACCTTCAGGTTCGGTTTGGTCTGCCCGGCTCACTGTGGTGCATTCCTTTCCTTCCTGCTTGGCCTTGTCCCTGTCTGGTCTGTGTCTTGACGTGGTTTTGACTTCGGGTTTTGGATTTTACCTGTCTTCCTGGATTTTCCACAACTCTTCTGTCACTCCACCTCCTCCTCAATCCACTCGTCGCCCCAGGGCTCTTTCTAGGCTCTTGCCTTTCTGTATGAGCACCCACTCCATCTTGGTCAGCGCCATTAGGAGTGCGGTTGCCAGCCTTAGGGCTATTGCCAGCAGTCTTGAGGCTGCCTTGGACGGAGCTAAGGCCGTATCCTCTGCCTTTGCTGGCCCTGAGGCCCCTGTGACAGCAGCCTCACTGGATTTGGACTTAGAGGCATCTGCTATCTCTGCGTCTTTCGCTGGGGCCTCTTCTGGACCTTCAGCTTCCCGCGTTTCAAGCCACGACGAGATTGCTCAGCTTCTTACTGCTGCCCCTCCTGCTTGTCACCAAATCTGTGCCACATTGCAGTGCCCCCCTGAGGAGAAGAGGTCCAGAACCCAGAGAGCCTGGGAAGCTGGTCTGTGGGCAAAGGCCACTCTCACAGGACAGATCGACCGTCCTAGACCTACCCCCAAGCTTGACAAGAGGCCCACTGTCTACGTCATTTTGCGGGCTCCTGGCATCTCTCGCCCCACCAGGGTATCTACCTCTTCAGAATACTTTCAACTCATTCCCAGGTTCACGCCTGATTCTGTCTCTCACTCATTCCCCTCACTGGCAGAGGGAAAGGTGTACTGCCTGGCCGCGGAGGTTGACTTTCCTGAACAACGGTCTCAATGATGGAGCCACCTACGGAAGTGTTTCGGAGTTTGGAGGAGGTCCGAACTCTCGACCAAGGGCCAGTCCCTACCTATGTTGTGCAGCTCCCGGAGGTGGTAGATGCGGCAACGGGCTCGACTCTTCCTTCCATGGAGGTTCTGGCTATTCCTGTGCTCTCCCGGAGCTCTGGGGTCCTGATGGCTCTGCCGGCCGACTCCCTTCCTCCAGAGGTAGCCTATCCTGTGGATCCTCCTCTGCCTCAGGCACTGATAGGACCAGTCAAGGAGATTCTGGTGACAGCCGCTGCGGACGACGAAGAAGGCCTGGAGAAACCTTTAGACTTTCAGCTTCAATGTATGCTGGTGGACTTCGATGTTGCCATCCTTCCCAAGCTGCGGCGGTTAGACCCGGTCACCGAGGGGCCAGGAATCCACTGTTTCTCGTCAGGAGATGTGGACATCTTCCCTTCTTCCCAGGAGTTGTTGACCGCGACCTATGCCTGGATTCAAGAGGAGCAGGAAGGCAGGGTAGGCTACTACTCGGCTATGGAGGAGCTTCCCCCAGAAAACCCCAGAGGAGTCCCGAAGCAAGCAACGGCCAAAGCCAAGCAGAAGGCAGCAGCAGCCCCAAAGAGAGTTTCCACTGCGACCCTCTCCCAACAGCTGGCTGTTCTAGCCGAGTCCATTCCAGCCCTATCTTCATCTTTAGTCGAGATGCAGAAGAGGCAAGACAGCCTGGAGCAGGCTCTGTCCCGTCGTCCGGCAGCCCCTCCTCTTGCTCCTCATCGGTTGGATTTTGGTCAGACAGGTCAGTCTCCCAAAAGGATCATTCCCCCTCCTTCCAAGTTTCTCGCAGCGGTAGGTCCCCCCCAAAGTTGAGGAGCCCTCAGAAGCCCCAGAAGGTGGAGGAGATGCCAGAGGACGAGCCCCAGGGGCTTTTGGAGGAGTTGGAGGATATCCCACCCGAGGAGCAACAACATACTGTGTCACAGATGCTGGTGAAGCAACAAGTGGCCCTCAACTCCCTTGTGGCTCATCTTGCAAGTCAGGATGGACTTCACGAACTAGGGGTATCAGGATCGGCCTCTTCAAGCATCTCCCTGAAAGGTTCAGCCAAGCGAGAACGCCTGCTCTCAGACTTGGCCGCCAGGCGCAGCGACTTCTTCTTGAAGGTTGCACAGAACGCCCACAGGCGTCTCAAGCCCGCAGAAGCGGTGCCCCAAGCCCTCGAGGAGTTTCCCCAGAAGGCCCTCTTCACCAAGTACCTGGAACGACAAGGAGGATACACAGGTTACCAACGAGAGCAAGGGCTTACTATGTGGCTGCTGGGTCACGTAGCAGATCAGATGCTGCTAGGAGATGTGAAGGGCGCCCAGGAGATGTTGGCCTTGGCGATGGTAGCAATAGAGCAGAGTGCTATGGACAATGGCAAGTGGGAGATAGCATGGGTGTTAGCACTTCAAGAGGATCCCCCCCAGCAGCTCTTTGCACACCGCCCCATAGCAACGAACCCCAGGCTGAGGGCCTTCAGCCCCCTGTGCCCTGCCGACTGGGGAGCCATAGCTCTTGCCTACGTCAAGGAGCTGGATCTTCTCTCCAGCAGGAGACAGGAGGCCCTTCCCAAAAAGCAAGGCGGTGGGAGGCAGGAGGAGGAAGCAGCCGACTCTACGAAGAAGCAAAAGCAGCCCAGGTTCCCTCGAAAGCCAAAAGCACAAGGAGGGCAAAGCTCAACAGAGACTGCATGAAGCAAGCATCATTGGGCATCACAAAGTTGAGCCCTTGTTCCCTCAGGATCGTCCCAATGGCATGGCCTAGTCAAACCTCTTGGAATTTGGTTTTCCTTTTCCCCTGCGAGGCCGCTGGACTTATGGCCAAAGATCCCTTTCCTAATTGGTCTTCACTTCAGACCTTGTCTTTCCTGCGTTGGACTTCCACCCTGTGTCGTCAAGTGCTCCGCAGTTGCATATCATTTGCCCATTTTCTGTGGCAGACTCTCCGCATGATCAGAATGCCCGAAGAGGCTTCTGCAAAAGCTTTGTTCCCAATCCCCTTGCCTGAGGAAGGAGTCCTTACAGTTTCTAGCGGTGCGGGGTCCAGAGAGAAGTGGAGGAGATCTTTTGACCAGGCGGTTCGTATCACTGTGATGGTTTTGAATCTCTGGTATTTCAGTTACGAGTTTCCCCCTCTCTCTCAGTTGACTTTGGCACTTTCTTCTCCTCGGGCGAGAGTCCTTGATGGAATTTGGAATGTGGTCGAAGCTTTCGGTAGCTGTGAGGATATGTTCCAGATCCCTCTCAGTGGCCGAAAATGTTCTTTCTTGGTTTCCCAGCGGGCTGACCTATGTGACCTGGTTGCTTGGGAGGGCCTTGCTGGTGTGTCCTACTTTGGCGGTTTCAAAGGTTCCGATGAGTCCTTGGAATCGCTTGTGCATGTGCCTGCCGATTTGTTTGGAGCTCCTGAATTAATACCTTGCAGCAGCCTGAATTTAGACCGCCTGAAGATCGCCGGAAGTGCTCAGTGGGGTCCTCCTTTTCACATGTCAGACTCTTTAAGGATGGCTTTTTGCGAATCTGTTTTTGTGAGATGGACACGAAACCAAAGGACTCCTGATACACCTGACCTGCACAAGGAAGATTATCAGGCAGTAAGGGGCTGGTTGAAAATTCGGGATGCCAAAGGTTTGGTTTGCTTGCGTGATGAGCCCCTGCAGGAAGAGGAAGCTGACCTCTCCTTGAAGTTCTCCAATTGCCACAAGAACTTGGACTTGGATCGTTGGGCCAACTATCCCAGGTCGAAGAATCTTGTCGCGGGCATCATCCCGGGTGCCTCCCAGTGCTTCCCTCCTGCTCTGATGTGGGCAAACCTTGCGCTGAGGCTAGCTGGTGACAGGGTCCGCATGTTTGTGTCTGATGGTAAGGATTTCTATTTCTGGATGAAGGTCACACCAGAACGTTTGGCCACTAATGCCCTCTGGCCTCCAGTTTTCCGAGAAGAGCGTGAGGGTACAATAGACTTGGTGTCTTGGTGTGAAGAGAACCTGGAAAGGGAGGAGTATGACCGTTTGACACATGTTGGCCTCTCCAAGCCTGATAGTTTGCTTAGGCTACAAGAGCGGCAAGACATGCCTGACATGGTTCAAGGGTGCTTTTCCAATGTGCCCCAAGGCGACCGTCTTGGTGTCGGGTTTGCAGTTGATGCCCATAGGGATCTGCTTAGGAGCCCTGGATTTTTGCATGACCGTGAGGAGCTCAGAGCAGATAGACTTTCCCAGGGTAGGCATCTCGCTCCGGGCCCGGTTATTGAGGACTTTTATGCTGTCTCATTTCAACACGGTTCAAACAAACTTGAAACATCACTTGCTAGCCAGCATTCCCAGGTCTCCATGAAAGCATATGAGGACCGGAAGTTGTTTGGTTCGACTGGGGATGATGCGGTAGGTGCTGACGTAGACGCAAGTTTCAAGTTTGTTGACAGCAACGACGTGCCTGGAGACGATCCACGTGTTTGGTCTTTGTTCCGTGTCTCCCAACTCAGCCAGAGCTTTTTGGAGATCAGGTTTGAGAAGGAGAGCCCACAAGTTAGCTATGTTTCCCTTGGCCTAGAAACCTTGACTGGAACAACTCTGGTCCGGCGCCCCTTGGTTTTGAATGACTTGGTAAGTGACTCAGGGTCTCCTAGACTTCTTGAACATTCGCACAGAACCAAGATGCGTCGTTTGGAAGAAATGCAAGGGTTTCTGGAAATGCGGCGTGCTCAGGAAGTCTGGACCGCAGGTTGCATGTTTGGGAGCATCCATGACAAGAGGTTTGTTTGCCTTCGCTGCAATGTGGATAGGGAGAAGCCGCACCAGAAATGCGGTGGCACTCACCAGCATGTCAGGATTGAAGGCCAGTACACTAAGAGGCCTGAAATTTACCCTGATGAGTTAGCTGAGACCATTGCATGCCAGTTTGATGCCGCTCCGACCCGAAAGCTCAGGATTGAGATCTTCCAAGAGCCTCAGGCAGCAGGCCTTGAGGGCCCACTTCGCAATGAGGTTTCGCTCAATGCCTGTTGGAGGCTTGTTGCCATTTGGACTTTTACGAGACCAATGCATAGCAGCAGCCTTGAGACCCTTTTTGGTTCTGTCCTCACGGAGGTGCTTATCTTCTTCAGTTTAGGGTTTCGTCAGTTTATTGCCCTGGACTCAAACGTTGGATCTTCTGTCTCAGTAAGGGGCTTTTCTCTCTCTTTTGGACTTAGACCTTGCGTGCACGAGACAGGAGTCATCGTTGTCGTTGGGCGTCTAAACATGGCCTACCAGTTTGCCACCACACGTTTGAATCCAGCTGATCACCCAACTAGGGAAAACATGATTTCTGAGCCTTCCCAACAAGCATGGTCTCCTGAATTTCTCTTTGAGGAGCCTTTGGAATTTGCCGAAGCCCACACGCTGCTCTGTCCTGCTGCGAAGTGGGTCCAGCTTTTCATTTTGGTTCAGGAGTCTCTTCAGGAATGGTTGGGTTCTGAGCAGGGTTGGCGTTTTGCCCATGTTAGGGCTAAGCACTTTCCTTACTTGAGCCTGTCTGCAATTCACTCCGTCCCTCGCTGTGTGTTGGACTTTGGTTCGACTTTGAGTTACCTGGGAGGAGGTCCTTTGTTTGTCGGCGGTTCAGCTTGGGTGGTTTGGATTTGGTTTGGACTTGCCATCGGTCTCCTCTCAACCTTTTCCCAGTGGGCCGGGTGTGTCTCTGTTTGGACTTCTTGTCGAAGGTCTATGCGGGCCCCTGTCAGGTCTTGGATTTTCGTTGGACTTGTCCTACAGGTTCAGGTAGGTTCATGTGTGAGCCATGGCCCTGCGCTGAGCTTCCGGTACCTAGGCGATGTGAGAAGTGCAGCACTGCACGGGGCATCAGACCTTCTGGAAGGGAGTCCTGTTTTGGGTAAGACACAGGACTACAGAGACAAACATTCGTCTGACTTCGACAGCTGGCTTCATGATGATGGTTCGTACCTGGAAAAATTGACTGGACCTACAGAGCTTGACATTGAGTTTCTCAACTTACAGCTTGAAGGGTATAGCCAGTTTTTGTATTTGCCAGGACGGCCTTATGGCCACTACGCGGAGACAAACAATAGGGTTTCCGAGAGTAGACCAAGTGTCCAGCGCAAGCTGAAACAGGCATGGGATCTGGCCTATGTCAGGGTCAGACATGAACCTCAAAGCCCTCATGTAGCATTTCATTGGCAAGCACCTCTTAGCATGACTATCACAGCTTTTTACTGGGGATGGTTGGGAGAAGCAGGAATTTTGGCGTTATCCACGGATGGTCTCTCAAGGATCGGAGAAGCTATGACAGCTGCCCGACAGCAACTGGTCCGATTTCGAGACATCGGGTATACCGCTGAATTTTTTCTGCTGCAGACTGATGAACCAAAAACGAGATTTCGTGCCTTGGGGCAGCAGGTGGCAGAAGATGATCAACCCCATTTGAATGCCGTGATAGGTCTGGTTTTAGGGCGATTGTGCTCTCATCGACGCCTATGGCCGTTTTCAGGAAAAATCATGAGATCAAGGTTCCGAAAACTTTTGCCTGCAAATGGCCTGGAGCAAGTGCCTCGAAGTATTTCCAAGGGCCTTGAGTTTGGAAGTCTTCTTGCTGGAGGAGCCTTTCGGCTGATGCTGGTGAAGGACAACCCAGACCTCACACGCTGGAAAGGTAGATGGGGGACAATCAAAATAAATGAGATAGAAGTGCAGGAGGTGTCAGCGATTCAATTCACCTCACGTTTGCCAAAGGATGCATTGAAACAGATTTCAGATGGGGTCGCAATTTTTCTTTGGATGCTTGCGCATGTACAGAGTTTAATTAGGATGCAGATGCCACCAACCGTCTGGCCAATTCTGTCCAGGAAGAAGCAACCAAGTTTGAAACGAATGGGTGATCCAGTGGCTTTTAACCGGATGAAAATGTTGGGTGTTGATTTGACACTTTTGGCTGCAAACGGCCGTGTCATTACTCCTGCAGCATGTGGAGAGAAAAGATGAGTGATTGGCTTGAGTTGTTGATCTTGTAACAACGACTGCCTTTTTCACCATTCTCAAGCTTCCCATATCCCACTCCACCCTTTGCTTCTTCCTGGGGTGTTGATTTGACACTTTTGGCTGCAAACGGCCGTGTCATTACTCCTGCAGCATGTGGAGAGAAAAGATGAGTGATTGGCTTGAGTTGTTATATATCATTTATGTAATTCCCTTTGGGGAGTAGCAACCCTGGATATCTGAAGTTCCTAAACTACAACGTTTCAACAAAAAAACCGGTCACCCGAAATGACAAATTTCTTTTTATATTGTATTTAAAAAATGAGTTTTTCAGGCTCACCGAAGGGTACCCCCCACGACTGGTGTCGTAGAACTATGGAAAAAAACTATTTTGCAATGAAAACCAATGGAATTCGGTGGTGATCCTCAAAAAAATGATTCATATGTTCACTGGGGACCTATATTCTATGTATGTAGTTCTGCAAGGAATTGGGTTTCTTTCATGTATAAGGGTATATATCATATTCGTAATTCCCTTTGGCAAGTAGCAACCCTGGATGTCTGAAGTTCCTAAACTACAACGTTTCAACAAAAAAACAGGTCCCCCGAAATGACCAATTTCTTTTTATATTGTATAAAAAAAAGTTTTTTAGGCTCACCGAAGGGTACCCCCCACGACTGGTGTCGTAGAACTATGAAAAAAAAACTACTTTGCAAACCAATGGAATTGGGTGGTGTTCCTCAAAAAATTGATGAATATTTTCACTTGGGACCTATATTCTATGTATGTAGTTCTGCAAGGAATTGGGTCTCTTTCATGTATAAAGGCCTTATAAGGGTATACATTATATACGTAATTCCCTTTGGGGAGTAGCAACCCTGGATGTCTGAAGTTCCTAAACTACAACGTTTCAACAAACAAACAGGTCACCCGAAATGACCATTTCTTTTTATATTGTATTAAAAACATGAGTTTTTCAGGCTCACCGAAGGGTACCCCCCACGACTGGTGTCGTAGAACTATGAAAAAAAAACTATTTTGCAATGAAAACCAATGGAATTCGGTGGTGATCCTCAAAAAATTGATGAATATTTTCACTGGGGACCTATATTCTATGTATGTAGTTCTGCAAGGAATTGGGTCTCTTTCATGTATAAGAGTATATATCATTTATGTAATTCCCTTTGGAGAGTAGCAACCCTGGATGTCTGAAGTTCCTAAACTACAACGTTTCAACAAACAAACAGGTCACCCGAAATGACCAATTTCTTTTTATATTGTATTAAAAAAATGAGTTTTTCAGGCTCACCGAAGGGTACCCCCCACGACTGGTGTCGTAGAACTATGAAAAAAAAACTATTTTGCAATGAAAACCAATGGAATTGGGTGGTGTTCCTCAAAAAATTGATGAATATTTTCACTTGGGACCTATATTCTATGTATGTAGTTCTGCAAGGAATTGGGTCTCTTTCATGTATAAGAGTATATATCATTTATGTAATTCCCTTTGGGGAGTAGCAACCCTGGATATCTGAAGTTCCTAAACTACAACGTTTCAACAAAAAAAACAGGTCACCCGAAATGACAAATTTCTTTTTATATTGTATTAAAAAAATGAGTTTTTCAGGCTCACCGAAGGGTACCCCCACGACTGGTGTCGTAGAACTATGAAAAAAAAACTATTTTGCAATGAAAACCAATAGAATTCGGTGGTGATCCTCAAAAAAATGATTCATATGTTCACTGGGGACCTATATTCTATGTATGTAGTTCTGCAAGGAATTGGGTCTCTTCCATGTATAAGGGTATATATCATATCCGTAATTCCCTTTGGCAAGTAGCAACCCTGGATGTCTGAAGTTCCTAAACGACAACATTTCAACAAAAAAACAGGTCACCCGAAATGACCAGTTTCTTTTTATATTGTATTAAAAAAATGCGTTTTTCAGGCTCACCGAAGGGTACCCCCCACGACTGGTGTCGTAGAACTATGAAAAAAAATTACCCAGAACCCAAAAAATGTTCAATCTGCTGGGTTTCACACATGTTTTCGATATGGGAATATCGTTATTCCTATGGTATTTGCTTTGGCACTGTTTATGCACTCCAAAATTCTACCCCAAATATTTCTACCCCAAATATTCTAAGTTTTTTTTTTTTTTGCGTCCACACCCGTAGGGTTGAAATCGGGCATATTCTAAGTAGGCGATCATGGTTATACTTGCAAGCTGCTGCAAGCTGCCATAGGGCATGGGCGTCCTTGAACTTGTCAACAGGCGAGATTGCCAGACGCGATGGCTGCCATGGGGGTCTCAGGCTGAGCTGCAGGATCATGCAGGATCAAATGTACTGGCCCTTAGGTGATTGCTTAAATGAAACAGGATGAACTTGGATGAACCAAGAAAACACGGTAAGAATGAGGACATCAACGAACCAGGAAACCGAAAAGATGGAAACAACCCTAGCAGCCCTAGCACACAGAGACTATGCGAATCATTCAGTAGACTCAGTAGACATCGTTTCCGTTGCCTTGCAGTTCGAAGCGCGGGGTTGTGGTTTGTTTCCTCGACCTTCTGTGGGTGGAGTGCATGGGAGCCATGGCCACAGAATAGAACTGTCTGGCGCAATGCCCGTTGGAAAGCCAACGGAGCAGAGATCTACTGGGTTTTCTGTCAAGTTCTCAGATGCTTATCGAAGGAAGTTTTTGAAGTCAAACTTCCGACAATATGGACAGATGAAAAGCAGAGATGGGAAGAGTCAGCGAAGAGAAGGGAAGAAGAAAGAAGATCAAAAAAGAGAAAGTCTCAGAAGAAAGAAGATCCAAGTGCGCGAAAAGGTAGGAAAGTCATGGAAAGTCACGAAACACTGTTTTTCCAATGATTTGTGGTTCTGGAGGGTCGAAAAATAGGCTCGCTAAAGCGGCGGGTGTGAAGCCAGCTGGGCAGATGAGACATGAAAAATTGCACGCCGTTGTGGCGCGAAGCACGTTTCGAAGGCAAAATGTACAAAACACACCAGGTCCGGACCACTTTTGGAAGTTGAGATGTCGAAAAAGTGTACGCCGCTGTGGTGCGAAGCACATTTCGAAATCAAAAGTGTAAAAAACTGACGTGTTCAGAGCACTTTTGGAAGTTGAGATGTCGAAAAAGTGCACGCCGTTGTGGCGCGAAGCCCATTTCGAAGTCAAACATGTAAAAAACTGACGGGTTCAGAGCACTTTTGGAAGTTGAGATGTCGAAAAAGTGCACGCCGTTGTGGCGCGAACCACATTTCGAAGTCAAAATGTTAAACAACACATAAAAAGACTACATGTTCGGACCACTTTTGGAGGTTCAGATTTCGTTTCGCGTGGCAGGCGCAAGGGATTGTGTGCACCTTGTCCAAAGTGAGCAAAACCTGAGGGTTCTGTAGCATGTCCAAAAACAATCGCAGGTGTGGGACATTTGAACGGGATCTAAGATGAATTTTCCGTGGCAGGCGCAGTACAAGAAACATGTTTATCAGAGATGCTGGGAGGTCCGGGCGCTGATTTCCTGAGAGGGGTTGCATTTTGGAGCATCAGATCTTCAGTTTTGGGAAGATGATTTTGCGTGACAGGTGCAGCACTTCGTATGACTTGGCCTCACTTTTTCATGGCAGGCGCAATACTTTAGACAGGTGAAGTGGAAAAATCGCAAAACGCATTGGTACGAGGCTGTCAGCTCTGCACTCAACTTTCCATTTTTGAAGGAAGTCTCCCAGAATTGCTTCGTTTTTGATGTTGTCAACTTGGAAAAATGAGGAAGTCTCGCAGAATTGTTTCGTTTTTGATGTTGTCAAGTTCAAAAATTGAGGAAGTCTCGCAGAATTGCTGCGTTTTGAAGCTTGCAGTTAGACAGACAGACAGGCAGACAAACAGATAGATAGATAGATAGATAGATAGATAGACAGATCGATCGATCGATAGATAGATAGATACGATCTGCCGGGAAAAAAAGCTTTGGGACAAATAGATAGGTAAGATGGTCAGATAGATGGATGTATGGATGGATATATAAGTAGATGGGTGGATAGGTAGATAGGTCGATGGGTACGAAGATAAATAAATCGATGGATGGGTGCATAGATAGATAGATAGATAGATAGATAGATAGATAGATAGATAGATAGATAGATAGATAGATAGATAGATAGAGGTAGCTAGGTAGATAGATAGATAGATAGATCGATAGATAGATAGATAGATAGATAGGTAATTAGATGAGAGAGAGAGAGATGGATTGGTAGATAGATTGATAGATAGATTGACAGATAGATGTGTAATTAAATGAGAGAGATAGATAGATGGATAGATAGATAGAATGATAGATAGATAGAAAGATAGATAGATAGACGGATAGATAGGCAGATAGATGGATAGATAGATAGCTAGCTAGATAGATAGAGAGAGCGAGAGAGAGAGAGAAGAGACATGAGAGAGAGAGAGAGAGAGAGAGAGGAGAGAGAGAGAGAGAGAGAGAGAGAGGAGAGAGAGAGAGAGAAATAGACAGATAGACAGATAGATAGATAGATAGATAGATAGATATAGATAGATATAGATATAGATATAGATATAGATATAGATATAGATATAGATAGGTAGGTAGGTAGATAGTCAGAGAAAGAGAGAGAAAGAGTTTGAAAGAGAGAGAAAGAGTTTGAAAGAGAGAGAAAGAGAGGAGAGCCAACCACTTTTTGGTCCATCAGTGGCTTCGCTTTGCCATCTGTGATTCGCAGCAACCAAACTCTCCTATAGGCTTCCTATTTTTGAAACTTCCGCCACCGCCTTGTGCGGCACTACTGGTATAATTTATATATCATTCCAAGCAGTGTATGTATTGCACTCACTAGAAGACTTGTGGCAGAACAGTTTCAAGATGTGTAAGATGTTTCAAGCATCAAAAAATGCATACTTTCACGTCTGTGCATATGGTGTCCCAATGATTTTCACCCTCAGGGACGAAGCTTGAAATGCTCCTTGCCGGGGCGGCTCTTTTTTGCACTATCCATGCCGAAGGCCAGCTCAAGAGTGGCGCACTTCGAAAAAACACAATCTTTTCCATGCTCTTGCCCCATTTTTTAGTGCAGTGTGTTGCATGTGAACACGGCCGTGCCGTGTTTTTGATGAGGCCAAAACAGTGAGTGGACGCAATTGCGCGCACCAAGAGACATTGAAAACTTGAGGCACCTTCCTTTGCTATTCACCAGGGTGTGGAAATAGTGCACGAAACCCCAAACCGCTCGTCTAAACAATTGTAGTATATCTATTGTGTGTCTATCACTTTATCTATCTATCGATCGACCCATCCATCCATCCATTCATCGATCCACCCATCCATCTACCCAGCCAGCCATCCATCCATCCATATCCGTACATGCATATGTATAATTACCCTCTCTCACCTCTCTCTCTCTCTCTATGTAGACTATGTATGTCGTTTACTCCGCTTTTAGTTTTCTTAGCTCTGTGGTTTCTTGGCTTTGGCCGACGCCCTTGTCTGCGTCACCCTAGCCAAAGGTTGGGAGAGACAAATCTGAATCATGAAGAGTTTTGCACGCAACATCTTGCAAAATGCAGGGGTCACGCTTGTCAGGCCAGAGATCGCTAAAGTGAAATGGCGGTCCTTGACCCAATGGATTTCTGGCCGAGGTTCAGTGTGTGTTTCAACATGTTTCAACAGAAATCGTGTGGAAACTCATCCCATTTGGAACACTTTGGAACTCACAGTTTTGCCAGGCGGTTACGTTCACCCAGCTCTGGAGCCATCGCTTGTATCACACGGAGGAATCTCCATGATGGGCGTCATTTCCAGTAGCAGTGAGAGCTTGCCTGAGGGCACTGTAGTCATTGAGCTGCCGCGCTTGGCTCTTCTTGACGTGGACTTGTTGGGATCCATGCCGGAGGACTGCTATGGACATGGACTGCGCTGTCACTGAGTCACGGGTTTTCTCAAAATTGAAAGCCACTAAATCCATCAAAACAAATCAAAACCTTATGGTTTGTATTGGTTTATCATAACCAGTAAGATTTATTATGTTACGGGCCATATTATGGGGCAGCCCCTAGTTTGAGGCAACCCACATTGTTTCGGCTGTCTGGGTTTGGGTTGATTTGATTTCGTCACATGACTTTGTCACCTGTGAATCTGATGTAGCTCAATCCACAGTTCTATTGTTTTGGGGGCAGCCTTGCTGCAGTACACGGCGATAGCTTCTTCGACACCAAACTGCACGCTTTCAAAGGGATTTACGAGATCACAAAGAAACCTCAAACTTTTGGTCATGCTAGCGATCGAAAAGCTGAAAGGCGCGATGCAGCTGCGGAAGACAATGACGCCGCACTTGTTTGTTTGCAAAGACTTTGGCCTTGCTTTTTGCATCTTTTTGCGCTTGGTCAGGCTCCACATCGGAGTTCTCACCCTATTTAGAACTATTGCCATCTCAAGCTGAGCTGCGTGGAAGCGATCTCTACTACGCAGGCGGCAGTCGCAGTCGGTTGTGCTTGGTGCTGATCCGATCTTCGCGAGGGAGTTGCTACTGAGTTGCTACTGAGTCACCACTGCAGGGTGATCATGGATGATTTTGGATGATTTTGGTGCAGGTGATGATCTTGTAAAAGACTTTGGAAGCCTTCCAATCATGAGCTTTTGGCGGCGTATCCAGGCTGAGCACTACAAGGAGTTTGCGGCCTGGCAGCAGACGTAAGCTCTCTATGTGCAACTCATTATCAACTGTATCAACTCATTGCAATGCACCCTGACACACTGAGGAATACTGCTTCTATGCCATGAAGGCAGAACTTCCACATGAAACCTCTGGCGTCTCTTGGGAGGACGGTGAAAAATCTGCTGTACCCAGTACCGCGCTTCTTGACTTGCACTGCTTGCACTGCTTGCACTTGATGACTTGCTGTGACTTATTGTGACTTATTGTGACTTATTGTGACTTATTGTGACTTGCTCCATCAGGACGTTGAAGCCCTTCTTCGAATGCACAGAAGCAGATTCTTGGTTGAGCAATCGGACGCGGGATGCACAACTTGCAGCGTTTGCGTCGCAGTATCTCGGGCCTTTCTAAGGACATTTCGCCATCACTGAGCCTTGGAGCTTGGAATTTCTCAGTCCTGCAGCTGACTATGTGCCTTGAGAACTGTTTAGAATTTAGAATTGCATCATGGCATCATGGCACTGTATCCCTTCATTTGCAGACATTTCTATCTCCCCCTTCTCTCTCTCTCTATATCCATGTTTTTCCACTTTTACGTGATTCAGACGTGCCAGGTAAACACGGGCATCACTTCTGAGCAGAATGTGAAAGTTGTTCTGATGGTGGGCGATCAGCTTGGCCAAAATCTCACGCTACAGTTTGTGGTTTCTCATGCTCTGGATCCTGGACAAGAGTTGATTTCCAGCTACTTCACTGGTTTGGACAACGAGGCGCCAGAATTGGCACACGGCTGCAGTCGAAACAAAGAGTGTTTTTTTGGGGGGCCTGAGAGGGGAGAAAAAAGCTGTAGTATCTGAGAATAATTTTGTAGTGCTGGGCCGGTTGCGCTCTCTTGCCAGGATGTCCTCTTCAGATGGAACATGTACCTGGAAGACAATGAAATTGGCTTGGCTGCTGGCGAGGCAGTCCTTAACTCAGTATGTTTCTCTGTAGGTGAATCTTTCGAGCAACATGAATTTGCCTTTGATTCATTCACTCAAATCAAAAGGTAGCAGACCATAGTGCAATTTGTATCTGAAGTTTCAATTAAGTTGAAAGCAATCTCAGGCTTATCAAGCTATCAAGATTCACAATGTTGTTTGTAAAGGTTCAGGGCTGCGTTGCGGCCTTGCACAAATAACACGAGATCGATTGCTTTGAGGTAGCCATATGTACAGATGAGAGACATGATTCTGGGCAGCACAATGGGCTCAGCCTTTGTCAAGTTGAGAAGTCTTTGCATCACAGTGACAATGTCGTCAATCTCAGGGCATCGTTAGTGCTTCCTGTTCTGGAACTTTGCTCGCTGCAGAGGATTTGCGTGCTGCCACCCTCAAACAGCTGGACCTAGAGGAACAGCGGCCTGTGCCAAGGTACACCGTTTCTCTTGCTGAAATTTCATACCAACACGGGTGGCAAAGCCGCCTGTGCTCAGCCAATGTTCCATCAGTTCCTCAGGTTGAAGAATTCAGACTGCCCAGTGCTGGTAACTTTGACATATGTGAAATATGCTTTTGATCATCTTCTGATCATCTTTTGATAATCTTTTGATCATCTTTGAGCATGCTTCCACAGGTGCCTCCACAGCGGGATCATCGAAGGGCAAGTTCTACTCCGCTGCTCATTAGCCCGCCTGGCATATGAGTTGTGTGCCTAGGCTCAGTGGCCTGCGTTGGCTGACAGATCATTGCAGATCTTACGGGGCTCAAAGCCGAAGCCTTCCAAGTCTTGGCTCAAGGATCTCAAGGACTCAAGGTGTTGCGAATGGGTTTGAAAGGAGCTCAGCTTGGCGGCCATTTCCTTTCGATGAGCCAAGTTTTCGTAGCATCGTTGCTTGCGAACTCGGAAGGATCAGAAGGCTCTGATGCTGCAGGATCTGTGAGTGTGAAGGTTCGAAATTTGCCGGGTGAAGAGCTTTGCAACTTTCAGATGCAGGGTGAAACCTTACAGGATTTGAAACGTGAACTTTCAGATCCGCAAGGACCAATGTCCAAGCGTCTTCGCACTTCTAGTCTTAACTTCTACACCGTTGCCGATCCATCCAAGCAGTTGGACCTGCAATCGCAGGTGCGTACTTTGAGCTCAGAGCTTGTGATCAAGCAGGCGGATGTAGAAGATTGGCTTGAACAGTTCCCGGATGTTGGCACATTTCTGGAAGCCATGCGGGACAACAAATTTGATCCAGAGTCCGAAAACTTTGACGTCACTTGGACCGCCAAAACAGCAAAGAAGGTTCCTTTGCGCGAGGCCGTGTGCCTTGTGCAGGAGGCCCTCAGTGGCGTGCTGACCCATGCAGACAGTGAAAGTCAATTCGTACAGACCTTTGGCAAATTGACTGCTGGGGCGGAGTCGTGGAATATGCTCCATTTGGGCATGCTGCAGACTTTTGATGGTGGCATGAGAAGGCTCAAACATTTTGCCTTTGAACACTGGCTGGACCTAGCTCGGACTGTAGCCACCTCTATGGTCTCGCAGGACCCCTCTCCTGTTGTGCTCCTTCTGAGGCTTGAGCGAGGCACCATAGCTGGATTAAATGATTTGGGAACAGCCTTCCCCAGAAATTTTCCACAGAACTTGCAGAATCACCTCACCGTTTGCGATGCAAGACCACGGTTATGCTGGACAGGTGTTTTTAGACCTCTCCTATCCTTCGACTGGGACATACAAAGAGAAGGCATAGAATCTTTCAGAACAGCTCTTGCGGCAGCCGAACAAGATGAACCCGCTGAGTTTGGAGCGCTGCAGCCGCATGAGATTTGTCAGATGGTTCATGTGCAGCTTCGCCTATCCTCTATTAGAGTTGCTGAAGTCGAAGGGCCCATCAATGAGGTCTGTGTGAAGATTCTCGCACAGCTGCTCCGCTACAAACTGAAGATTCTGCCATTTCAGAGTGAGACAGAGCTACAGGATCAGATGGCTTGCTTTGAGTGTGGAAAGGATCACAGGGGAACTTTGATGCTGATTAAGGGTGTTCCAGCCTCCAGGCAGGGCACGTTCTTTAGGAGGCCATGCCCACACCGCATGGTTCTATGCTACAACACCGAAGACGCAGATTCGAACGAAGCATCCACACATAATGTGGAGAAGTCAAGACTTTGAGCAGATGAAAAAAACGGGTGTCATAGGGCTGCAAATGCGCTGCATGGATGCACACCTATCAAGATTATCAAGATTATCAAGTCTTAATTCCCACACATTCCCACATATTCACACACCACCTCCTTTGTGATAACCTCAGGCGAGATCATAGAGAGGATGCTGAGCCTGTATCGCTTCTCTGAGGTGCTGCGAGCTGGTTCCCCGAAGCTGTGGCAGGGCGGACCGTGGTCGAAGTTTCTCCCTCCAAAGGTGCGGCTGACGATTTGTAGGGCCAGCTCTGGATGTTAGACTCGTCCGAACATTTGCATGAAAGAGACATCAATCCGAACAGATCAGAACGTTTTGGTGCCTTTGTAGCCAGGCGAGCGAATCGCTGGTTATTTAATCCTTTACTCCATGATTCTTCGAAACAGAGGCAAGCAAGTGTGTTCTTTACTGCGAAACTTGTGTCCAATTGCCTTTGCGTTTGCCTCCTGCTCTATCCGCTATCCAAGACATTCCAAGACTCTATCCTGCTCTCAGGTGACAAGGCTGGTGCTAAACATGCACTGAACGAGTTGTTCGCACGAGCAGAGCGGGGCTTGGTGGCAGAATCCTTGGTGGATGCGCTTCTGCAGATGGCCGGGTGGCTGGTGGAAGAGGAAGACTTGGAGGACCTGCTGTCACATTGCTGAGTTTGACTCCTGTTCCACAATGCTGTGACTGAGCACACTAGGAAGCTGAGAAACATGTCCTGCAAGCGATGCGACTTTCTGATGACCCCAGAGCCTACTTCAAGCATGGCCAGAGCCTCAATCTGTTTGCAGTTTTTTTCGCTGTTTGCAACTGTAGGTTCGAGCTTCAATCCAGCAGTTGCAAGGTACTATACGTTTGGCCTCGGGTGATCGCTTGAGTGCACACCAAAGTTTTCGAGGGTGCCTTGAACGGACCTGGCCTCAGCTGTGGAAAACCGCAGCGCAGGACCAAGCAGACATTGCTCTGAACTCGTCACAGTTGGTCGCGTTTGCGCACATTTTCATCCATTTTCATGCATTTTCATATATTTTCATATGTACATTTCCACCTTTTACATGCCAAGGAGCGAGCCAGGAACACTGCTGCACAAGGAGTGTGGTGACATGGGCGTGGGAACTCTCCGAGCCCTTGGCCTCCAACGTGCAGGCCTGGAAACATGAGAAGGTTGTCAAGATTTGTCAAGTGTCACCAGTGTCACCAGTGTCACTGTCAATATTTGTGGAAATTTGTTGAACCCAGTGTTGTTCCATGTTGTCCCTTGGGTTGATTATGGTTGATCCATTGAGGACCTGGTGCCACTCGCTCTTCGCACCCCACCTATTCCAATCAGTCAGTCTTTCTGAAGAAGCTCTTGTAACCTGGACGCTGAGATGGATGAGCTGGGCGTGTTTCACAGGTAAAGCAATACAGCTGGTTCCGCTTAGAGGAGAGGAGGCGGCCATGTATCTGAGTGGGAACAGGTTGAAGATCCAATCGGCTCCTGGCATCTCCGATCATCTCCCGTTCTGGACCAAGATCCCTTCATTCGATTCGACGTCACTACCGTCACTACTTGTTGGGGAGGGTTGCTCGGTTGCTCCAAGGCCGACCAGCGCGAGGACTTGTGTGCCAGGGTCTCCAGGGTCTTGGACACGCGGTGATTCTGCTAGAGTGCGATCGAATCAAATGGGTTGGAATGCGCCGTCAGGGAGCAAAGTGAGCAACAGCTGAACCATTCAGCGGTTTAGAAGTTTAGATTGACCTTTGATGCCACTTGTGCCAAATTGTGCCAAAGATGCCAAGCAAAGAGTGTAGCCCCCTAGAAGCGATCAGTGCAAAAAGTTTGCGCGGAGGGCCTCCATCAGAAAGACAGTGCAAGCTGCTTCTTGCAGCTTGTTGTCCTCGAAATGCTCTGGCAAAGATTCTTGGAAGGCGAATCTATATCATTGTCAAAGATGAGAGCCAAGGCTGCACTTCAATGCATGCACTTAGGAAGTTGTACTGCACTTGCCGAAGACGACTGACGCAGTTTCGTGTTCGGTTCGAATAGGCAAGAAAATGCAATCAGAATGGTCCATTTTGGGAGGCTTCAGGACGTCGCCAGTCGCTGCAAGTACAAGCAAGCAAAACCCTTGAGGCACGTCAGAACAACTGGGAGTTTGGGCAGTGCCCTCCAGGAATGCATAGGAATTCACAGAAAACTTCACCAGGATGTGGGAGATTCGATTTCGTTCGGGCAGTTTGAGCCTCATGAACGGAAACAAGGGAGACATCGGAAACACATTAAACATTGACTATATAATTAAAGATTGATTAAACAAATTACTCCATTCATCTCCGTTCCAGTCCGGTTTCTGCAAGTTTCTTGAAGGACCAGCGACCGGACGTTTGCTGAGGTTCCTGCAGTGGGTTGATGACAATCGCGCTGTGAAGGCTCGGAACTTCATGACAAGGTTTGAACCTGCGAAGAGGATCGAAGAGGATCGAAGAGGAAGGGGATATGGAACGGTCATTTAAAGTAAAACAATGTGAAAGGCATTCCGTTATAGAAAATTTTATATCCAACCCCATTGATTGAACCAGGTTAAACAGTAGCCGCTCAATATGACTCAAGCATACTCAAGCCGCATTTGGATTCATGTAATTATGGGGGGTCTGCCAGAGCACTGTCGCAGGCAAACGAGCAGCGCCGATGTGCTGGGCAGGGCTGCTCATGCCGATGTCATTCTGGAGTCTGGACAATCTACCCTCTGGTAAACTAACATAGCTATGGAAAATCACCATTTTTAATGGGAAAATCCACTATAAATGGTCATTTTCAATAGCTACGTTAAATTACCAGAGGGTAACAAACAGATACAAACAGGGCAAATCACCCTGCGGTTACTGTGTCGAGCATGGGATGACATGTATCCCCTCCTTTTGCCCCTTCAAGGTTCAGCAGTACAGAGCTAGACTCCTTCCGAATGACATTCACTGCCACAGCCCCAACCTTTCGACTTGCAGAGTCACGATGGTGAGCGATGGGCAGATTAATCAGTGAAAGTCAGTGGGTGTGCAAATGCGGAAGATTGCCCCCTCCGTCTCTTGCAGGAGCTCGACTCGTCAGGAAGCGGTGTGCTGGACATCAAGCACTTAGGACGCAGGGAAGAGACCAGCAAGCGGCCACGTTTCAACAAGTAAATTACCCCCGAAAAATAAAAAGAACAAGATTCTAAGATGCATACGGAGAAGGCGCCACTTCAGCTTGCGTTGTCATGCATTGTGCCTCCAGACAGCACATTGGCATATCCCTCAGTGTGTGAGGACCCCTGTTGGAGCGGTTGGGCCTTCCTGCCCTTGCCACGGCAGAGGTCGGAAGAGCCAAAGAGACAAACTGCTGAATCTGCCGCGGTTAGCCATACTGAGCCATGTGCTGTGACAGGAACGAAACCTGTTGCTGGCAGATCTGGAGAAAGCTCGAGAAACCGTGCAGCCCTCAGCTTGCTGTACTGGGTGCCGGAAAATGCAGAGGATGCAGCTCACCCAAGGCCAGCACTTTGGGAGTGGTGGATGTAGGGGAGAAAGGCGAAGGCGCAGCTACACCAGCTACACGTTGACAATACTAGTAGCTCTATTGAAGCACTCCTGCAGTGCTTGAGTTTGCTTTAGGGGATTTGATGTCGAATTTTCTCATCACCATTGAGTGCTACGATCCATTTTTTACTGACAAATGTCGATTTATCAGACGAATTCGTCCGTAAACGCAGGTTTCAACTTTTGGATTTTGGTGCAGCTCCTTCGTATCCAGTGCGCAGCTCAGTCCATAGGGAACACCACTTGTTGCTACTGGTAAGAGAAGATTCTTCTAAGCACCGCCGGTTTTGATTCATGTTTGAAGAGCGGGAGGTTCAGTCGCGATGATGTCAAGGCGGGTTTGGCAGCTGATCATCAGAACAGAGGGCTTGCTGTCATCTGGTTCCAGTGCCCACAGTTTCATCTTCTAGGAAGGAACCGCCAGTTTCAACACATGCCATGAGGTCCTTGACCGGGAGAGCCAGGCTGTAAGCGAAACTATGCTCGAGCCACAGCTTTGATCGGAAGACCCATATAGCGCGGTGCCACTCAGCTGTTGGCAACTGCATTTCAGGTTTTCCCAGGGTGAAGTTGATGGCTTCCGCGAGAGCTTTGTGTCTTGGTTCGAGCGCCAGGTGGGATTGGTTTGTTCGCATGCAGTCATGTCATCTCACATTGGTGGCTTTCAGCTCAGTTGTCTCATGACTAAAGCATGGCAGGGGCGGCGCATGTCTGCTGGCAGCGAAGCTGCCGAACAGGAAAACAAACAGCACGGGGAAAGTAGCCAACAGCCAGACAGTCATTTTTTCCGTATTTTTTTCTCCGTTACCTTATGTTATAGGCGGCTTGTCTTTCCAACACACTTGCATCCTCTTTCGCATCATATAGCATGTTATATCACCAGCTTGGATCCGTTCAAGACATCTGGGCTTTCCAGGATCAGTCCGATAAGCGCATCAAGGAGCTTCACAAGGAGCAGGGGGCATTTGACAGAATGGTTTTGGGATGGTTTAGGACGTGTTCGATTTTTACCTCCCAGCAATCCCCTGCAAATCTGATGTGCATTTGTTTGTTGAGAGGACACCTTGGTCAGTTTGATCCGATCACTTGGGTGCAAGATCGATGATGACCAGAGGAAAAGGCAGCAAATCGACAGATTTTCGATGATTTTCGATTCGGGGACCCAATGTTTGGATCCTAAAGACTCCCTCAAATTTGAATAAATTTGATACTTACTGATGTTTCTGAAGCTACTACATTTGTTACTGCATGATGCTGCATGCCCTGGATTGCGGCACATTTACGGGCACCAGGTTGGACCGTAAGATAGAAGAGTTGGTGCCTCAGTATCCTCAGTTCTCACACGATTGATCTGGATTGCTCATACCCATCGATTGACCCAGGCTGAATCCGAATTCCAACTTGGACTTCCCAGACTTCCTTAGGTGTGGGACTCAGAGAAGGTCGCATTCGTGGTGTGATAGTTGTTGCAAGAGTTCAGCTTGTTCAGCCACCGTTGCAAATTTAGCCGAATCTAGTCGGCTGCCGTAGACATGCAAACATAGAGTTGTACCATGTTGTACCCCACATATCCCCACATTACTTTGCCATGTAGTCATCATTCTGAGATAATTGCCCCTGCATGCGAAGCCTGCTATGTCCAAAGGATCCGAACACGCAATCCTGCAAAATGACACTTGCGCCGGTCAATGCGCTGAAAGTGTGGCGTTCTAACCTTGCCTAAGGTTGATGCGCTGGATTGTCACAGTGGACTTCGGGGGTATTAACGGATCGTAGTTAAGAGCCCCTCAGCTCCTTGCATGAATTCGTGACACTATTTTGCAATGCCAAACCCATCAACTGCCCGAGGGCAAGGTCTTGACTGACCGTTCAAGGGCAAGGTTGAAGAGTCCTGGCAGGAGTACCGCAGAATTGCGTGCTCAGAGGTCGTTGGAGCCTCTCAGCTCATAGCCATAGCCTGCAGCAAAGCTGCGCTCAGACTCTCAGATGCCATGAGCATTCCGCAGAACAGATGAGAAAATGACATTTGTGGTCACTTTGGATGCCACTTCATGCTGCTTTTACGGCATCGCGCAGATGTATGAGAAAACCATAGAAAGCCCGTGGTTCCGAAGGTGGCATGCAATGCGGAATCAGAAAACCAACTGATGCGAGTGTTTCAGTTTTCAATTGTGAGTTTGCGGGCTGCTGCTGCTGCTGCTGCTCCCACTTGACCAAGAATACTGTGAAGTCAACAGGTCTAATTCAACTCAGAAGCACTGCTTTAAGCCAAGGCATAGAAAGTCCGCCATTACCACTGACTCACTGACTGGCACTGACTAAAGCAGAACCAGAGAAACCCAGAAACATTGGACGCACAGTCAAACCGATCTAATCATATCTAACCAATCAGCCCACATTTGGATTCAAAAGAGCCTTACATTTTTGCGCCTGGAGCTGCGCTCATGCAAACGAAGTGAGCGATGGCACTTGCGAGTCAGGCCAAGCCACGCTAGCGGCATGGCATTCTGAACATCTGTAGAAATCTGTAGAAATCTGTAGAAATCTCATCCAATCTGTGTTTGGTACGCTGACACTTGATGTGTCCAGGCGCGCCAAGCCTCCTCTTCAGCGCTGGGATCCTTTGCTGCGTCATGACCTCGAAACCTTCAATGCTTCGTCATGGCTTCGTCACTTTGGCATAGTTTGGCTCGATGCAATGCCTTTGCTGTCATAGGTTTTGCAGCTATCTTGGAGTGTGTCATTTTGCCCGGCACTCAGTGGCCAAAATTGGATCTTCGACTCTTCGACATAAAAGAAGGTTCTCTTTGTTTGTGAGATGCACGGGTATTATTGATTGAATATTGTTGGCGACGCTGTAGAACAGCTTGACTTTTGGAAAGCCGAAATTCTGTGTTCATGTTGAACGTGATTTTGAACGCATCGTCATATTGGATGAAAACAATGTAACGGATGATAGCTGGGCTCCTTTCCATGGTGTTGAAGAGGAATTGTGTGGATACATGTCATTCACATTTAGCCGCTGGGTTTTTCAAGCTTTTGATGAAACGTGGGAATCACAACCCAGCACTATCCTAGCAACACTTTGCCCACGCCCAATCCTTTTCGAAATAGTTGGTTGGGTGGCAGATTGGCTCCAATAGTTTCGAGAGCAACTGATGCAGTTTACACCGTCACAGCCTTTGAACATGTGAAACGTTTCTGACCAAGAGTTTCTTATTCTTAGTTTTTAGCACCACCCGACGTTACAAGTTGTACAAGTTACAAAATCTCCAAGTTCCGCGTGCCATGGGCCATGGGTGGCCATGGCGACGACTCACAAGGCGATGCCGCGATGCTTCATGATTTGATGAGATTCCGTGACCAGTTGTAGTGGCACCGATGTCTAGATATGTCTAGAGCCTAAAGATTCTAAAGTCAGAGTCTACAGTGCTTAAATATGCTTAAATGTATTAAAACTTAAAACATATAACAGTATAAATTTTAAATATAACATAATACATCATAATACCGTATAACTTATATCGTGTCATGTCCCTTCCCCCTTTCACAGATATGTTTCTTTGCCTTCATCAGGGATCTTCTGCACACTTGGCCTCCCAATAGCTTTTGCTCGCCCTGTGAGATGCCATTGCAGCTTTGCAAGCTGCTGTGGAGCGCTTGGGAAAGGCTCACGACTTCCGAGAACTCACGGCAGGGCGGCAGGACGGAACACTAAGGCACTAAGGGCAGTTCAGGATCTATGGTCATCGGTGGTCAGGATTCTGGATGATCCTCCATAACTTTCCTGAACATGTGGATGTTTAAGAGAGAACCGAGGTAGCCTGGTATATCCTGGAATCATTTGTTGTCGTGTGGTGTCATGCGTCATTTAAACTCCCCTGGTATCAATGTCTTGTTCCTGCTTGCTGTGCCTGAGGAGTGTCTGAGGCTAGCAGCACAACTCAGAGATTCGCATGCGGAAGGCAAGAGCAACGTAGAGAAACTGCTCTCTATCAACAAGGCGCACCGCTCTTATATTCCTACATATATCTACCAAAGATGTAGAAGATGGTTTAAACATGCATGCCAAGCACGATCAGATGGCAACAGAAAGACCTGGACCATCCTGGACCTATCTCCTGGTGTGTGACGCTCTGTTGCTTTACCCAACTCTACCCGGTATCTACCCACTTGATCTTGATCCCACTTGAAGATTGTTGAAGGTACTGCATCAGGAGCTACGAAGAGAACGACTAAGAGCTGATTCCTCTGACAAGTCACGGTATCGAATGTGCTTCAGTCGTGAGAAGGCCCAACTCTCAAGGATTTGCCATGGGCTTTTGATCATTTTTGCCATGATCTCTGCCATGATCCAACGATATCCAACCATAGATTTAGAAATTCAGTCACTGATGTCACTGATGTCACTGAGCGTTTGACAATTTGACCTCACCGGAGCCTTGACATTGCTTCAGCCAGGTGACTGTAGCCGAGTGGCAGTTCTTCGCACTTGTCAGGAGACAGGGGAAGTGGATTTCACCATCCAGCCTGATGCGAAAGGATCTTCACATGCTGCAATTGAAGAACTGCGCAGTCAGCTGGCTGATGATTCATCAGCACTGTGGAATGGTACCCTCTCCAAATTTGCAAGTCACATCGATCGTTTCAGTGCGATTTTACCATCGCCGCACTGCTTGTGGACACCAGAGCAGAAGGTTCTCCAGGAGCCTTCCATCAGCCAGAAGGTCTTCGAAGACCTGCACGACTTGGAGGGAAACCCTGAGCACCGGGAAAGTTCTGATGATGAAGTTGATGTTCGAAAACGGCCAGAGTATTGGGGTGTTCGGGTGCGTGAGTTGGCACAATTTCACCAGACCATTCGTGAAGAACTGGTGGCCTATTGCGCTGATCATATGATGCGCTTTGGTGCCAACGGTTGCGTTCACTTATGCAAAAAAGGCTCTTGCAAGTGGGGAGACCACTCTGGCATTCAACATCAGAAGCTGGAAGACAAGTCCGGCGCGAGCGAACTCCTTCCCAACATGCATGCTGTTCATGGCTCAGTTTAGGCTTCAGAACGTGAGAAACCGTTCGGTGTTTCTTTGATCTGGGGTTTTAAGTGCGAATCAACTGGGGGATTCGGCGATTTTGACATGGCAAGAATAGCGGCACACATTCATAGCACATGTGAGCTTGGATCATTTGCAACCTACTGTAGGTGGTGGCTCGATATGTCAAGCCTCAAACGAGGGATGTGGGGAAATCATGGGCTCTGAAGCTGACACTAAGCCGCAAAACTAACATGTCCAAGGTTTTCGTGCTTGGCATGGATTATCATGGATGCTTGGAGCCATTTGCATGATTTTACCCGCCTTGCTTTGAGGCATCCAGAAGGACACTTGGACAAAATATGACAAAATCAGGTGTATTGAGTCAAATTGAGAATCCAGACGTGAGACATCTTGAGACTTGTCATGGAGGCCTGGTTTTGAAACTGGTCTCGAGACTGGATGAACACCCGAGGGCTTCGGATCACACATTTCATCACTCACACTTGGGAGGAGCTTAATGCGGGATGTCGGCATGTCATGTCAGGATGCACGTCAAGCTGCATCGAGTGCCCCCGACTGGATTCCTGCAGGAGCTTTTTGCAGATTTTGTCGGCAGTTTGGAGCATGCTCTTGATGCTGAAGATGCCTGGCGCTCAATGATGGCCTTGAAATTCTAAAGGAAGTTATTATAGATTATGGATGGTTATCCCATGTCATGACCCGACATGTGTCAATGTTGTAGCGATATGCCACGATATGCCACGATATGCCACGAGAGTCAGGTAGTTTGGGTGTGCAGCCTGGCTCTGGATCAGACTCCTTGCTGCAGTTTGTGGGAAGTTTTTGAGCTCCAGTCAAAATTCGGTGCATCGGTTTCCACATTTCAAAATGCTCTATTGTGTCCCACATGCAGTGTATGTATGATGTCATTTGCTGCCTTTCCATATTCTTTGTTTCCTCATCAGGACCCCTGGTGTAGGTCCAGGTGTGATCAGTAATCTGACTTGATGAATAATTACCATTTGCTGGTTGCATGCTGGCTAGTAGCCTCATGCACAAAAACAATCACAAACATGAGCTCGGGCTCAGGAACGCAGACATCGGGAAACTTCTAAATGTGGAGCTCTCCAAGTCTCCGTTTGCCTTGGCACTGCAGCGTGCATCAAAACAGCTGGTGGTCTTGGATAGGATCCTCTGCAGCAAATCGGTCTTTCGAGGAGTGTCAGCAACAGGCAATAACAGTCGCGAAGAAGCGACAAGCGGAGTAGCTTTTCTTTTCTCCACATTTGTGGGCCTTTCCCAACTTCTCACCAACTGCCACCATCAACATGGTTCTGCCCTCGGCCAAGGGATTTGAAAGTTCCACGGCGGTCTTGGTGTGCTTACGAGCTGCTTGGCATCTGTGAAAGAAAGCACATCTCCAGTATCAAATCCTTCAACATCCTCTACATTCCTCTACACTCTTGTGCGTGTTTGATGGGACATTTTGAATTTCAGCTGCTCAATATTCAACCTGCTTCCCAGGCTGGCCCTTGCTACCCGGTTCTCGATGCCGGCGTTTCTATGGCCGCATCCGAAGTCGAACATCGAGAAGCTCAAAGCAGAAATAAAATCACTGGATTTGCGAAGTGCCTCCGCTAGCAGCCTGGATGATCAGGACAGGACCTTTGCGAGCGGCTGCAAACGGCTGCACGTACCGTGCTCCAAGTGACCTGACATCCTTGTCGAAGGATAGATTTGGGGTAGACGTGTGTCAGGAGAAGATATTGAAGGATATTCAAGAGAATGAGGGCTACGAGAAGCTGAACGCTAGATATCGGTCGTTGCTGCAGCTCACTCTCAATTTCTACTCCTCTGCTATGAGCCAGGCTGGCCCAAAGTGGCTTTCAAGAGTCTGTTGTCGCTTCCGTGTTTCTTTCCTGACCGCCCCTGACCTTGACAGGTGGCCGCTTTGTCGGCACAGATCCAAGAAGCTGTCAAAGGGAAGGATTCGGAAAGAGAGGACTGGGGGACTTTCTCGGTCTCATTTGAGGTGTTTGACACATGCCTAACATCAGAAATAAGATAAACCGATAAACCCAAAAATAAACCATCCCCAATTGAGCAGCATCCACATTATTGGGTTTACATAGGTTTACCGCATCCCATGTTTTGTTGCTTAAATCCCTAATATTGTATTCGATGTTTTTTTTGGGATGAAATCAGTTGGATTATATAGTATTATATAGTTTTTGATGGATTTGATGTTTTTCTTTGATAGATCCCCATTATCATTGGATCGATTCATTATATACTTGTATCATGGTATGTCCTCGCAATCTCGCAATCAAACACGGTAATGACGGTAATGGACAATCCTCATTTACAGAATAATGTTATATTTTTTTTTCATCGGATGTCATCGGATTTCCATGGAGAAATTCCATTTATCATCATATTCGTCATATATTCGTCATATTCTGATGGATTTCCCATGGATTTCCCATCGACTGGGTCTGCCTGGAGCCTGGCGCTGTAGGCCCAGCTGCTCCAGCTGCGTCGCTTCGAGCTGCGGCGCTTGGAGGAGACGCACGGCGCGGAGCAACGCTGTGCCATGCTGCAGGCACGCTGCCGAAGCCTGGAGCAGGACCAGAATCATCCAGGATTTGAGTTTCTCCAAATGTGTGAAAGACACAATCGACGCAATGCTATATAGAAAATTATAGAAATAAGATGAAATAAGCAAACACATAATTAGATAGAGAGAGAGAGGGATATATATACTGTATATATATAGATATACACATAAACATACGTACACATATGAATATGTACATCTACACTGATATCAAGCATATATATATAGATAGATAGATAGATAGATATATATATATATTATATCCAGTATATAGACTTTCTTGAAACGCATGGTCAAGTGTCAAAGCGTTGAAAAGATGCGGGAACATCAAATGAGACCGGTGAGAGCCACATCTTGACTTGCAATTGCAGCTTGTGAGAGGAGCTGGAACAAATGCGGGGCTTTGTGCGTTCTGTTGCGAAAGCTGGGGTCCACAAGCATCACAAGCACGACGATAAGCATGCGGAGGCCGGGATGGGAACGGCCAATACCACAGCGACTGTTGGACTGTTCCTTGGCATTGGAGGACTGGATGCTTGCTGAAACGGGCAGGGAACAAGACCAGCTCCAAGAACCACCTGTCGTGAAGATGCTTGGATGATCTTGGATGATCTTGGATGATCTTGGATGATCTTGGATGATCTTGGATGATCTTGGATGATCTTGGATGATCTTGGATGGTTCATCATGGTTCTACTATGCAGCAAGTGCAAATGACTTGCATCTGCTCTTCTAAAAGAACTCGCCAGGACCAAAACACTCTGCATTTGAACACATATGCGATCAAATTTCAGCTTTATATAAATCATTCCACGTTATTCCAGAAATCATGTCATTCCATGTGGTTCATAATAGTTCAGAAGAAAAGTGAATGTTGTTCAAATAGGATGCATGTGAAGACGAGAAGCAGTGCTAAGGTCATCGAGCTGTTGCAGTTCTGTACCCCTCTTCAATCGTATGTGACGCGTGAAAGGCATGCGTTGCACAGGCGTTGTTTGGAATGCAAACGAGTACTTACTACAGCAGTTGCAATCTATTGCAGCATGATGATCATGATATGCTTGGAGGTCTGCTAGCTTGATTCAATTTGATGTTGGCAGAATCTCTTCAGGCAGACTATAACGGGAGAAAAACTCCTGGGGTTGTGTACATAATGGAGGGGGCAGATGCGCTTTTGTATCGCAGCAGTCCCAAAAAAGTGGCGAAGCGACAAGTTCCATGGTTTGAGATTCAGGATGGCTCCGGATAACCAAAACAACTCTGCCCATGTTTGTGCATCTATAGGCCGATGCTTTGATGCCGGCGTCTCAAGCAAGTGTGGATCTTAGTAAGTCTTAGGAAATCTTAGTCTGATTCAGGATCAGGAAGATCTTTCGTGGAGCTTAGTCTTGTGGATTTTGCACATGTTCTCATGGCGTACCTGAAGCATCTGAAGCTAATCTTTCGGTGCATACTGCCAAAACAACTCCAGATGCGCTCGGATTGGCTGCAGCTGCCCGGCCCCCCAGTGGCGCCGGTCTGAAGTTTCCAAAAGCTTCACTCGATATGCCACTCATTGCATGGATGCCACTGCCCCGCATCATCAAACCTGATTGTCATTCCATGCTTGTTCACTTGTTCACCAACACTTTTGATATTTTTGGGATCATTTTTGAATATGCTGATCTCGATAATGATCCCGTGAGTCGAAAGGATGAGAAACTTCAGCTGTTGGACTTTCCGTCGATGACACAGTTTTAGCCCGCCTCCGTGGATCGACTCGGACAGGCTTCAGTGAACTTCATGATGCAACGTCGCTCCTTCGCTCCGGGAGCAGTGCTCAATAGCTCCCTGCTGAAGCGTTACGTTCTTGCAGAGGCTCAGACCTGGACTCATTTGGACCCAGACACGAGACTCTTCAGTGACTTACTGGTACATATCAGTGACATGTGGTGCCTGTATGTGCCTGTCTCTAGCAACATGCCATTGGCATCCATTGGCAACATGCTGTTGGATGCATTCGTTGATGTGCTTTGACAACTCTTGTGATCCCTGGAGTTGCAGCTTCAGTTGGGCTCAAATCAAAGAAGTGGGCCAGGGACGGCCAGGGAGACAACGATGGCATCGGGCTCTGGGGAAAAGTCACCAGATGCATTTCAAGACGAGGACAAACCAGGCGTGCTGGACAGACATGGACAGACTGTGTTGTCTGGCTGAGTCTAGCGAATGGAGGGGAAGTGTAAACTGTCAAAATGTGTTAGGACATGTTAGGACTGTTAGGCCCAACAAAAATCCATGTTCATGGCTAGGCGTTTGCCGCAAATGTGCAGAGTCTAGCCTCGACTGCTTCGCCTTTTTGGGTCGCGGTGCTGTCGCCACTGGTGGGGCTGTAGCAACCGTAACAAAGCAATGTGCGCATCTCGCTCGCATGTGTAGTCTGTGAAGGCCAAAGGTTGAATTCACAGCAGAGCAACACAGATTCCTCTCTAGAATGTGGCACGGAGGGCCCGCTTTGATTTCAGCAACCATAAGCCAGCAATGTCCGAGGTACCCTGTGAAGGAAAGTTTGCTTGCCACAGCCGATAGCACCAGCAACTACTTGCACCCATGGCAGCAGAAGCTGCCAAGCGACTCTCATGTGCCGACCTTCCGAATGTGAGAGCGGGCTGAGCGGGTGCAATGATTCGATGGTGTTCACGATGTTGACTGAGTGTCTGCCAGGGCTACAAGCTCTTGCCCCGAAATGACACATGGTCAAAGCTCTTCGTGGCTAGTCTGGGAGATGCTGAACATGTCATCAAGAGCATCCTTTGCGTAGCCCAGAATTCGATAGCAACTCGGTTTGAGCCCTGCCAAAGGCAGTCACCCACCCTACGCATGAAAAGAACGTGCGTGCCTTGATGGATAGCATTTGATTTGACATGTTAGTCTCTGAAATGATGTGAAATGTCCCAAATCTATCCAAATCTGCCATCATGCTCGGGACATCTTGGGACTTTGGCTTCTCCCCCCACCGGATTGAATTCTTTCCGGGCAGGCGCTCATCGTCAGCATTCAGCAGGTGTTTTTCCTAACCCTCCTCGAGACGAGGCCGGCTTCTGTGCCTTGAAATGCGAAAATTCGGAACAATTGGAAGTTCCTGGAAGATGTTGATGTCATTTGATGGCATTGAAGTATTGAATCAGTGTTGCAACAAAGCTTTGTGACTCGCTGAGGCCATTCCTGGCACATCTGGGCCATGTGTCTCAGGAAGATCCCTGGCTGCTTGGTGGACTGCGAATGGCAAGTCAGGCCGGCGGCCAGCGGCTGCCACCGCATCTGCTGCAACGCTAACCCGGCAGCGCTAACGCTGCGAGGCCATGGTCTTCGTTGCAGTGTCCTTTCCGCTTCGCAAGTCTCCCTGGCACGTTGATCGCAGTGACTGGCTGACAGAACGAAGACGGACGAGAATTAACTTAAATAAATAAATAAACAAACAAATAAATAAACAGTATATATATATATAATATACTCAATGGGATTCAATGGGACAGAATAATACATAATGATTCTACACCCACAATCTCAATCAATCAATCAACCAATCAACCAACCAACCAACCAACCAACCAATCAATCAATCAATCAATCAAACAACCAACCAACCAACCAATCAATCAATCAATCAATCAATCAATCAATCAATCTCTCTCTCTCTCTCTCTCTCTCCCACACACACACAGACACACAAGACGAATATGATCATGTTGATTATGGCAATAAAATTGTATGACTGATACTTATATACAGTACTGATAGTAAGGATAAGGATACTGATAATATACTGATGATGACAATGATGACAATACGTAAACAGTTTGATAGCTAGTTTTCAATCATTTGCTGTGTTCGCCGATGGCAGTAGGTGTCTCTTTGCATGTTCATATTCGCTGCAGCAGGTACTGGGTTTTCGCAGCCTATGAGTTGCCACTCTACTCTCACAGAAGATCGGCCGCATGCCAGACACCTTCGCTTCCGTGATCTGACCACATGTGAGGACTCGCTGTCAGCAAACCAAAGTGAGATTGTAGCAGTAGCAGCGGGGCTTATCGCAGGGTCTTTTGGATCCTTGACCCGGCCGTAGACGTTGGCAGTGTCAATAGCATCGTGTGGAGCATGTTCTTACCATGTGCGTTGAGTTGTGTCTGCGTTTTTTTCTCCCATCAATGTTTCAAATCAAGCATGATGCATCAGGAGTGCCAGAATTCGAATATGCTCCGCGTTTAGCCAACGACAATGTTGCTAGCGTCGAAACGACGTCGTTTATTTATGCACTAGTAACCAATCTTGGGTTCTAGAAGCTTGGATGCAGTGGATGCAGCCATCTACGCACCGAGCTGCATGGCTTTAAAGTTGCTCGGGCGTGTTGGCTTGCGTTCTCTCTTGCTATTGGTCATTCAGTGGTCATGCAAATTACATGACCCTTTCAGTGCCAGAAAGGACACTTGGCTTTGTGCAGGCAACGCCTGCATTGTGCATTCAGCCAAGTGTCCTGGAAGACCTGGAAGTCTGTGAGTTGCCAACGGGTTGTTTACAAGAACCGGTATACCCGGTATACGGTATGAGATGCTATGAGGCTGACCTATCGGACCTATCGGATCTTGGGCTTAAGTAGGTGACGCTGAGCGGCATTGACAACGAGACTCTGGGGACGGGAGCAGACAGGACAAGGCAATGCACAGTCCAGACAGTCAAGAACTACTTTATCAAAACGCCTTGGTTCAGAGCTTTGCCAATGCATGGCCCGGAACAAGGGTCATTTTGACGAAAGCCTGGCAAAAAGAGGTTTCGGAAGTCCTGTCCAGCTCCGGGAACTGAAAGCCGGATGCTACTGTTCGAGCTTGAGACTGAAGCATCATTTTTCAAAGCTTGGACTGTCCAATAATAATGAGCCTGGCTGGAGTGATCTTCATCACGACAGCGAGGTGAGAAGTATCAACATGGAACATGGGATATCTTCTCGTTGAGCATTCCAAAACTAGATTAGAAAGTGCTGATTTGAACATGTTTTAACACCATTCTTTCAATTCAGACAGTGCTCCAAGACCTAAGACAAAATGTGCATGTCAAGCATGTGAAATATCACTACGATAGTATGGCATCCAAGCAGTTTTTTTCGTTTTTCTAATTGGTATCAATTCAGGCTGATGATGCTGACATTTCTCAAAGTCAAGTGGAACCACGCAACGTAGACATCCATAGATGAGCGAATTGAGAAGCAATGTGGTGCCTTCCAGTGCCAAAGCCTCACAGCCTCCCAGCTGCTCAACCGCATCCAGCTTGGCGTTTCATTAAACGAAACTTTAAACACTTTAAAAACCCCAGGCTAAGTATCGCTAAGTGATCTCCATGATCTCCACAATGCTTCGGCCTTCAAAGTGGTTTCCGAGTCATCAATCCCTCAAAATCCCTCAAATGCATTGTAAGATTTGTAAGTAGTTCTTGCCATCCAGCCCGAATCCAGTCCGAATCAGCCCTTTCACTTTTATTTATGCAATTTATGCATGCAACCGCTTGAACGACTTGACCTTGACGCCCACTTGCCGGGTTGGCGCATTTGGCACTTTGCGAATCTTTGATCATGTCTGCATACTTCACATATATCTTCACATGGATGTTTCACGATGTTTCAATCTGAGACAATGCTGTGGCTCGTTTGGTGCATCACCTGGGAGGCTTCTTGTTTGTAGGGAACTCGCACACCTATCAGCCGAAAGAGCTGGGTGGAATCCCTGGTGCATTTGCCCGGCTAGCTGGAGCCTATGGGCAGGATGTGTCGCTTGCTGCAACTGATATAGGACCGGAACGACTCCGACATGAATCCGACATGAAATTGTCGAAGTTTCGTGCTTTTCAATTCTCATGCAGGCATCTGATGACACATATCAATACATATCAATACATATCATGCATATCACATGCATGTGTATATTCACATGGGGCGTAGTATATGCCCTTAAAAGCGCACATGTCTATATTTTCTATGGGCCTGACCAGATGTGGATTTGGCACATCGCATCACGCGGGTCCCAGGTCTACCTTCCAGGTGACACAGGGTGGTGCTGACCTGGCAGATCTCTGGGAAGAATTCGAACAGTTTATGCAGAGATCCAGTTGCCCGATCTGTGTCGATTAGATTCGCAGATGCTGTGATTGATGCTGGTGACTGCTGGTGATATTTGCCGTTTCGTGCCAGAAACTCTTCTCAGGTAAGGATGGTGTTGTCTTCGGCACTGTGGTGCTGCAGGTAGGCAAGGGCTCAGGTGAGGGTCGCTTCGTCATGGCGGTTTCTTGTCCAACAGCTCGGGTTGAGCGTCGAGCATCCAGAATTGGTGAGTTTATGGGTGAGTCAGTAGGTGAACGATGGGGTGATACTATATTAATTTTAATATAGGTGAATGATTAGGTGCTATTGCAATACTTTGTTATGTAGTTATATATTGTATATGTGACGTGAATGATCAGATATCTTATGATCATAGTCAACATGGAGTTAATGAATATGTGACGTGAGCAGATGGGTTGAGGGAGCGATGGGATCTCAGGAAGTCCTTCGACATCGCTATGCGCCTTTGCTTCTGGAGCAGCCATCCAAGCCACGGGTGGTGCTGTACCAAACCTGGTCACTTGGCGATGGCAGCCGTCCACTGCATTTCGCCATGTTCCACCACATTCTAACCCACTTAAACTTACATAAAGTATCATAAAGTCATTAAACAACTATCTACTGTATGTGTCTATCCATCCATTTGCGTACACATTCGGATATTTACAGGTATCATCTAGCTATCCTGCTGTCAATCCATCTATCGTTCGTTTATGATGCGTTGAATGGAAACGGAGCCGTTCCTTTCGGAAGGTCTACACCTTGGCCACAGCCCTCTGAAGCAGATGAGCTGGATGCTAGCCTCCAGGCACATGTCACATCATTTCACTGTGTGTGGCCACCTTGGAATGGATCATGATCTGTCTTTGGCAAAGTGCCTGCTTGTATTCGCATTATCTAGCATTCCTGACATGATTTGGGCATCCACAATGACATGCCGACATGCCATGGCTCCATTTGAACAGAAATGCGGCGTGCACTGAGTGCATCTCCAATGTATTTGCATCGCGTGGCCACAGGAGTACCACTCAGTGCTGCTCTCTGCAGGCATCAAAGAAGCTGGGCAAACATCCGCCAACATGTTTTCTTTTTGAGATAGCGAGGATGTTTATCAAAGAGTTGACTTTTGGGGCATTCAACATGGCTTTCATCCATCAAAGGAAGTGGTTCTTGCCAAAGCCGGCCATGCCTTTCTCCACGTCAAGCTCTCCGACAGCGTTCACGTCTATCCTGCCTTGTGGAAGGATGACATGGGCCACGGTTCTGCGTTGGCAGGCGCGGAATGCCAATAGATAGATATTTTATATTATTTTATGATATTTTTCAAGTCGCATCATCATGGTATAACATGGCATAGACTTGGGGTGTTATCAACTCGTTGCTTTATATTTGTTGTTGTCGCAGACATGTGTCAGGCGTTTTGGTTGCTGCTGTGCTAGCTTTGGCCTTGAAGCTGACTGAAGGTGAGCGATTGGGAAGGCAGGGTGCATCCGGCAATTGTTTCCATGTGGAATTGTTTGCAGGTAGCATTGTTTTCATGTGTTTTGTTGCTACAGCAGCCTGCCAGAGGATTCTGGAGGCTATGCTACCCAATGCTTGGCGGACAGCAAGTCCTGGGTTTGCAGGCTGTGGTGTGCGCACTAAGCTTTCCGAACAGAAAGATGGGAAAGAATTTTGAGGCACATCGTTGAGCATGGCATGAAAGCCCTGGTCAGGTGCCGCCGAATTTGGACAGAAAGCATGGCGGAACGAAGGTATCTGAGACAAGGGTGAAAGATGGTGAAAGCGTTTGAGATCATTTGAACATCTGAAAGATTCTGAAAGTATATCTTTGAGTTATCTATATATACCGATTTGAAGCGATTTTGTTTACACATTGCTCCCAGGCAAGGCTGCGCCAGCTGCGGTGATGAATCTTGTCAACGACGAGCCTTGTTTATTGGAACTGGCTGTTTGGAAATTGCTCTTCGTTTCCACATCCGTTGGCTTTTGGGTTTGTCATAGCTGAAACCGCCTTGGCTGAGCAACTCGCCCGCTGAGGAGGAAGATCTGCCTTTGAACAAATATCCACCAGGAATGCGCACTGAGCGAAGAGATTTACCCTTCCTTGGTGTCTCAGCGAAAGATGTCAAAGCATGCCAGAGCCTACGGTTGTCCAACTTGTTCCTTTTCTTCCCTTCCTTTTACATCCTTTTACCAATTTCTTCAATGGCAATGGGTGGCAATGGCATGCCTCCTGTTTCGCATCTGGGCTCTTGAGTCTAAGGTGACGTGGTGGCTGCAGCAGCGGTGGCAGTATTTGATAGGACCCTGTCAGTCAGAAGCCCAAGACAGAAATGTGCCTTTCAGTGCCTGTGCCTTTGATCGAGTTTCGGGGCGTTGGAGTCTAGAGAAATAAAGGGAAAATATGGGAAAATAAAGGGAACATAATCGAACACCTTGATGGTGCTGAAGGCAAAGCCCGATGCAGCAGATTCTGCCCCAACTTCATCGCAAGGAGGCCAACAGCAGCTGCTTTCATGGTGGATTTCCGGGGAAGCTAGGGTGTTTCGAATGGACATCAGGCTACCAAGCTGGGCCCAAAGAGTCAGGCTCCAAAGCGAGGAGGTGGCAAAAGAAGTGAAAAAAGATGCAGTGAATGTGATGATCATCAGAATCTGTCAGCCTATGCGATCCAGAGTTTTGCTCACCTGTTTATGAACATGACCAAACCACACCAAGCCAATTGACGTCATTCGCTCTCTGCTCACCTCACCTGCATGGAACACGTATTTTTGCAAGTCCCATAGAGTCTTTTGAAGCAGCAATCGCCCACTGCTTTAATAATCTTCAATACTCTTTAATAGCTCCAATTGAAAAGCATGGCTTGTGACTGGACACTTTGCAAGGCCCATGGCCTTAGACAATTTCATCTTTGAATACAATGTGATGCATGCTGCGCACTCCTCACAACGCATGTGACGTATGTGTCCCTGTTTCCATGGCCATGGTCCAGAAGCTGCATGATGCACTGGCCATGTAGCTTGAAGGGCAAGATGCTGAGGTGATGTGGGCATGGCCTGTTCAGATTACCAAGAAAGCCAAACCGTTTCACATCATGCCTGAAGTTTGCTTGCATGCGTTTCATCACATTTTTGAATGCTACTAATGCTTTCTTCCCTGGGAACATGATGCCTGTTTGCCACCTGAAGTAGCAACCAAGGCCATGGACCCTTGGCACTCAAAGGGGTTAGGCCTCTCACCTGACTATGGTGGTCCCAACCTGTGGCGAACGCATTTCAAAGATTTTTAAAGCCACAGAGTGCTCAGCCAATTGAGTATTCTGTGATCAGTGATAGACGCAGTACCACCAATACCTAGGCTTCGCAGGTGCCGCGCACCAGGCCATGTGCGATGGAGTTGCTGTAGCTTAGCCAGCTTAAGCCGCTTAAGCCGCTTAAGCCTTGCATTTCGCGTGCTTGTTGTGGCCAGCTCTGTGCTGCCTCTGGCTGCAGGATCCACAGCTGTCCAGCTACGGAGGTTGCATGTCAGCATGTCGGCTCGTTCCGGGTTACTTCAACTTGACAACTTACCTGAAACATCAGAAACATCCAGAAACATCCTGCAGGCTTTTCCAGCTCCCCTCCCATCCAGAGCTTTGAGCGGCCCGGAACTCTTCGAGCACACCAGGAGGAACACGTGCATGCTGTATCTTAAATACTTCCAAGTCTGAGTGGGGACTTTCCTAAAAGCACGAAAGGACCTTTGAAGCATTGAAGATTTAGCATGGATGTTATGATCTTAGTCGTATCCATACTTGGGTGCAGGACTTTCAAAGATCCACAGGTGGCTATAAGTCTGGCAAGGGCAAGGGTGGCAAGGGCAGCAAAAGCCATGCTGGCAAAGATGGATGGAGCGGAAAGGCGCATCAATGTGGCTCAAGATGACTTGACTTTCCCTCTGAGATCCTTTGAACACTTGCACAATTACTGTATTATCATGTTGCTTTTGCTGGCGAGGCTGCCCCTGAGCCAGAGCGAAAGGTTGGAGGTTCGATTCCGAGCATGTGATGAAATCTTGCTATGTGAGGTACTGTGGCCGGGTCACGTTGAATCATTCCTGGTAGCCCCTTTGGAGTTTAAGGATGTGGTGGTGTGATAGCCGAACTCACCAGCGACGGCCGCCTGGGAACTATGTCCAGGAATGACAGGACACAAAGTTTAGCCCTGAGCCCATGGACTCCCTTGGCGTGAATCTTTTGGCCCCTGACTCCCTTGAGTCAGCTACAGCAGCTACAGTCACATCTAAGGTGATTTTCGGCACTCCAGGCGTCCACAAACATCACAAGCTTTTGACAAAGATTACAGCCGCAGAGTTGACTACAAAGTTTCTGAGCCCGACGATGACTGGGCAAAGAATCCAGCGCCTTGGCCAAATGACAGGGCATGCTTTGCATATCTTCGCATTTTGCCAGAAAAGTTCAACGCATACTATCCGGCCAAAAGGGTGGGTGTCTGGCTTGGCCAGGATATCTTCAGCTCAGCCAACTATGACAACTATGACAGTCACGTGTGGCTCCCAGTTGTGTCAGAACTTCGGAAATCGCTTTGCAGCCATTGGCGTTTATGTAAAGGGCAGACATTTGTGAGTGACTGAGTGGGCGAGCGAGTGCACACACACACACATACACACACACACATGTATATATATATACACATATTATATATATATACACATATATATATATATTATATATACAAACATATAATATATATTATATATACACACATATATATATACATATATATATATACATATACATACACACACATATATATATACATATACATATACATATACATATACATATACATACACATACACATACACATACACATACACATACACATACATATACATACACATACACATATACATACATACATACATACATACATACATACATACATACATACATACATACATACATACATACATACATACATACATACATACATACACTTACACGCACATACGCACACACATATGTATATATATATATATGGTAATCTATCTAAAGGTCCTTGTAAGGAGTTTTAATTGCGAAAGCCGTGCGTGTTCTGTTGGAAAGCCTCGCGCGAAAGTTACTTTTCGAGTTCGCGCAAGTTTTTTTTATTCGCGAAACTTTTGCGAAAATTGGACATTATTATGAATCATTATCGTTGTGCGGATTACAGCTTGTTAAGGGCTACCAACTCCTGCCGCCCGGGCCGCCCGGGGGTCCGGCAAGAGAATGGTACCGCACATTTGCTTTTCCCTTCATAGGTAGCAACCAAGCTTCCGAGGGTGAGGCTTCGCCACAGCCAAACAACATGGTCTTGAGGCAGATCCTTGCACCTGCCGCTGGTACTGATAACGTTGCTTTCTGAAGTCTCAAGAAACAAGTTCCAAATGCAGCAGCCAAGCTTCCAAAAGTGAGGCTCTGCGAGGGCCAAACACCAACGCCCCTGGTGTTTGCTTTTCCTCTGATGCGCCGCCTGCTGATGGCTGGGCCTGCGGGTAATGCAGTTTTCGTGAAAGTTCCCTGAAAGTTTTGCAGAGGAGTGGGCGGACGTCAAGGTGCATTTTGAAGGGGGTGGCCCAGTAAGCCTTGCCAAAAAAATTGCTTAATCAGCAGCAACCTGTCCTGAGAAGGGGAGGCCGTGATGCTAGCTGCATGTTTGCAAGGCTATGAAGAAGTTATCCGTGATAATTTGGTGTGATCTAGCAGATGATGAGTGAATCTCCATAAGAGGAGGTGTGCGCAACATGGGTTCCGCGAAATATAAGCATGGAGTTCGCGAAAGATTCCTGAAAACAAATTGTTCGCGAAGAATGGCCGTTCCCGGATGAATGAATTTTGATCAACCATCATATATATATACAAACATATATATATTTTCCTTTCTCTCTCTCTCTCTCTCTCTCTCTCCCCCTCTCCCTCTGCCTTTCTAAATGTAAATATTAGAGGTGCAAACCTGCCAGTGTACATGAGTATGAATCATATTTTGCTGGTGTCGTTTCTTTTTTGGGTGTGTAAATTCTTCTTTTAATCCAAAAGCAACGTGTCACTGAGGCTTGGGACCAGCCACAAGCTCATGTGGTGCCTAGTTCTGGTGGAAGATGCGCTAGCCTAACTGCTAAAATGCCATACGCTGGCATCGCTGCTGAACTCACCAGTGATGGTCGATTGCGAGCAGATTGGCGGGCTTCGGAAGGTGCAGAATACAACTGCAGATACTGCAAAGATTAGGATTGCTTTGGGTTCCTTTGGGATCTCTTCAAGTGCCAATCGTTTGATTAGAGCTGCATTTGCCATAGTCCAACTGGGAAGGCCATGACTTCGAGGCTTCCAGGCAAGGGAAGGTGGGCAGAGAGCGAACTGTAAATGTTTGGACATGTTATGACACATGAAAACGCAGCCAACTCACAGTTTCCATTCATTTTCCAGGGCAATGACTCGTGGAGCAACGAGTGGAGAGGTAGCAAGCTGTGCCGAGCCGTTGGGCAGTGGTCAACTTTGGCGCTTTTGGAATCCACCTTGCGAAAATGTATGCCCAGAGATGCAGGAAGTGTCAGATCATTCGATGAAAACTATTGGTCTTCACCAGCCAGCAAAGGCCCAATACTGCACTTAAGCTTGGAATGCTTGGATTTTTTTTCGCACAGATCAACTGCAAGACTTGCACTTGAAAAAGCGTCGGGTGCTTTTCAGACTCACATTTTCTCTAGGCTGCCTGCACACTGATGCACCTGGCGGTCTTGTTGTGTCAAAGCGCGAGGCAAAGGCAAGGGCAAAAGCAAGAAGGGAAAGGACAAGGCCAGGGCCATTAAACCAGAGAGGTGTTTGCTTCGTCCTTCTTCTTCAAGTCTTCTTCTTCTTCGTCTTCTTCTTCTTCTTCCTGCTGCGTACCGGTCCAAACTTGAGCAGAACCTTTTGCAAAACTCTGTGGCCGTTGCCTGTGGCCACAGTGCTCAAATGTGCTCAATCGATTGACCCACAAGACGTGCCATAGCTCATGGCTGTGACGAATTTGGATGAGGCCAGGATTCCAGGGAGTTCTCTTGTGATCCAGCTGGAAAATGTTGGAAATGTGGAACCGTCTGATTGAGCAATGAAAAGCAGGTCATGCGCCTCCTGGGTGAAAATGCCGAGGCTACCAGCCGCTTCCGGGGGATGACTTCACCAAGAAACCATGCACATATTGCACTATATATCATGCACGCACATAATTGTGACATCAAATGATGACCGGACTATATAACTGGTTTCCGTGATTTGACACTGATTTCTATTTAAAAAACTTTTTGAGCCACGCCAGGTTAGCGTGGTGGGGCAGACAGCCTTCATGGTTGCTGCAGAGCGGGCCCTAGAAAGCGAACGCGAGGAGCTGAAGACGCCTTCAGAATCTTTAGAGTGAAAACACGGAAAGAGAAGTCAGAAAAACGGGGAAACATTCTAAAAAGATGTAGAAATAACAAGAAATAACAAGAGTCTTAATATTGGTAGATGGCAAGTGGCAGCAAAAAGTTTAACAAGTGAAGATGGCGATGCAAACATACAAATCAAGTGCTGGTAGAGCTGGTAGGGGCGTGAAACGGAGAATTCTTTTGCAATTTTTGCAGGATGCTTTGTTCGTTGATCCCTACGCCAAAGCTCTTTCTGGAGATGGGCTAGGAATGTCTGATCGCTTGGGAGAAGCTGGAAGCCAGTTTGGTTTCAAAAATTGGCCTGAGTTTCACAAGGTGCTCATCTCAGGTGGTTTGGCTGCCCGTTACAAGGCACATTGGCACACATATCAGATCATATCAGCAAGTAGGTCATATCAGAGTCATATCCGGTGTCCGTTGTTGGAGCCTTCAGAATTTCTAGATGTTCGCAAGTGCTTGCCATGTTTGGGCCACTTTGGACAACTTTGGACAACTTTCACCTTGATCACTCAGGTGTGGACAGTGGTTCGCACCAAGTTCATCGATGATATCTTGAGCGAAGTTGCCGTGCCACAGATGGTGAATCTGGGCGCAGGAGTTGATACTCGGCCCTTTCGACTGACCGCCTACGAGCGCTTCAAGGCTTCCTATGAGGTGGACACTGCCGAAGTGTGTGCAGCTTAATTGCTCAACTGGCATACAACTAGCATATCTAGCTGGGGGCGGGAGTTGGGGCACTCTGTGTGTCAGCTCTCCATATGCATGTTACTGATTGTTACTGTACACAGTACAGTTATACAGTATAATGATGTACAATATATTTAGAACTGTCTCATTGGAACTGGATGTCTTCCATTTCAGAACTGAATGTCTTCCAATCTTGTGTCAGTGAGTGGCATCTGATGATCTACTACCTATCACCGCTCATCTTCTATCACTCGCGTGGTGCAACCATATCACACAGCTCGGCTCTTTCATATTCAGTTTGTTCCTGGTGATTCACGTTGCTATCAATCTTTTCTTAGTTATCCAAGTTATGCATCATCAAGTCTGTTTGATATTGTTTGATTGTTCGCCAATTTCATTTGCAGTGCGAAAGTGACAGCTCAACTCGAGACAGGTTCCCCAAACCTCCGACGAAAGACTGCGCAAACTCGAGAGCTTACATGAGCCAAAAACCGAATAGCGGAGGAAGTCTTTGCAAAAGGGTATCGGTATAACGGCATAAACCAGAGGGGTGGGCCAAAGCCAAAGCAGACAGGAAGGTCAACAGGGTTTTGAAACGGCTCATGTGACTTCTAGAATTTGAATGAATTTGACAGATTCCTGCCAATGTACCTGTACACCCGCACGTACATCTACCTATCCTACCGTTCACATATCCATCATGTTTACCCATCGTACAGCACCGTTCTCAGCTGTGCCCAGCCAAATCATCGTACCCTGTACTGTGGAATCCAACGGATGGCCCTTGAAACCACCAGTTCCCTCGGCCATTTCCTCGACCTCTGCTCTGAGCATCGAGCTATTTCTTCGCGCTGCAATGAGTTCAGAAGCCTCCACTTGCTCTGCCAAATTGCAATTTGACACCTCCAGTTGCATTCTCAGAGCACGAGGGTTGCACCAAATCGGGCAACTTTGCGAACCACAGTTCCACTGTGGACGTTTCCCTGCCATTCCGAGATCTTTCTTGCGAATCAAGCTCTTTCCACCGTGGTTGACACATTTTCTTGCAAAATGACGCTCTAGCTACAGTCTGGCGTGCTTTTCCCCGGCCCTGTTTTTCCAAAAGTGCTCTCGAATTGCGGCGACGGATGACCCTACACATCACGTAGACATATGGTCAAAATTACATCTGATCATACTTCAGAAGAACGTCTAATAATAAGATTTCCTTTTGTAAAATATGTCGGACTTCAACTTCAACATGGAAAGGCTTCTTCTGATACTTCATGACTTTCATGGTTGCTGAGTGGCGCTGAGGAACGCAGTTAAAAGTGCGTTCTTTTCTCATAATGCAGCCACGCCACTATGTCCTGTTGTGAACGTGTCGGCAGATTTTTGCACAGCAGGCTGGGTGCCGCATTCATTATGTTCAAAGTTCATGAATTTTCTTACAGATTCCCAATAGGCCTAACCGGATAATTACTCGCAATTTGTAATCTATAAAGCTCTCCACATCTTCCATGGTCCTTGCTGTGCAGGAATGCTTACCGAAAAACTCTCAGAAGCAGGCTTCGAAGTTCAGGACCGGACGCAGAATGAAACAGAGCTTGCTTGACAGATGTTAATAATAATACTGTAATAATAATAATAAACATGATAATAATAATAATAACAATGATAATAATAAGAATATCGCCTTGTATCGCGTTATGGATCATCGTAATGCAATGACGCAGTGCGTTTTGAATCTGGGCCCTGTCAGCGAGGCCCCATCTGCTTTCCTCATTGAGGGCGTGTTGGACTTTTTGGAAGACTCAGCAGGGTCCTTTCTTCATGAGGCAGTTGCAGTTGTCGCATGTTGCCACCCTTTGCAGACCCATTCGAGTACCTTGAGTAATGTGTAGGTCTCGCAGTTGGCAGCGCCTGGCTCAATCGCCATCATAAACTATGCCATTGGGCCCCAGAGGCACGGCTTGGCAACTTGAGATTCCCTGGTATCCTTGAGCGGTTCGCTTCATTTGCGCATCTGAATCCAAAATGAACATTTGGCACATTGATACCGTTTCAGGCCTGGCACTTTCACTGCAGAAACTCTTCAAAAGCTTCTGGAGGGTTTTGGGTGGAAAGATTTTCAGATTGATGTACCATGGCCTTTTCGCAATGCCAAGAATCTCAATGTCCGGCGCATGAGTTTTTCGGTTTCACATCAAGACATGTGCTGCAGAATTGCAATCAAGTCATAGTGACAGAGAGTCCCAGGTATTTGGCGGGGAACGTCTCAATTATGGTCGCTACAAGGAAGGCCTTCCGCCGAGTGAAGATTGGGCCTTTGCGACTTGTGTCAAAGGGCAGGCTTAGCATGGCTAGGTGGATCCGTGAGAATCTTCCCGGCTTAGCGGAAGCCTGGGCGGCTCCATACACCTCTGTTTTTTTCGTAGAATGATGGCGGAAGGCAAATCTGCTAGCTGCCAACTATGCCTGTACAGAAATGAGAAAGGCAACTGTGTACAGTTTTGCGCTCACAGCTTCGGAGCGTAAACATGCGTAAACACTTTTGCATGTTGGAATTGAAGCATCTTGCATATGCAGCTTGTGTGTGTTGAGTTGAGACCAGGCTGCATGGAACTCATTGGACCGATGGTATGGCTGGAGCAAGAATGAGCAGGTGCAGATGGTGCAGATGGTGCAGGGCTGGCAGGGCTGGAAACTGGAAGGGCAAACAGATTCTGAGGACAACATTTGCAGCTCTTCATCCCATACGTCCCGACAGGTTGATGGCTGGGAAAAAGGGTCAGTAGTTCTGAGCTCAGGTACTCTTCCAAGAGAAGAAAAACTCAGAAAAATGTCCAACTCCTCTGTCCGTTCAACATGCACGTGGCTCACCGCAGTGCTGGCTCAGCAACGTCCCTGCTGCTCCCGTGGAGCAGCTCGTGTGGTCCGGAGCAGTGGCCTCATACCTTTGAACATTTTGACAACTAGAATCGGTTTTGAGGGATTGAAACTCCAAATGCAGGCAGCGTCAGGAATTTGTAAAGGCGAACATCACGATAGATTGACACAGATCGTATGAGCACAGCTTGAGTCAGTCTCAGAGCTTAGGCCATGGCTGAGGAGAGGCGTGACTTCAGCTTCCAACAGATGCTGACAAGGCAGCCGCAGACCAAGTGACAAGTGAGACCATCATTGGGTCAAATCCTGGTAGTTTCAGCATGTTTCAGCCACTCGACAACGTCTTAAATGGCCAACACGGCGACCTAAGGTCACCTGGTGGATTGCTTGCAAACTTCCGGGCTCGCCGCATGGGTCTTCCGTGGCTTGGCAGCGGCATTGTTGGGAAGTCACCCGCAACATATGACAGAACGAATCAAGAGACAAATGTCGTACTATGTCGTACTACCCGGAGTCTTTCAGCACACTGTTGACATATGTTGACATCCTTTGACGCTGACGTGCCCAGGGTGCCTTTTGCGGCCCCATCGCCAGTTCGCGCTGATGTTGGCTCTTTGTCTGCAGATGGCCTGGTGCCAGATACGTATCAAATCAGAAAAGCTCTCCGCCTGAAAGCCGGCATCGGCTTGAATTCTAGGCTATCCTTGGAGGATGGATTGGGGTGGCCATAACCCTGCCACTCCAATTGCAGAGATGTGCCATGGCCTGTATAAACTGAATTCATTCAGATTCATTTTAGACTTAGATATCTTAGATTCATTCAGGTTTCTTTGTCTTTTTTCTTCAGAATTCCAGCTGCGGAGATTTCGATCTGGCTAGTGCCTGTGAGGAACATCAATTACCACAACACTGCCTGGGGCATTATGATTTTTGTTGCTTGACCTCAAGCAGTGGCTGAAGTCTTGCCAAGTGCGATTGAGTTTTGAAACATTTTGCCATATTCTGTGGTTTGATCGTGCGACATTTCTGGATTGTTTCTGGATTGTTTCAACCAGGTATGCACTTCGGTCTTCTACATGATGACCAAGCGTTGAGTGACAGAGTGTTCTCTTCCAAAGGGATGACCGACGATAGATTCTGAATGATTCTGATAGATGAAAGCTGAGTCCGCGTGAACTGTGCTAGCAAGACTCACATCAAATGGTAGTTCTGGTAGTTAAGTTATTTCAAGTACTTTACTTTCATGTACTTGGAAGTTGTGAAGTCTAGGATCTATGACACCAGCTCATAAAACGTGATTTCCTGAATGTACTCAGCAGAAGCGACACCAGCAACACCAGCAGCATGAGGATAAATATCGACAAAGCGGTAAGACTGCTTGGAATGAATTTCGTTTGATGTCTTGGTTCTGCTTTTGATTCAGAGCAAAGCTTTCGCATGAGATCGTCGTAGCGACAGCGAGAAAGCAAAAAGAATGCAAGAGCCAGAGCACATCATGAGTATATTGAGTATATAAATTGTAATACATCATGCTAGACTGCAGGAGGGGACGGATGGGACCTATAGGAAGGAATGGGCAGATCTTGATTGACAAGCTGTAACGGAGATGGGTAAATTTGACTTTATGCCCGAGGACAGAAGAGTTCCAGTGGTATCCTCAGCATTCTGCAGCCATGACTCTTCGCGAGCTGAGAGATGAACACCTGCTATAGCTACTACGCATTGCCATGTTGGACTGTTTGACCTTGCACATCCGCTTCCAAATGCATGGCTCACCGCAGTGCTGGCTCAGCAACGTCCCTGCTGCTCCCGTGGAGCTGCTCGTGTGGTCCGGAGCAGTGGCCTCATACCTTTGAACATTTTGACAACTAGAATCGGTTTTGAGGGATTGAAACTCCAAATGCAGGCAGCGTCAGGAATTTGTAAAGGCGAACATCACGATAGATTGACACAGATCGTATGAGCACAGCTTGAGTCAGTCTCAGAGCTTAGGCCATGGCTGAGGAGAGGTGTGACTTCAGCTTCCAACAGATGCTGACAAGGCAGCCGCAGACCAAGTGACAAGTGAGACCGTCATTGGGTCAAATCCTGGTAGTTTCAGCCACTCGACAGCGTCTTAAATGGCCAACACGGCGACCTAAGGTCACCTGGTGGATTGCTTGCAAACTTCCGGGCTCGCCGCATGGGTCTTCCGTGGCTTGGCAGCGGCATTGTTGGGAAGTCACCCGCAACATATGACAGAAGAAATCAAGAGACAAATGTCGTACTATGTCGTACTACCAGGAGTCTTTCAGCACACTGTTGACATATGTTGTCATCCTTTGACGCTGACGTGCCCAGGGTGCCTTTTGCGGCCCCATCGCCAGTTCGCGCTGATGTTGGCTCTTTGTCTGCAGATGGCCTGGTGCCAGATACATATCAAAAAAAAAAGCTCTCCGCCGAGGCTATCCTTGGAGGATGGATTGGGGTGGCCATGACCCTGCCACTCCAATTGCAGAGATGTGCCATGGCCTGTATAAACTGAATTCATTCGGATTCATTTTAGACTTAGATATCTTAGATTCATTCAGGTTTCTTTGTCTTTTTTCTTCAGAATTCCAGCTGCGGAGATTTCGATCTGGCTAGTGCCTGTGAGGAACATCAATTACCACAACACTGCCTGGGGCATTATGATTTTTGTTGCTTGACCTCAAGCAGTGGCTGAAGTCTTGCCAAGTGCGATTGAGTTTTGCAACATTTTGCATATTCTGTGGTTTGATCGTGCGACATTTCTGGATTGTTTCTGGATTGTTTCAACCAGGTATGCACTTCGGTCTTCTACATGATGACCAAGCGTTGAGTGACAGAGTGTTCTCTTCCAAAGGGATGACGACGATAGATTCTGAATGATTCTGATAGATGAAAGCTGAGTCCGCGTGAACTGTGCTAGCAAGACTCACATCAAATGGTAGTTCTGGTAGTTAAGTTATTTCAAGTACTTTACTTTCATGTACTTGGAAGTTGTGAAGTCTAGGATCTATGACACCAGCTCATAAAACGTGATTTCCTGAATGTACTCAGCAGAAGCGACACCAGCAACACCAGCAGCATGAGGAAAAATATCGACAAAGCGGTAAGACTGCTTGGAATGATTTTCGTTTGATGTCTTGGTTCTGCTTTTGATTCAGAGCAAAGCTTTCGCATGAGATCGTCGTAGCGACAGCGAGAAAGCAAAAAGAATGCAAGAGCCAGAGCACATCATGAGTATATTGAGTATATAAATTGTAATGCATCATGCTAGACTGCAGGAGGGGACGGATGGGACCTATAGGAAGGAATGGGCAGATCTTGATTGACAAGCTGTAACGGAGATGGGTAAATTTGACTTTATGCCCGAGGACAGAAGAGTTCCAGTGGTATCCTCAGCATTCTGCAGCCATGACTCTTCGCGAGCTGAGAGATGAACACCTGCTATAGCTACTACGCATTGCCATGTTGGACTGTTTGACCTTGCACATCCGCTTCCAAATGCATGGCTCACCGCAGTGCTGGCTCAGCAACGTCCCTGCTGCTCCCGTGGAGCAGCTCGTGTGGTCCGGAGCAGTGGCCTCATACCTTTGAACATTTTGACAACTAGAATCGGTTTTGAGGGATTGAAACTCCAAATGCAGGCAGCGTCAGGAATTTGTAAAGGCGAACATCACGATAGATTGACACAGATCGTATGAGCACAGCTTGAGTCAGTCTCAGAGCTTAGGCCATGGCTGAGGAGAGGTGTGACTTCAGCTTCCAACAGATGCTGACAAGGCAGCCGCAGACCAAGTGACAAGTGAGACCATCATTGGGTCAAATCCTGGTAGTTTCAGCCACTCGACAACGTCTTAAATGGCCAACACGGCGACCTAAGGTCACCTGGTGGATTGCTTGCAAACTTCCGGGCTCGCCGCATGGGTCTTCCGTGGCTTGGCAGCAGCATTGTTGGGAAGTCACCCGCAACATATGACAGAACGAATCAAGAGACAAATGTCGTACTATGTCGTACTACCCGGAGTCTTTCAGCACACTGTTGACATATGTTGACATCCTTTGACGCTGACGTGCCCAGGGTGCCTTTTGCGGCCCCATCGCCAGTTCGCGCTGATGTTGGCTCTTTGTCTGCAGATGGCCTGGTGCCAGATACGTATCAAATCAGAAAAGCTCTCCGCCTGAAAGCCGGCATCGGCTTGAATTCGAGGCTATCCTTGGAGGATGGATTGGGGTGGCCATGACCCTGCCACTCCAATTGCAGAGATGTGCCATGGCCTGTATAAACTGAATTCATTCAGATTCATTTTAGACTTAGATATCTTAGATTCATTCAGGTTTCTTTGTCTTTTTTCTTCAGAATTCCAGCTGCTGAGATTTCGATCTGGCTAGTGCCTGTGAGGAACATCAATTACCACAACACTGCCTGGGGCATTATGATTTTTGTTGCTTGACCTCAAGCAGTGGCTGAAGTCTTGCCAAGTGCGATTGAGTTTTGCAACATTCTGCAATATTCTATGGTTTGATCGTGCGACATTTCTGGATTGTTTCTGGATTGTTTCAACCAGGTATGCACTTCGGTCTTCTACATGATGACCAAGCGTTGAGAGCTTCGACAGGGTGCTCATGTTGGAGTTGCCCCACACCGCAGATGTGACCTTTATGCCAGCAATTCAGGAGTTTCTGAGCTAATTGGCTAGGTCAGGGATGTATGTAGACAACAAACATCAACAAAGCCAAGAGGATGCAGCCGGTGTGATGATTGTGATGTGATTTGATTGGAAAAAGTGCTTCGCAGCTGCGGGGATTACGGATGCGGAAGAGCTTGCAGCTGATTGTTTGTGCAGATTTCTTGCTCACCGGCCTCTCAAGCGGAGTCACTTTGAAACTTCAGGCCTTCAGTCCGGGAGCCGAACAACCTCAGGACAAAGCAGAGGCTGGCCTCCTGCCTTTGATTCGAGTGTCGCTTCCCCTGCAGGACATGGATGAACAGTATGGCCAGTATGGCCATTGGCATCCACAAGGCGCCTGTAGCGCCGCGTAGCGCCTGCAGTCTCAAAACTCATGGCATTTGATCATTTGGACCGCACGCGGCTAGGACAAGCTGGTGAACTAAGGGACCCCCAGGACGGACAGAAAGCTCTGCAAACAGTCTCAGCCTCTTCGGAGCTCTCGATGCTTTAGCTCCTAAACGTGGGTAGCCGGGCAGTGCCCGGGCAGGGTCAATTTGTAAGGGAGGGCTAATTATTTTAGGTTTTTTTTTTTGATCAGGTTTAGGAATTATTTTTGGATTCCTGTTTCTCTGCTTTCTCTGCTTTTCCTGCTTCTCTGCTTTCCTGCTTTTCCTGCTTTTCCTGCTTTTCCTGCTTTTCCTGCTTTTCCTGCTTTTCCTGCTTCTCTGCTTTTCTGCTTTTCTGCTTCTCCTGCTTCTTTGCTTCTCTGCTTTTCTGCTTTTTTGCTTTTCTGCTTCTCCTGCTTCTCTGCTTCTCTGCTTTTCTGCTTTTTTGCTTTTCTGTTTTTCCTGTTTCTTTGCTTCTCTGCTTTTCCTGCTTTTCCTGCTTTTCTGCTTTTCCTGCTTCTTTGCCTTTCTGCTGTTTTGCTTTTGTGCGTTTCCTGTTTCTTTGCTTCTCTGCTTTTTTGCTTCTCTGCTTTTTTTTCTTTTGCTTTGCCTGCTTTAAATACTTGATTTCCATGTAAGATGCATTTTGCACAGTATTTACATCCCTGAGTATCACATGACCAACCTTCTCTTGAAAACTAGCAACGTAACATGTGAGAAGAGGTGCTTGCATTCTGCTTTGCTCCCCCCAATCCCCCCCTCCCGTTTTTTTTTTTATTTAATCTTAAACCCAAGTTACATTAGTTGGTTTTTGCGAACTAACCTTCTCTGGAAAGCTGACAGGATTACATGTAATAGATAGATAGATAGATAGATAGATAGATACTACCACTAGGCTTAAGTCGTATCAATCGACCTGAAGTCGTATCACACCTGCGTGCGCGCAGTGTTTTGTATAGATTTTGATAGTTCTTTATTTGATGGGTTATTGATTCGAACACTTTTTCATCGCTGTGCGCAATGTTTTGTTGACATGATTCTTTTTGACCCTACTAGCCCTAGCGTTAAGTCGTATCAGCTCGTAGAAGTTGTATCGGGAGGCCGTGCGCCTGGAAAAAGTTCAAGTTTGGCATCACCACAACTTTTAGTAATTGGACGATTTCATTGTTTTGGGGCCGTGCGCCTAGAAAAAGTTCAATTTTTGTATTGCGTTGATTTATAAAACTTATATTATATTTCATTATTCTTTCAACGGGGCAAACGCTGGTTGCTGCTTTCTGCTTGCTTTCTGCTTGCTTGCTGCTCCTTGCTGCTGCCTCCTGCTGCTGCTGCTTCCTCCTCCTGCTGCTGCTTCCTCCTCCTGCTGCTGCTTCCTCCTCCTCCTGCTGCTGCTGCCGCTGGTGCAAACATTTTGCCGAAAAAGAAAATTACAGTCTCGGTCGCCTTGTTTGGCGCTGGCGGGAGATACGGGCGGGAGACGCCAGCAGAGAGAGGGAATGTTTACAGAAGGCAGAACTTATGAAACATTCAAGCGGAAGCGGATGTTGACAGCGGTGTGCCACTGGGTTTTCAGATTTTAACGTTGTTGATATGATGATGTTGCCCATAGCTGTTACATGGAAATCTATGTTTGTTAGGAAACAAAGTTAAAGATCTGGGAGGCCGTGTGCCATGGTGATTCCTAAATATATCCTTTGAAAACATAGTTTAAACATATGTGAATACCTCAGTGTGCGCAATGTTTTCTTCATTTTTGGAGATATAACAACATTCCTTGAAAGCCGGTGTGCCATTGGGATTTTGATATTTTGATGTGACTTTTGCCCAGTTGATGTGACTTTCTTCCAACTCGCTGTTACATGGGGTTGATGTGACTTCTGCCCAACTGATGTGACTTAAACCCTTCGCTCGTAGATAGATAGATAGATAGATAGATAGATAGATAGATAGATAGATAGATAGATGGCTAGATAGATAACTAGATAGATAGATAGCTAGCTAGCTAGATAAAGAGGTAGCTAAATAGAATAAGCTAGATAGATAGAAAGCTAGATAGCTAGATAGCTAGATAGATAGTTAGCTAGATAGCTCGATAGCTAGATAGCTGGATAGACAGCTGGATGGCTAGATAGATAGATAGCTAGATAGATAGAAAGCTAGATAGGTAGATAGATAGCTAGATAGATAGTTAGCTAGGTAGCTAGATAGGTAGATAGATAGCTAGCAAGATAGCTAGCTAGATAGGTAGATAGATAGCTAGATAGATAGATAGCTTGCTAGATAGATAGCTAGCTTGCTAGATAGATAGCTAGATAGCTAGCTAGCTGGATAGATAGCTAGCGCCCTCCCTCAATCCCCCCCACCCGCTTTTATCTAATCCCAAGCTTCTGCATCTGTAAATATTTGGGTGAACATGCTCACATGTAGAACATCCCATGCAAAATGGAAGGTGAACATGCCAAAATGTGGCAAATACCATACAAAATAAATCCCATGCAAAATGGAAGGTGAACATGCCCAAATGTGGCAAATACCATGCAAAATGACAAATTCAAGTTCCAAACCGTTGCAAACACTAGGCAAATGGTACCAGCCAAGAAATCCAAAAAAAAATCCCAAACCTGCTCAAAAAAAAAAAATCCTAAAACTATTTCACACCCATTTGTAAGCCATTACTCTAGTTGTCAGACAGGCAGGCGCAGAAACAGCGAGAGGGAGAGGATAATCAGTGTTCGTGTTCGGGTTTTGTTGGAAGGAGATTGATCAAAAGAAGCAAAGGAGGCAAGAGGGTTTGGGCCTTTTTGGGCAAGACCGAATCTGAGGAGCAGTTTTTATCTCCTGGTTTCATGATATTTAGATGCATTCAGTTCGGCTTGGCAACTGTCAGAGGTGGAGAAAGAAAAAGAAGGCCGGGCAGCTAGGCCATGACGGCTACGAGGCTTGTTTCAACATGTTTTAACTGTCTTAGTTCCAAGCCTTTTTGATCTGGTCATATCCTCTCCAGGCAGCCTTTGAAAAAGCCAATGCCATGAGCATAGAAGAAAGGGAGGTTTTGGCACGGGCAAGTCAGAAGCCCAGGGATGTTCCGAGATGTGCCAAGATCATCCAAGATCCAGCCAGCCATGACCAGCTGTATTAAGGGTGTACTAGGTACCAGTGGTATTGGTTAATAATGATGGTTACCCTCTGGTAAATTACCAGATACCACTTATTTTTACAACTCTTTATCTGCAGGCACTATCACAGTATTTCGATGGATTCGGGCCGCTGAGGACGAGAAGAGTTGTCCGCGGAGAAGGAGGCAGAGGTGCTGACGCATCTCCCCGGCACAGCATATTGATTTTGCATGACCGCCACAGATGGATATATGATATTTGATATGATATATATATATATGTATGTATGTATGTATGTATGTATGTATGTATGTATGTATGTATGTATGTATGTATGTATGTATGTATGTATGTATGTATGTATGTATGTATGTATGTATGTATGTATGTATGTATGTATGTATGTATGTATGTAGTATGTATGTATGTATGTATGTATGTATGTATGTATGTATGTATGTATGTATGTATGTATGTATGTATGTATGTATGTATGTATGTATGTATGTATGTATGTATGTATATACGATATATGATATATGGCACATGATTTATCATGTCCACATCTGTATATATCCATATATAATATACTATTATACAGCCTCGCAAGTCATACTCAGGAGGCAGTTTATCAGCTTATCAGTTGATCAGCAGCTGGTCTTCACCAACTGGTGGCTCAAATCAGCGTAGCCAGTATGATCTTTCAATTTTGATGCTGTGATGTCCCCCAGCCCCGAGGAGAAGAGCTATGCTGTTGGAATAGACCTTGGAACTACCTACAGCTGCGTTGGAGTCTACAAAGATGGAGAAGTTCAAATTATCGCCAACGACCAAGGCAATCGAACAACCCTATCGTATGTTGCTTGGACTGAGCAGGAGAGACTGCTCGGGGATGCAGCGAAAAATCAGGTAGCAAGCAATCCAACCAACACAGTCTTCGATGCTAAGAGGCTCATAGGGCGACGCTTTGATGACCCCATCGTTCAGGCGGACTTGAAGCTCTGGCCGTTCAAGGTGGTTTCGGACGGCAGCAAAGATGATAAACCTCTCATTGAAGTCTTCTACCAGGGGGTGGAGAAACGGTTTCATCCAGAGGAGATCTCCTCTATGATCCTTACGAAAATGAAACAGACCGGTGAAGCTTATCTTGGCCATCGAGTGCGGGAAGCTGTGATCACGGTGCCCGCTTACTTCAACGATGCCCAGCGGCAAGCAACAAAAGATGCTGGAGAGATTGCCGGTCTTCGAGTTCTGCGGATTGTGAATGAACCAACTGCTGCAGCCATTGCTTATGGCCTTGACAAGTCTGACAAGTCAGGTGTTGCAGAGAAGGAGACACACATTTTGGTGTTTGACATGGGAGGTGGAACTTTTGATGTCTCGGTTCTGGCGATTCAAGATTCAGTCTTTGAGGTGAAAGCCACTGCAGGCGATCCGCACCTGGGAGGTGAAGATTTCGACAATCGGATCCTCAGCCATTGCATCGCGGACTTTCGCAGGAAGCACCAGTCAGACCCAACCCGGAACCAGCGGGCTTTGCGACGCTTGAGAACTCAGTGCGAACGAGCCAAGCGATTGCTATCGACACAAACTTCTGTTACCATTGAAGTGGATTCCTTACATGAAGGAAATGACTTCAGCATTCGTTTGTCAAGGGCCAAATTTGAAGAGCTTTGCATTGACTATTTCAAGAAAGCCATGGAACCAGTTGAGCAATGCCTGAAGGACAGCAATTTGCCGCAGAAGGCGATCACTGACATTGTGATGGTAGGAGGTTCAACTCGAATTCCAAAGGTCCAAGAACTCATCAAAGCCTTCTTCAATGGAAAGGAGCTGTGCAAATCGATCAATCCAGATGAAGCTGTAGCATATGGAGCAGCTGTGCAAGCGGCCATCGTTTCCGGCCAAGGAAGTGAGGATGTGCAGAACATGTTGCTGCTGGAGACTGGGCTCAAGCCTGGAAGACAAATCCTGGCATTCTTTTCCATTCTTATCCGTTCTTATCCATTCTTATCCATTCTTATCACCATATTTGATTCATTGAGCCCATGAAATCCCATGAAATCCCATGGTTCCCATTGCATGCAGGGAGAGTGAGTAGGTCCCAGGTTTCGGTCTGTCTTGTTCACTAGATGCTTGCACAGCCATTGATAGAAAGTGATGCAGCAAGCAACATGAGGTGATACGACGTGTTTTTTTTTTTTTAATGTCAACATTTGTTCGACTGGGCGTGGGATGCTGTGACTTGTTCTCACATTTCCATACATTTCCATGGAATAAATAAGTTGATATAAGTTCGATACGAACGCAGGATGTTGCTCCATTGTCGCTTGGGATCGAGACAGCTGGTGGCATGATGCAAGTCCTGATTGAGCGAAACTCCACAGTGCCGACCAGCAAGAGCCAAGATTTCACCACTTTTGAGGACTATCAGGATCATGTGGACATCTCAGTCTATGAAGGCGAGCGTGCCATGGTCAAGGACAACAACTTCTTGGGCAAATTTACCTTGAAAGACATCCCCAAGTCCCTTCGAGGAGTCCCGAAAATTCAAGTCACCTTTACAATCGACACCAATGGCATTCTGCAAGTTCGAGCTGAAGACGCCAAATCTCAAAAGAGAAGTGAGATTCAGATTGCCAACGAGAAGGGCCGTTTGACTCAAAACGATATTCAGAAGATGCTGCAAGAAGCCGAGAAATACAAAGGCGAAGACGAAATCAGCAAAGGTGATATGCTCGCCAAAGAGGAGCTCAAGGTGTACATGCAAAGATTTGAGAAGGGCATCCAGGAACATCTCACACTGGTTTGATGGGAATAGTTGGCATAGTGCAAGGTTTGAGAGAATTAACCAGTCAATTTTGCAAAGATACTTGTAGCTTGAGACACCAGGATGGCGCGGGGCTTGTTCATTGTGTCGGTATTCCACAGTTTCATAAACATGCCGTAACATGATCCCAATGATCCCAATATATCCCAATGATCCCAATGTTCATGGCGGTGAGGACTTGGATGACACGAAGCTGCAGAGAGAAGATCGTGAGCGGCTCGAAGGCAAGCTTGCAGATGCCTACAAGTGGCTGGAGAACGATGGCCTCAAGGCGAGGTAAGAGCCAGACAATGCCGGACAATGTTACTGTGTAAGTGTATTTCTGTGTTTTTCTTTGTCTCAAGTGACTCAAGGATACCCAGAGCTAACCTGGCTGGCCCTTGTGACTTCCAATACCTACGGCTCAGGCTGGAAAGCCCGAATTTGACGGGAAGCAGAAAGAGCTCCAGGCAGTCATGAACACCGACCCTTGGGCGTTCCACATTTTGAGTTTCTATGAGTTTCTAACGATTGTGAATTCTGAGGCGTTCCTGTCGAGGGGATTCCTTTGCTACGAGATTTAGTTAATTTGAATTGATCAGGAGGCAGAAAAGAAGGCCGAAAATTCAGGTGATGCCATGATCTAGCAACGGAGGGTAGCTTGTTCGAATACATGGCATCAGTTTGACTTTGCAACGAGGTGATGTTGAAAATTAACCGTTCACAGACCGAATTCTGGGATCAGCAAGTCGTCCACCATGAAGGTGAGAAGACCATCGACAAGGGTGGCTTCATCCTGCACTGTGGAGTTGACATCCGTGATTTGATCGAAGATCCTCAGTGATTGGCACATTTTCTTTCCATCTCCGCTGGACCGTCTACCTGAGACCTGGACCGTATCCACCATTTTGAACAAGGACGACTCTTGATCATCTTGATCAATTCCTGTATTTGTCGGGCCGGGGCGCCCCACAGGATGAAGGTGGCCAACTCTGAGCGCACTCAGCATCGTCCAAAAAGAGCACAATTGCCCTTGAAGCATTTTCCGGCGGTTTGTTTGATAACGCCAAGGGCAGTCATGGAGATTATTGATGTTTTATATGTTTTGGATTGTTTTGGCATGTTTTGTCACTTTGTTTCTGATCAACTCATGCTGTAAAGAGTTGCCGGGCGTTGCACCCTGCAGGCTAAAGGTATTCCGCGCTTGCTCAAGTCCACAGACTGGGAAGAGGCACAGGGTGAAACGGTGAAAATCTTTGAAACCGTGGCAGGCTGCCAATGGGCCAATCGGCCAATGGGCCAAGGTCAGGATAGGTCGGGGAGGCATAAGTATTGTGGCACCATGTGGCACCATTGCAAGGTTACGCAATTAGTCAAAATCTTGCCACGAAACAGTCTGCCAGACATGGGTGCATAGTTCTGTAAGTAATAAATAAACAAGTGAATAAATTTAAAAAAGTATATATATATATATAACTATATATATACATATTTATCTACACTGTTGATATCTATTGATACTACTGAGTGAGACAGAGCTGCAGACTGGTGCAGACATAGAATGGCCAATGAGGTATGCAGCTAAGCCAACTAAACTGAGATCCCTTGCAAGCCTGGCAGTACATAGCGTTCGCTATCCCTGGAGGTTGTGGCAGACGAGCATCTTTGCAGTTGGATGTCAATTCAAAGGCCAGTGCCATTTACATGGGCCGTCCAGCTTAGCAAAGCTGTGAACAGCTTTGAAGGTCCAATCCAGCTGTGTTGGCAGAGGACTTTCAGATTCTCATGGCATCTTGGCTGGTACTGGCAATCCAAGTGTTGCGATGCAGAATCATGTGTACATCTCGTTCGATGTCTAGAGTTTTGTTGTACATATTTGCCTTGGGGCTTTGCATCCTTGTTTACTCAAGCTCGTTGCCTCAGGATCGTGCACTGTGGAAGGACTGTGGCTGAAGTGTGCCAAAGCGCTTGACTTCCTTGTTGAAACCATAAGCCTTTAAAGTACAGGACATTGACGGAACTTGTGCAGAGGTGCCATCCATAGCATTTTGAAATTCAATGAGTTCATGATAGTTCATGCAACGATGTGCAAACAAAGTCAAACAAAGTCAAACATACTGTACTCTGCGAAGCTATGGCTTTGCCGGTGTGCTATGGTGTGCTCAGGCCAGGGAGAAGGCTGCTTGGATGGTTGCAAGCGGATGTCAATGCGAAAGACTCAGACATACTCAGACCATCTCAGACCGCATCCGGGTGTAATTTTTGTGGGGCCAACATGGCCAACTTGTGCAGGCGAACATCGCTACAATCATGGCATCCTGGAGCCTGTGGAGATTCCAGATTGGATGCCATTCTGGCCCGTGTGACTGCTGTATGTACCTTTAGAATCCTTTAGAATCCTTTACACATCGTTACACAATTTGGTGTCAAAACTCAGTGCTACGTCGTATGTTGATGTGATATATTGTGACATTGGATGCTTTGCATCAAGTTATAATCTGCAGCATTTTTAGCCAAAAGGCTGCGCCCAACAGGCGCCAGGTAGAGCGATGGACCCACAGGTTATCCTCACAACGCTGAGTAACCTAGATGTTTCTTGGTGTATGTAGGCATGGCATCGCGTTTCTTCGGGAATCGATCAGCTTGTTTGTTGAAAGCTGGTTTCCATTGTATATTTGTCCTCTCTTTTTTTGATCCTTTAACATTTGTTCTGTGCTGCGAGTTTCCTTTGCTCTTACTGCTGTTAGATTCGTGATTCCTGTGCGGTAGCTGCCTGCTACTTGCATTGGACTGATAGGTTTGGTATGAACTGACCTCAGGAGCACCCTGAAAAATGGATATATGATATATGTACATACATATGACACACACACACACATATATATATATATATGCGTGTGTGTGTGTTAATTTTGTGTATATGTGTTATTATAAAGCTATGCGGTATGAGTTGTGTAATGGAAGAGATGGATGGATATGATATCACACATACAGAGACACACACACACACGTATTTATGTGTATATATACGTATAGATTCTTATACACATACTGTACTCGCACGCATCCGCGAGCAAAAAGATGTTCCCTTAAACCTAGCAGCCTTGGCACTGTTTGGGAATTCTGCTGTCAAACCCGGCCTCGATTCTCGGCTGTGCCCAGGACACCATCCTGCAAAGTGTTCTCATACAACTGGTGCAAAGCAAGCCCACGCTGGCCCCAGGTCTGGTTAGCGACGCTTTGCCCAAGATTTGCAAGAAACGCCAACAAGGGATCACAAGGGGCTTGATTCGGCTAGATATGGCTAGATGAGGCTAGCTAGATGCATTTGGATATATCTAGATGCTAGATTTGCTCTGCAGCTGTTCACAACACCTATAATTATATATACAATCTTGTGCATAGGCCACTGAATTTGGGCCGAGATGCCTGAGGTTTGTGTTCCAGACCTGACCTTCGCACCTAGCAAGAGCTTCACAGAGAAGCGCTGCATAGGAACAGTTAAGCTGAACCCTGTCAGCGGCTGAGTCAGCTGAATATGTCGCAAGTGTGCTGTGAAGAGCGGCTCTGACTTGAAGATAGGGGCTGTGAGTGTTGCGATGGTACGGCTCTGTCCTTGCCCTAGGTGCATATAGTGGCCTTAGTGTAGTCCTGTCATATTTCTATGACATTGTTGGATATAGTTGGTATTAGTTGGTGTATGTTGGTATATGTTACAATGTTGGTTTTTCATGTTGTCATGATATTTGCATGGCATGGCATTGTGATTCTTGAGTCCTCCAAGGCCATGGGGGTCAGTTTCATCAGCTGCCCTGATCTGAGCGCTGCAACTTGACTGTGATGCGCCGATGTCGCGGTTGAATGCGGTTGAGGGATGCCATAGTATTCATAGTATTGACAATTTGTATCAGTATCCAGATGTATCCAGTATGTAAGTATTGGATAGTATTGGTTTATTAAATTTTATTAAGACATATTAAGACATATAAAGACTGGATTTGCACGTAGCGATGGAATGAAGTCAATGGAGCTTGGCAGTAGCACATCGCGACTTAATGCGACTCTGCAGTTTCACAAGCGCCTGGCCTCGGCAGCCCAGGTTTTTGACTGCGAGGTCCAGGTCAGGCCACAGCAAGTAGCTGGTTTTGTAGATGGCCTTGTGCTGAGTCTTTGATGCATTTTGATGCGCCTTAAATGATCACAGTATCACAGGTCTAGTCCGGTGCCTGCAGGAGGTAAACTTTTTGCTGACATTTCAACTCTTCGCCCAGGTCAGGAGGTAAACTTTGCTGTGACCTTGAACGAAGAGAACAAGCCACAGGCGTTCGACCTGATAGACAACAAAACGGGCTTGAATGGCGTCGCAAGCATGGGAGGATGTGGGGGTGGTTGTGGCATGCCCAGCATGGGAGATCCCATGTCTTGTGGGATGGGAGGTTGTGGTATGGGCGGTTGTGGTTGTGGGTGTGGCTGTGGGTATGGAGGTGGGTGCGGGAGTGGCTGCGGCGGCTGCTGTGGCAGTTGTGGTGGATGTGGCTGCGGCTGCGGTGGCTGCGGTGGCTGCGGCGGCAATTGCAGCGGCTGCGGCGGCAATTGCAGCGGCTGCGGATGCAATTGCGCTGGCTGCGGCTGTGGCTGTGGCTGTGGAGGCTGCGGAGGCTGTGGAAGCTGTGGAGGCTGTGGAGGCTGTGGAGGCTGTGGAGGCTGTGGAGGCTGTGGAGGCTGTGGAGGCTGCGGTTGCGGATGTAGCGGCTGTGGCTGTGATGGCAATGTGGGAGGCCCTGACATGGGAATGAGCCGTGGCAGCAGCTGTTTACTCTTTGTCATTTGTCAGTCAGTCCAGTTTTCTGTTGTCCGTGATGCTGTGCAGTGCCTTTTCGTGGGATCCAAGGATGGGGCGACCCATGGGAATGATGCCAGGGCCAGGGCCGCCATCTGGACATGGCATGAAGGGAGGTGGAAAACACAACGAAGAGAGTCTGGGAGAGTTCTTTGGCGTGGTCAAGAGCTACAACCCAGACAAAGGCTGGGTCAGACCTATCCCCAGAACCACTTTCCTTCAAGAGAAAAAACGCCAAAATGCAGTGCTGTCACTGCTGCATGTTTGCAGAGCCTTCTCACATGTGTGAAGTCTGTAAAGTCTATAGTGCCAGTTGTGCCATGTTGTCGCAGGCTTTGGCTTCATAGCCTGCGATGCGCTCAAAGGTCAGCATGGCGATGTCTACCTGAATAGCAGGCCAAGTGGTGCCAGATCTACGGGTTCAAAGGAGGTTACAGGTTTACAATGGTTTACAATGGTTTACATATGGGACGCCATGGGACGCCATATGTTTACATCGGCAAACGGATTTCCTTCGCCAGGAACATTGGAGACTTCAAAGTTGGACAAGAGGTCAAGTTTCAGGCCTTCCTGCACAACGGCAGACTGCAAGGCACCGGACATGGAGCGGCACAGTATGGGCGCAATTGTGTGATCTTAATGCGTACTTTTATAGACCCTTACCTTGCCACATCTTCACCAAGTTGTTGCAAGGGCTGAAGCAAACTTATGCCTACATTGAGTGGTATTGAGTGGCTTTGAATGCTGAAACATGCCTGAATTCATCCTCAATTCATAGAACACCAAGTATCTCCTTCCCCCTTGGTACCTGAGGCAGGGACCTCCGAGAAACTCGGCTTCGAAACTTCAACTCAGTGACAGGATGATGAACGCTCTCTCATGCCATGTCATTTTGAAATATGAGCCGGTTACAAACAGAGTTGAACTCGGGCTGCAGTTTGACAGCTAATAACCGCTAATAGCTGCCACAAAATCTAGCAGCCCTCGACATTCCTCGAACATCCTCGAACATATCCAGTGAGAGAATGTGAGAGAACATACACTGAGGATGCCACAGGCCAAGTGGGCCGGCAATCTGGCGCGGCTGGTGCCGAGGAGCAGGTGACCTTCAGCCGATGGCCTTGCCATGACATTTTCGGAAATCTTAGGCCACGTAGGCCACGTAGGCCACGTGTACATACGTTCACATTGTCTGCTTGCACCTGTTGGACAGGAACTTGGAGTCTTTGCCGGGAAGATCAAGAACTTTAACCAGGACACCAGCTTGAATTGAACGTGTTGCACGAATTCATCTTGTACTCATGCATGACATTTGCTCAATTGGCTTTCTCGACTGAGCTTCACACGATTTCACGAGCAGCATGTGACGTCATGTGACCCCCGTAGCTGCTGTAGTTTGGAAGGAGAAAGGTTTTGGCTTTATCGTGTGCGATGCGCTCGCCACGCAGGGCTTCCAGGGTGATGCGCCTCAGCCGCCTTGGGAAGGTTTCCTGCAGTCATATGCAGTCATCCTTAGAACACATGTATAAAATTGTGGAAATAAAATACGTATAATTGCGTGTATATATATATGTGTGTGTGTGTGCGTGTGTGTAAATAAACATATTTGAGATCGAACCTGATAATGGTCACAGGGCCCGCGGGAAAATCTCGAATCTTGGAGCTCGAATCTCGAATTTCGGAGCTCCCATCTCGAATCTCGGATCGATCTCGGATTTTGAATTTCGGGGACCATTCACGACACCTAGGGCATCCTAGGGCTATAACATTCATCGCTTTAGACAGATAGATAAATGACAAACAGATAAATAAATAGAATAATTATAAATAGATAAATAGATCGACAAGGAGATAGACAGATAGATAAACAGATGGATCTATAGACAGATAGATAGACATTTAGAGAGATAGATAGATAGATAGATAGATCGATCGGATCTACAAGATCGAATGGAGAGAAAGTCCAGTCCGTCGGTCCGTAGGTCCAGCAGTTGTGCATCCAGTGAGCAATGCGCGCTCTCCAGCGGCCGGCACTCCAACCATCTGTCGCTCCGTCAACAGCTTGCTCTGCTGTCCGTGCGATTCAACAAACCAACTCTTCCTATAGGTTTCCTATCTTTGAAACTTCAACCACCACCTTGTGCGGTATTGTGCGGTACTAGTCAGTAAGTAGGATTGTATGACATGAAATGGAATGAGGTGACTGAACTGTAGTGGACTGAACTGAAGTGATGGAAAAGAAGCGTGAAGTGGAAAGAAGAAGAGTTGAAACTAGTCGAATAAAACACAATGGAATAGACTAAAGCAGTGGGAACGCAGTGGAATGCAGTGGACTGGAAGTAGAAGAAGAATGAAGAAGAAGGAAATGGAATTGGAAAGGAAAAAGAATGTTGGGTGTGCACCTCCTTCCGGATATTCTTCAAGCAACACATACTAACTATCATGCTATATTTTCACATATTTTCACTATCCGCGGATCTCGGATACCGAATTTCGGATCACAGACCTCAAAACTCGAATCTCGAATGTCGGATTCCGAATCTCGAATATCCAATCGGACCTCGAATCTTGGACCTCGAATTTCGGATCACACATATTCACAAAATCACACAGATCTCAAATCCGGAATGTCGGAATTCGAATCTTGGTTGTCGAAGCTCGGATCTCGAAGCTCGGATCTTGAATCTCGGGTCTCGAATCTGTCCGTTGTCAAGTGCAGTCTGATATATTTATGATTCCACACGTGTTTTCATACCCAGTTGATAAACAGACATATACAGACATTAAACAGACAAATATTACTATGTAGATGCGTAGGCTTCGTTTTGCCATCTTCGTTGCAGTTGTCGAAGAACACACACTTCGAGTCACGATGCGCTTGGCCAAGGTGTTCCTTCATCAGAAACACAAAGGTGAGTTCAAAGAAGGTGATTATGTAGCTTTCATGGCCGTGCTGCGGAACGGGAAGTTGCAAGCAAAGGATCTTGAACCTGCTCCAGAGAATGATGGTGCTGGCAGTGGGATGGGCATGGGCACAATGAGCATGGGGAGCCCAATTGGCGGACCCATGGGTGGCCCAATGAATGGAATGGGGGGCCAAATGGGTTCTATGGGTGGTCCCATGGGTGGCCCTATGGGCGGTCCAATGGGTGGTCCCATGGGCGATCCTGGCTGCATGGGCTGCGGCAAAGGTGGTTGCAAAGGCGGGACCAACAGAATGAACCCAATTGGAAGTGGCGATACCAACACATTTGCTAGAGCTGCTAGTCGCAGCCAGTCGCAACATGCCACAATCTGTGGCAATGCTACAACCTCGGACAGGCCGACCTGGACCATACTGAGCAGCAATAGAGCTTCTGCTTTGACAAGCAGGCATCGGCTTTCCTGTGGGATAATTCTAGTGATTGGCGAGGTGGGCATGAACATTTGGGAATAGTGCCACAGTAATCACAGTACTCTTCCATACCACTGAAATTTGAGCATGTATTACTGTATTATTGTAAGTGTGCAATTGCCAGCTCCAACTGTTTTAGACAAGTACCGGCAAGAAGCGACACAATTGGAACAAGATGGAGACAGAGACAGAGGGAGAGAGATCTTGGTGCAAAGCATAAGATCAACACAACGCATATTATCATTCCAGCCACATCTCTTTCCATCATTTGTTCTGAACATGCACTGCCAACGAGGGTACTGACATGTGCTGGCAGAGTTCGATTTGTTTCCTGCTCTTTCATGCTTTTTAGCGTTGAGTCCGTGGGTGGAACTTGGCTCTTGGGTGCTCTTGGCAGGCGCCCATTGCCTCAAGCTGAGCCCGCTCATCGAGGAGGTACTCTTGCCGTTTCACACCAGTCATGCGAAAAAAATCCCCGTCCCAAATGGTCGCTGCGCCAAGCGGGTGCATTTAGACTGACCAAGTGGAAGCGGAAGGCGTGGCAGGCGTGAAGCCAACGACTTGCGCGAAAAGAGGAAACTGTGCTATTTCAGGGAGCTTTCTCCTCACATACGCATCATAAGCATTTTCTGTGCAGGCTCTAAAATCTTGTACTAAGAAATTGAATTCATGCCAGGTCGGGCCTAATGGAGAGGCTGCGACTTTGAAGTGTAGACTTGCAAAAACAAATTGCGACCCTTGCCTTGGAGCGTCCCAGTGCTTTCAAATCAATGGTATAATGCTCTCTTGCAGGTGGCTCAGCATCCTCAGCTTGGAGCGTGACCAGCTTCCAAACAGTGTCGAAGTGAAGCTTGCCAGCATTGCCCCTCAAAAGTCAATTCCATCAGAAATTGGACGAAACATAGCCGAGTTTCAAACCTTTCAAGGACCAAACAGCCAAGGACCTGGTTTGATGATGCCCGTGATGCCAGCCATAGCCTCACAAAGTACCTCAGAAAGTCAAGTCTCATCAAGTCTCTGGTGCGGCAACGCACCAGTGCAGCGACCGCTCAGGATGGCTTTCTGATGATGAGTCACTGTTTAGAACTCCAACCCAGGACCTTCCTTGCATCCAATGTGAGAACGGCAGTGTATCCTGATTAGAACTCATGGTCAGGACATTCATGTCATTTGTGTTGCTTTGGGTGGGCCTAGACTCTTTCGAGTGCGGCCCCTAGGGATTCCGGGTGTCCAGTTCAAATTGCCGCCGACATCTGCCCACAGTGTTGCAGCGTCACATGATTTGTCTCAGGCAGGGCTGCGCTGTGGCACGCGATTTTCGACGCCAGTCCGAGGTCTCCATCCGCATAGTCGAAACATGTATATAATAATTGTATATAATTGTAATAACTGTAATACGATCAAATACGATCCATATTGTTACTATAGTGACTCTATGTGACTCTATGTGACTCTATGTGACTCTATGTGACTCTATGTGACTCTATGTGACTCTATGTGACTCTAGTGGCCCATCCATGTGACAGTTTAATGATGTTTTATGGGCATGTGCGATACAGCGCAGGCACCGTCAGTGAAGTGACGCTCTCCCATGGGGATACTTGTGCTATCGAAGGTCCTGATCTCGGAACGTTGAATCCACGTTCGCGGCATCATTCAGTTTTTTTGTGCCTTTGTTCAGCAGAAAAGGCCGGTTTCAGAAACACTTCGTGCACCAAAGCGTGGGGCGACAGGCGAGTGTGATGCAAGTGCGGCAAGGTTTGATTCTTGGAGCTGCTTTCTCTCCAACTGCAGCCAGGTTGAGAACGACGGCTCTTCAAGCAATGAAGGGTATCTTCATGTCACATTCAGGCGGACTTACTCGTGGGTCAGTCATTAGTCAGACCATGTCAGACTCATGTCAGACCTAATCATCGTAAGCATCCCAATCTCTTAATCCTTCTTGAGTTGTCTTGTCATTGTGATTCCAGTCAGGTGGATTGTGAAGCATTCAAGGCCAAATCGGCTGTTCGATGTTCAATCTCAACCTATCATATTCCATCATATTCCATCATATTCCTATCCTTGCACGATCTTGCACGTCCTTGCAATTCCTTGCCACTTTCTTGTCTTAAACTGGAGACTCTTCTTTTTTGTGTCTGCAATCATCATCAAACATCCGAAGAATGTTAGGAACTGCCCTCTGCACGAGCATGGAGCCAGCGAGGCGGGAGCGAGGACAACTTCACTGGAAGATCTGGAAGTGTAACCTCTTAAACCCTCGAGCCCCACGGCATCACACAGAAGAACACCGGCAGATCATAGCAGATCTCAGCAAGCATGACGAGATATTCCGAGCATATCCGTTATAAAGTTATAATCAATTTGTTATAATGATTATATTTTCAATATGTACCGTATATAGGTCCGAAAAAAACATGAATAAACATTAACAAAAAACACACAAAATACAATTGCAATTGATAAATAAATCCATCAAAGAGTAAATAGTGTAACATAGTGTGTATAGTATATGTATATTAATATATACCTGGACATCCAAAAGCTGCATTTTTTTTGGTCTGGACTGAGTGAACGACCAAAAATCGAACAATTGCTGATTTGGCCCTCTGTCAATCACATTTGGAATGACCAAAAATATAACGCAAAATGACGCAGAAAAGACGCGAAAGACCAACTTTTCGACACCAAAACTGTGTCATTGAATCCATCTCTTTTATCACAAAAGTGATTTTTAGGCCCGCGCCCGAAAATCCACAAAGATCGGAAATTATGCATCTCAAGGACTGTCCAGATATGTATATGTATATGTATATGTATATTAATATATATATAATATATATTAATATATTAATGTATATATATATTAATATATGTATATATATATATTGCCCACCTAGAAAGGCAGGAGCAACTTGACCGAACGGGCGGACGACAGCACCCAGGCCGAGGAGCCCAGTGAAGACGATGTCTCAAGCGCTTCAGCTGCGTCAGATGACGGTGCGGCAGCTCCATGGACGGTCCGATGATGTCCGGTGGTCCATTGGAATTAAGTGCTACACAGAGGGGTTCCAAAGAAAAAGCTACACATAGTGTGTCACATAGTCACGTTTCCATGTCGTTTCACACTGTGTTAGCTTTTTCCATTGACGGGCTGTAGTCGTTTGGACAGGTGAGGTAGAGCCTGATGCTGAGTTGCTGCACAGACATCAGCTGTGCAACATGTACGAAGGTTTGGAATTCAGACGGCATTGTGCACGCCAAAGGTGACAAAATGCAGGAAAGTTCTAGCAGGCACTTTTCCTGACAGCACATTGGAGAAATTTGGAGAAATGGGAGATGCTGTTGGAGTGCAATCAAAGTGCAATCAGAATGCCTGGCTCCAACCCGCTTCTCCTTCTCCTATCATCACTATCATCTGATTTCCAGCCAGGCAACTCCATCCAGATGAGACCGAAGAAGTGAGCTCGGAGTCGTTTCAAGACACGTGAGCTATGGGCACTATGGGGCCTATGGGCACTATGGGGCCTATGGGGCCGGGGCTGCCTTCTGGCAAGTTCCACGGCAGGAACTCGCACTCAGAGAAGTCTCAGATCACTGTCAAATTTGTCAAGCCAGTGCTCCATTCTGAATCAGGTCTAGTAACTCAACTTGTGGAATTTGTTGAGATCTGTTGAGATCTGTTGAGATCTGTTGAGATCTGTTGAGTAGACATATTTGCGCTGGCTTGGACAAGCACGGCTGCTAAATGCTGGCCACAAAGATGGCGATTTGAACGTCAGCAGTGACAGCAGTGTGCATAGACAGACGCACGCTTCGTCAAAACAGGTCAAATCTCAAGACACATGTCATTTTTTCCTCCTCATTTTTCTCCACACGGAATCCACCATTCTTGTAATATCTTGTAATCGGTTTAGACCGATTTATTGGTTGATATTGGTTGCCATCTGAAGCAAATCCAAGTTTCAGCGCTATGCAGTTGGTGAGTTCATTTGTTTCCAGGGCTTGTTTTCAAGTTGAACTGCTCAGGGCTTATCGTTTTTACCTTTTCATGTCTGCATTCAAAAGCCTGAAGGCTTTTCCACGGAAACCTGACCTGAGGACATTTGATTTACCGGAGCCGATTACTCAGTTGACGCGCAGAAAGGGATCGGCTTAGGAAGGATGCGAGCCTCCGCCATGAACGTCGTGTGGCTTGTGCTGGTGGTGGCGGTTGCTGATGCAAGCACTCGCTGGTGGCCCACCATTGAGACACATCCATACAGCTTCCGCGCAGGGCAGCTCATACTTACGGTGATTGCCACCGCACTCCTTGCTGCCCATGCAGGAGTTTGCTGGCAGTACTACCAAAGGCCTTTTGTAGTGAAATTTTATCGCAACTTTGTGAGTGAGTGTGGATCTTCCACTACGGACTACTACACCATTGGTCCAGACAATGAGCTCATTGAGCACACATGGGAGTACATGGTAAACCGCCAGGCAGGAAAGTTGGGATGTGCGTTGGATCAACTCCTTCGAAAGCACTTGCCCTTTGTTCTTCATCTCTTCATGCCGTACCTCGCTCTTTTTGCTCTTCGTCACGACCATCATGTTTTCCTTGACTTGGTGTACTTGCGCCCTCGCAATCGGTCCTTGTACATGACCATCGCAGACAAGACAAAGCAGCAGCACTTCCTGGAAGAGAGGTGCAGGCAGCAGAACCAGTCCGTCACATTCGTGAAGCGCATTGTGCCTTCAAGTCGTGACGAGAGGATGGTTTTTGTGAAGCCTCGACTTGCCGCCTTCGGTGAAGACTGTTGTGTCATGACCTCCAACTCCGCTTCCAACTTGCCGCCAGCTCGTGCCCAGCACATGGTCTTTGAGGAGGTGTTGAAGAACCACCCTGTGGTGGAGAAGGTGGTTGGTGAGAGGGCTCCCCTCTGCACGCTTCGCGTGTGGACAGGGCGTTGGGTGATCAACAAGCCAACTACTCATGCAGCCTTCCTCGTGGCTCGCTCAGGCAGCATCAGCAATTGCAAGAACAATGAGTGCTGGCGAGTGAACCTCGACAAGCATACGGCCACACTGCAGAGCAGTGGTACAACCATAGTGCTCCCCTGGGTAGCAGAGGCAATCTTCACAGCCAACTGGGTTCACGACCAGTTTCCTCAAGTGCCCTTCCTTGGGACAGACATTGGGCTGACTCCGGATGGAGCTGTACTGTTGGAGACGAACCTTCTTTGTAGCTACAGCATCTATTCCAAGAAAGTGGGCCTTGCATATGGCCTTGATGATGTTGACTCCTTCCTGGCGCGGCAGGCTGAGGAGAAGAGCGCAAATCTTTGAGGGGCGCCGTAGCCGGCATCAAGTGTGGCCTTTGCCAATCCTTTTGCTTCAAAGGCTCGCTGGTAGACTTTCTCATATCCGCCTTGCTTAGCAGGCTTTGCGATGTCAAAGCTTTCCTGCTGTGAAAGCAGAGGTTTTTGTACTGTGAAAATCCGCGCCCCAAACCGAGCAGAAACTGTGATATGACATGATATAACGATAACGTAATATACACGTTAGCCTCGCATCTTTCACCTCAAACATATTCATCATGATTCATGGTGTTTGTTTGAATTCTCATGATATAAGCACCAAGGGCACAACGGAAGTCCGGAACGGTGGGTTCAGAACTGATCTTCCGGCACGTTTGCAGCCTATGGCTAATTAATGGCTTTGGGATTAAGTGGCCAGCTGCAGAATGGCCTAGAATGTGCGAACAGCATTCTAAAGGCCACAATATGAGTTCATCTGCACAAGCAATGGTGCTCGTGCACGTTTCACCTCTGTAGCTTGCAGGTGACTGCTGCTTGGCTTTGCGCTCATGTACTTTTTGCGACGGGAATCAAACAAGTTTTGACATATTTTGAGCGAATGAGTGGGTGAAGTCTTGGTGGCTGTGTCAACTGCAGGTGCTCTTCATTCAATACAGATAATTGAGAGAAGGTCTACTGTGCCTCACTTATTGAGTACTTTGCTGAGAATCTTCCTGCAGCATTAGCATGCTCAAGGACATCATGCTTCATGTGCAAAAACCGCTTCACCATGCGAACAAAACAAGTTAGTTTGATGCTTTTCTATTTTGTTTTCAAATCCCCGGCTACTGTCTTGAAGGAAGTTATTGGATACATACACAGCTGTTCTGGGTGGCAACATGATTCGATGGACGCCGACCAGAAGCAATTCTGTCACATCTGAAATCATGTGACTGAACCGTTTAAAATCGTTTAAAGCTGTGTTCCCCGTCCAAGCTGCCCTGAAGTTCCTGCAATTGTCTTCGGTCTCCCTTTTTGCTCCCGCGATGGTGCGCACCACCGTGCTTCTTAGCAGCAAGAGTCTGCAGGCGGTGAATGCCATGGCCACCAAATGGACAAATCGATCCAAATTGAACCACATATAGGTCATATAGGAATAAAATGGAATAACTATGATATGTTATATATATATAGTTATATATATATAGATATAGATAGATAGATATATATATAGATATAGATATATATATATATAAATTCCATAAATATATTTATGCATATTTATGCAGCAGTTATTTTCCCACGCTTGCCTATCAGGCTTCCTTTATTGACCGCTAGCTTTGTCGCTTGTGCTGCGCAATCCAACTTTTCTGGTGTGTGGCATTTGGTGAACGTGCAGTCCGTGGTTTGTGCGAATGCTCCAGGCTGGATGACGTGCAGCTATTTGAATCCATGTGAGTCTGCTGCTCAAATACTTTCCTGTGGTGTCTCAGCCTGTGAGGATACGCCCTCATCAACATTTCCCAGCCAACCGATGCACTCAACCGTCCTCACATTTTCACCGTTTTCCGCACCAGCACAGCTCCAGTGACCCTGGATTTTAGTGCCACTGATTCGGCGGGCAAAGACGTGGCATCAGTAGCAGTGACTTTGCAACAAGCCCGGCGTCTGTCTGAGCTGGAGCTGGCGCTGCCTGTGTCGCCGCGACGGCTCAGTTCAAGACGACGTTTCAGCAGCGGTGGATCCAGCTATAGCTCCCCACGCCGCAGAACGCCGTCGCCGGCGCCCACCTCCTACTCGTCGCCGCGGCGACGCGCCCCCGGCGGAACAAGCCCAAGTCCACCAAGTGCAGTGGGCGCGGGCGGTTCGCGACGGAGAACCTTCGGGACAACTGGAAGCAATCCAGCGAATCCAACAGCTGGAAATTATGGCTACCAGAGTTCGACGGCAGCAGCATCCAATTTTGGGGGCAAGATACCGACTGGCACACCTTATGGCTACACCGGTGCGAATGCATATAGTGGGTCCAGTGGCAGTGGTGCAAAGATTGCAATGGCTGCTGGTGCAGGCCTTTTGGCGGGTTACGTGGGTTCTCAGTTGCTAAGTCCCAGCTGGACGGGCTACAGCCGTGAACAGATGCTGAACTTCCAGTGTCGTGGACCTTCTTCGTGGACAGGTTTATGCAGCACATGCGTGACCGTCCATGGCGCGCAGAATTGCAACATCGAAATGTCACCCAGAATCGATGCAACTCGGGATGATCTGTTGAGCACCGGATTTATCCCCTCAAGCTTGACATGGCCAGTGATTGTGAACATCACCAAGATCTCGGGTGTGGACTTTGATCCCAGCAAGGTTTGCCCAAATGCGTCAGATCCAACCTGGAGCTCATCAGGGAAGCAGCTTTTCATTACGCTCACCACTCTCCAAGAGCTGGCCTCAGGATCACAGGCCGTCCTTTCATTCTTTTCATATCTTTCATATCCTTTCATACTTGAAGATCAACATGCTTGTAAACGTGGATGAAAATGGATGAAACCCTGTATCATCCTGTATCCCATATCCCAATTTCATGAGCCAGAGTGATCAACAAGGTTAAAAGATGTTAAAAGCCCGGAGAGAAAGCCAAATAGTTTCGTAGCAGCCGTAGCATAAATATTTCGCTTTCTGCCATTTTGCCACCTTGAAAGGCGGCAAGTGCAAGCTCATCGATGTCTTGGTGGCCAATCTTGGGAGTTTCTCGGCTGAACTTGCTACAAGTTCCATGTTGCACGCCTGTGAATGTGGAAAGGTGTGTGCCATTGAAAGATTTGAAAGGGTTCAATACTGTTCAATTCGGATAATTCACATTATATAATTCACACTGTTTGGACCGCTGAGGCGATTTTGGTGATCGGCGGATGTTGCTGCTGTGGGCTTTTAGCCTTCCGCTTGTGCAAAGGAAGCCAAGGCGGCTATGGCGGCTACGGCTCTTCCTCTGAGTCAGACTGGTCAGAGGCTGATCATCATGGACCTCCGGGTTACGGAGGTTATCCTGGCGCAGGGCAGCAACCCTATGGCGCACAAATGCCACAGCAGGGCTACAATCCATATTGGCAAGGAGGACAAGGGACGACCGGGACGACAAATGGTGACAGGGTACCAAATGGGTCCTGGCTTTGACAGTCGTGTTGACGAATTTATCAGTCTTTCAAGCGACGGGATTTGTGGAAGAATTTGGCATATCAACAATGCATATCACAGGTCGCATATCATGGGATGCCGCGCGAGTATACATGCATCATTTTTCATCTCTTTTCATCTCTTTCGATCTTTTTGTATCTGTTTGAGCATTGCTGAAAAACAGTGACATCGTTTGGCTGTCGTGGTGATGCGTGCCGCAAGGAGCACCTCAACCAATCCAAGGGGTCGTAGTGCAGGGAAGCCCGGTGCACCGACCAGGTGCAGGGGCAGCAGCTGGCGCAGCAGTCGGCGCAGCCGTTGGCGCAGTCGGTGCTTCTGGTGGCTTCATGAACACTGCTGCGCCCACTGGTGTCAGCTGGGCAAACTTTTGCCAACAGCATGAGGTCGTGGTGGATCCGTCAACTGGGATGATTTCTGGGCCATGGGGAGAGTGTTTGGCCTGGGCCGTCGCCTATGAGAAGCAAAACCCAGGATGGCATCAAGATCCAAGGCTCCATCAGCATCAGCAGATGTCCAAATCGTTGTTCCAAATGCATCCATATGTGCACTTTCCATGCGGTCGCACACTGTACAACCACATACATCATTCATATAGTATATTATTCTTTTTGCATGCGCATATTATGCACATGTAATTTATATTAATTTATGTATGTTTGTGCTGTGTGTGTGTCTATCTGAGTCTATCTGTCCAAATTTCTGTCTATGTCTATATACCACACACGTGCATCGGTGATCGGATTGATCATTTGGCAGGTTCCAGGTGGAAGGCCCAGCGGGTCAAGTCATTGGAGAGATCTCCGCAAAGGCCAATCCTGCAGCCCTGCCGCAAGTGGTGGAAGCTGCTGAGACTCTTGGAGCAGACCTGGACCTTACATTAGCCTTACATGAATCTACATGAATCTACATGATACATGCACCATATGCACCATATGCACCAAAGCTTCTTAGATAATTTAGATATATTTAGATACAGCTCTTACATGATATCACTAAGTGAGTAAGTGTGTTGCGATCTAGGACTTGATCACACGAACGGACTTTGCCGCTATGACAACTCCACCCACCTCTTGAAAAGAGCTCGTGATTCGTCATTTTATCCCCCCGCTTTGCCACTTGTTGCTTTTGCTGCCGGCCAAGGAGGCTTGAGGAGGCTTGTCAACAGGCAATCCAACATGGACAGCCACTGCCACTGATCCACCGGAGGGTGTAGTCAGGCCTCATGCCTTACAGCGAACAGAAGGACATCAAGCACCGTGCAGCATAATGCAGCACTGTGCCTTTTGATTGTACAGAGTGACGGCGGAGCATGGCTTTGTGCACAGCGCGGCTCCAGTTTTCCGTCAGAGCTTAGCTATCACCTTCTACTGTATCGTGAGTGTGCTACGGAAATTGCACCGCCCATAATATCTTTTGACCCTCCAGCCTGCATTTAACGAGAATGTGTGATTGCATGGCAGTCCTTGGGGCCGTCCTCACACTTCCCAGGCATATCAACAATATACACTGTTTGACGTTTGATGCAAATGCTGAGCGCCACTTAGACTTCTCCCGACCCATTCCAAGCGCAACACGGGTGGTGTTGGGATATGTTATGTATATATATATATATTTATGTTTACATATAATCATATATTATATTCTAGTTTATTTTTTCCAAAAATATATTTCTTCTTTCATCTTCTTTCCAAGAGCTCGGGAGTCTACTGTAAGTTAGACTGCGCTGGGGAGTCTAAGTCTAATAGAATGGGACACTCTTGCTAGCTTGGATTGGTGAAAAATATAGTTGATTATATTTCATTATATTTCATTATATTTCATTACATTTCATTTGATATTATACACATACGTTATTCAGTCTTGCGTGTTTGGGGCGGTTTCCAGTGATGGTGTGGCTCTTGCCGTGGCCAGCGGCTCAAGCCCGTTGTGAGCCAGGGGTCATGGCGATGCTGCGGTGGTTCCTTTTTCTGACAGGCCCGATGGAAGCGAGGCTGATTTCACTTTTGTAGACCCATCGTATTTATGATTATGTAATTTATGTAGCCTCTATAATTGTATACCTGTACATACCTCATGCCTATATCCTATAATAATACCTAAATATGCCTGTAATACTATAATCCTAGACCTAATCCAAAACCTGTACCTGTACCTGACATACATACAGGACAGGACATGCAGATATATCACTTTAATTCACTTTAGATCATCAGTCACGAAAGCCAGCCGCTAGGCTAGGCGAAGTTCTTTTTGCGAACAAAGTGAGTTAAGGGGGTCTGGGGGCAGAGCGCCCCGAGATGGCCAAAAATCGGGAAATTAGGTGGTAAAAAAGGTGGCCACAGGTAAAGTTTTTTAGGGTTATGTACCAGGTGGCAATTGGGTGACGGTGGGGTATCGATTCCCCCCTGGTCCGCCCTCCGAGGTGGACTTGGGGAGATTGCAATGGAGGGGAAAATGATGAGAAAAACAATGGAAAAAATGAGGGAATATGATATAAAACAATGGGAAAAAATGGGAAAGGAGGGGAAAATGATGGAAAATGATGAGAAAAACAATGGAAAAATGAGGGAATATGACATAAAACAATGGGAAAAAAATGGGAAAGGAGGGGAAAATGATGAGAAAAACAATGGAAAAAATGAGAGACTATGATATAAAACAATGGAAAAAATGGGAAAGCAATGGAAAATTTGAGTAGAACGCTTGGAAAATTGATTAAAACGCGAGGCGAAACGGTGGAAAGAATAGGGAGAGGGTAAAATGATGCCAAGTAAAATTGAGGGTGGGACCATTATCGCGTAAAGCACGCGTGAAACAATGGAAAAGCAATGGAAAAATTGCAGTTTCGATATGTGACCACTATGGAGTAGAAGCACAGAAAAAAAAACATGGAAGAAACAAGCAAAACGGTTTATACGGTGCAACTGTAGGGATTGTGGAAGGTGCATTTGGGTAAGCGTTAGACACACTGGAGAAATCGAGTAACACCATGGCAAAACACTCTGAAAGTACCATGATGGTACTTTTTAGCAAGATGGACAGCATACCTTATTCGCTCAAGATTTAGTGCATTCTTATGGTCCTCGTCGATTGACCTAACTTCAAATACTGATAAATAATATTTTTGACCATCTATTTTAAATTTTTCAAACCCTTGGTCCTCGTCGATTGACCTAACTTCAAATACTGATAAATAATATTTTTGACCATCTATTTTAAATTTTTCAAACCCTTGTTTTCTTATATTATTTCATTCTTCTAGTTTGTTGTGGTATCCAAGAGGAGATGACACACATGTGATGTGCAGAAGTTCCATGATGGACAGCATACCTTATTCGCTGAAGATTTAGTGCATTCTTATGGTCCTTTGCTGCCTCGCCGATTGACCTAACTTCAAATACTGAGAAATCATATTTTTGACCATCTGTTATAAATCTCATTCTGCTAGTTTGTTGTGGTATCCAAGAGGAGATGACACACATGTGATGTGCAGAAGTTGAGTTTTTGCCAAAAAAAATGTAAGCAATGCAATCTTCATGCCATATGTCTGAAATTTGGGATAAACAATGAACAAATGAGGGAATATGACGTAAAACAATGGGAAAAGAATGGGAAAGCAATGGCAAATTTGAGTAGAACGCTTGGAAAATTGCTTACAACGGTGGAAACAATGAGGAGAGGGTAAAATGATGCCAAGTCACGTAAAGCACGCGTGAAACATTGGAAAAGCAATGGAAAAATGGCCGTTTTGATGTGTGACCACTATGGAGTAGACGCACGGAAAGAAAACCATGGACGAAACGAGCAAAACCGTTTATGCGGTGCAACTGTAGGGATTGTGGAAGGTGCATTTGGGTGAGCGTTAGACGCACTGGGGTAACATAAGGGTATGATGGAGAAATCGAGTAACACCATGGCAAAACACTAAAAAAATTGATGAAATGGAGAAATCGAGCAACACTGTGGCAAAACACTGGAAACATCGCTGAAATGGAAGGAGAAATTGATCACGAAAGCCAGCCGCTAGGCTAGGCGAAGTTATTCTTGCGAACAAAGTGAGTTAAGGGGGTCTGGGGGCAGAGCGCCCCGAGAGGGACAAAAATGAGGAAATTAGGTGGTAAAAAAGGTGGCCACAGGTAAACTTTTTTAGGGTTATGTGCCAGGTGGCAATTGGGTGACGTTGGGGTATCGATTCCCCCCTGGTCCGCCCTCCGAGGTGGATCTGGGCAGATTGCAATGGAGGGGAAAATGATGAGAAAAACAATAGAAAAAATGAGGGAATATGATATAAAACAATGGGGAAAAAATGGGAAAGGAGGGGAAAATGATGGAAAATGATGAGAAAAAACAATGGAAAAATGAGGGAATATGACATAAAACAATGGGAAAAAAATGGGAAAGGAGGGGAAAATGATGAGAAAAACAATGGAAAAAATGAGAGACTATGATATAAAACAATGGAAAAAATGGGAAAGCAATGGAAAATTTGAGTAGAACGCTTGGAAAATTGATTAAAACGCGAGGCGAAACGGTGGAAAGAATAGGGAGAGGGTAAAATGATGCCAAGTAAAATTGAGGCTCCGATGTGGGACCATTATCGCGTAAAGCACGCGTGAAACAATGGAAAAGCAATGGAAAAATTGCAGTTTCGATGTGTGACCACTATGGAGTAGAAGCACAGAAAAAAAACCATGGAAGAAACGAGTAAAACCGTTTATACGGTGCAACTGTAGGGATTGTGAAAGGTGCATTTGGGTAAGCGTTAGACACACTGAGATAATAGAAGGGTAATGATGGAGAAATCGAGCAACACCATGGCAAAACACTGGAAAAATTGATGAAATGGAAGGATAAATTGATAGCGTAAAATATGGGACGGTTGAGTAAAACTGGAGGAAAAACTGTGAAAAAAACACTGGGGAGACTGGAATGGAGGGGAAAATGATGTCGAGTAAAACTATGGAAAAGCAATGGAAAAAATGAAAAAAATGTGGCTTCGATGTGAGACCATTAGCGATGGAAAAGCAATGGAAAAATTGAGGGACTATGATGAAGAAGTGGAGAAAAACAATGGAAAAAACATTGGAAAAATTGCGGCTCTGATGTGGGACCAAAATGATGCCAAGTAAAATAAGAGTAAAATGACGGAAATTGATGGGATGGAAACACAATGGAAAAATTGAGGCTCCGATGTGGGACCACTATATGTGCAAGAAGAGTTTCTGGGTGAAGAGTCTCTAGGTGCAAAGTATATGGGTGAAAAGTTTGTGCAAGAAGAGTTTCTGGGTGAAGAGTCTCTGGGTGAAAAGTCTGTGCAAGAAGAGTTTCTGGGTGAAGAGTCTCTGGGTGAAAAGATGTGAAAAGTATATTGGTGAAAAGTATGTGCAAGAAGAGTTTCTGGGTGAAGAGTCTCTGGGTGAAAAGTATATGGGTGAAACGTAGGTGCAAGAAGAGTATCTGGGTGAAAGTATATGGTGAAAAATATGTGCGAGAAAAGTTTCTAGGTGAAGAGTCTCTGGGTGAAAAGTATATGGGTGAAAAGTATGTGCAAGAAGAGTTTCTGGGTGAAGAGTCTCTGGGTGAAAAGTATATGGGTGAAAAGTATGTGCAAGAAGAGTTTCTTGGTGAAGAGTCTATGGGTGAAAATATGTGGGTGAAAAGTATTTGTAAGAAGAGTTTCTGGGTGAAGAGTCTCTGGGTGAAAAGTATATGGGTGAAAAGTATGTGCAAGAAGAGTTTCTGGGTGAAAAGTATATGGGTGAAAAGTATGTGCAAGAAGAGTTTCTGGGTGCAGAGTCTCTGGGTGAAAAGTATATGGGCGAAAAGTATGTGCAAGAAGAGTCTCTGGGTGAAAAGTCTGTGCAAGGAGATTTCTGGGTGAAGAATCTCTGGTTGAAAAGTGTATGGGCGAACTGATGTGCAAGAAGAGTTTCTGGGTGAAGAGTCTCTGGGTGAAAAGTATATGGGTGAAAAGTATGTGCAAGAAGGGTTTCTGGGTGCAGAGTCTCTGGGTGAAAAGTATATGGGTGAAAAGTATGTGCAAGAAGAGTTTCTAGGTGAAGAGTCTCTGGGTGAAAAGTATTCTCTGGGTAAAAAGTATATGGGTGAAAAGTATGTGCAAGAAGAGTTTCTGGGTGAAGAGTCTCTGGGTGAAAAGTTTATGGGTGAAAAGTATGTGCAAGAAGAGTTTCTGGTTGAAGAGTCTCTGGGTGAAAAGTATATGGGTGAAAAGTATGTGCAAGAAGAGTTTCTGGGTGAAGAGTCTCTGGGTGAAAAGTATATGGGCGAAAAGTATTTGCAAGAAGAGTTTCTGGGTGAAGAGTCTCTGGGTGAAAAGTATGTGGGTGAAAAGTATGTGCAAGAAGAGTTTCTGGGTGAAGAGTCTCTGGGTGAAAAGTATATGGGTGAAAAGTATGTGCGAGAAGAGTTTCTGGGTGAAGAGTCTCTGGGTGAAAAGTATATGGGTGAAAAGTATGTGCAAGAAGAGTCTCTGGGTGAAAAGTCTCTGGGTAAAAAGTATATATGGGTGAAAAGTAAAATTGAGGCTCCGATGTGGCACCATTATATGTGCAAGAAGAGTTTCTGGGTGAAGAGTCTCTGGGTGAAAAGATGTGAAAAGTATATGGGTGAAATGTATGTGCAAGAGTTTCTGGGTGAAGAGTCTCTGGGTGAAAAGTATATGGGTGAAAAGTCGGTGCAAGAAGAGTCTTTGGGTGAAAGTATATGGGTGAAAAATATGTGCAAGAAAAGTTTCTAGAAGAAGAGTCTCTGGGTGAAAAGTATATTGGTGAAAAGTATGTGCAAGAAGAGTTTCTGGGTGAAGAGTCTCTGGGTGAAAAGTATATGGGTGAAACGTATGTGCAAGAAGAGTCTCTGGGTGAAAAGTATATGGGTGAAAAGTATGTGCAAGAAGAGTTTCTGGGTGAAGAGTCCCTGGGTGAAAAGTATATGGGTGAAAAGTATGTGCAAGAAGAGTTTCTGGGTGAAGAGTCTCTGGGTGAAAAGTATATGGGTGAAAAGTATGTGCAAGAAGAGTTTCTGGGTGAAGAGTTCTGGGTAAAAAGTATATGGGCGAAAAGTATGTGCAAGAAGGGTCTCTTTGTGAAAAGTCTGTGCAAGGAGAGTTTCTGGGTGAAGAATCTCTGGGTGAAAAGTATATGGGTGAAAAGTATGTTCAAGAAGAGTTTCTGGGTGAAGAGTTCTGGGTAAAAAGTATATGGGCGAAAAGTATGTGCAAGAAGAGTTTCTGGGTGAAGAGTCTCTGGGTGAAAAGTATATGGGTGAAAAGTATGTGCAAGAAGAGTTTCTAGGTGAAGAGTCTCTGGGTGAAAAGTATATTGGTGAAAAGTATGTGCAAGAAGAGTTTCTGGGTGAAGAGTCTCTGGGTGAAAAGTATATGGGTGAAAAGTCTGTGCAAGAAGAGTTTCTGGGTGAAGAGTCTCTGGGTGAAAAGAATATGGGTGAAAAGTATGTGCAAGAAGAGTTTCTGGGTGACGAGTCTCTGGGTGAAAAGTATATTGGTGAAAAGTATGTGCAAGAAGAGTTTCTGGGTGAAGAGTCTCTGGGTGAAAAGTATATGGGTGAAAAGTATGTGCAAGAAGAGTTTCTGGGTGAAGAGTCTCTGGGTGAAAAATCTGTGCAAGAAGAGTTTCTGGGTGAAGAGTCTCTGGGTGAAAAGTATATGGGTGAAATGTATGTGCAAGAAGAGTTTCTGGGTGAAGAGTCTCTGGGTGAAAAGTATATGGGTGAAAAGTATGTGCAAGAAAAGTTTCTGGGTGAAAGTATATGGGTGAAAAATATGTGCAAGAAAAGGTTCTAGGTGAAGAGTCTCTGGGTGAAAAGTATATTGGTGAAAAGTATGTGCAAGAAGAGTTTCTGGGTGAAGAGTCTCTGGGTGAAAAGTATATGGGTGAAAAGTAGGTGCAAGAAGAGTCTCTGGGTGAAAAGTATATGGGTGAAAAGTATGTGCAAGAAGAGTTTCTAGGTGAAGAGTCTCTGGGTGAAAAGTATATGGGTAAAAAGTATATGGGTGAAAAGTATGTGCACGAAGAGTTTCTGGTTGAAGAGTCTCTGGGTGAAAAGTCTGTGCAAGAAGAGTTTCTGGGTGAAGAATCTCTGGGTGAAAAGTATATGGGCGAAAAGTATGTGCAAGAAAAAAAATTGGGTGAAGAGTCTCTTTGTGAAAAGTATATGGGTGAAAAGTATGTGCAAGAAGAGTTTCTGGGTGAAGAGTCTCTGGGTGAAAAGTATCTGGGTGAAAAGTATGTGCAAGAAGAGTTTCTGGGTGAAGTCTCTGGGTAAAAAGTATATATGGGTGAAAAGTATGTGCAAGAAGAGTTTCTGGGTGAAGAGTCTCTGGGTGAAAAGTCTGTGCAAGAAGAGTTTCTGGGTGAAGAATCTCTGGGTGAAAAGTATATGGGCGAAAAGTATGTGCAAGAAAAAAATTGGGTGAAGAGTCTCTTTGTGAAAAGTATATGGGTGAAAAGTCTGTGCAAGAAGAGTTTCTGGGTGAAAAATCTCTGGGTGAAAAGTATATGGGTGAAATGTATTGAAGAGTCTCTGGGTGAAAAGTATGGTGGAAAATAGGGGTAGATGGGATGCTGGCTTTCGTTGCCCCCTTCTCAGGTTTCATTATTTGTATATGACGTATATGACTCTTTGAAATACTCAAGGTTCTCCTGATTCACAGTTGATCAGGGCACTGCTTCCCTGGTGTGTTGCAAGGCACCTGGGCACAGCAGAGCTTCTCTGGTGTATGGCACTTGATCGATGTGCCCTCAGTGGTTTGTCCAGGCCGTCAAGGCAGGCGGTCACCGTGACCAGACCCAGACCAAGCAAGGCAACATGAACAGGTTTAAGCATGGCATGATTGTTGGACATCAGGTGTCGTTTAAATACCGTTTAAACCTGTTTAATTTCTGTGAGATCACGAACAGGCTATGCCACAATCACCATTGCAAAGCCGACGACTGCTGAGTATGAGCCACATATTTTGACGGTCTTCCGTACTGCAAAGAATCCGGTCGAACTGAGCTTCCTGGCCAAAGACAGCAATGACATCGTGGCGGATCAAAGGACGCCAGTGACATTGCAAGGACATGCACGGAGGCTTCAGATAAACCAGACAAGCCAGCTCCAGCTGGCGCCGGGAAATGGTACCCAAAAGGCCCCAGCTAATGCTGCTAATGGCACGTTTTGGAGCCACTGTACTGGCAAAGACTGTCCGGAAGGAAGACTCAGAAGACTCTATTCAATGCGACGGCGCATGTCCAGTTCCATCAGGAGGCGAAACGGTGGTATCAAACCGATCAACATCAATCCGATGTCCTGGTTCTCCCCTCGAAGAAGGCGAGCTCTTCCCGGTGCTGCCGGTGGTGCGGCTGTGGCCACAGGTGCTGGTCTGGTCGGTGCCCGACGAAGAGGGACAGCACCAGTTGCGCCAGCACCTGGCACAGTGATGCCTGCGAATCCCTATGATACAACTGGCACAGGAGCTTCTTATTCCTCGGTGCGCAGGAGGATAAGCACTATGGGGACAACCAAAAGCTTTCACCGGAGGCGCTCATATCAAGGAGGATATGGAGGTTCCTACTCAAATCCCTATAGCTCATACAGTGCTCCATACGGCTATCCCAGCTCTAATTGGGCATATCAGAGTTTTGGAGGCCATATGCCCACGGCGACACCCTATGGATACACCGGAGCCAATGCATATTCAAGCAGCAGCGGCCTGCCCATTGCATTGGCAGCTGGTGCTGGGTTGCTGGTCGGTTCTGCCATGGGACACCACTCCGGACACTATGGACACTATTGGCATGGTTACAGCCAGGATGACATGTACAAGATGCAATGCGCATCTGGACCTGTGATGTCTAAATTGAATAATATTTCTACATGTTTCCATCCTTTTTAGCTTGCTGATTCTCTTGCACTTAATTTTTTTATATTACTACCAATGAAAACTTTCACGTGGCTGGGGCTAAGCATGTCGAAGCATCAACGACAAAACTGCGTTCAGGAGGTTGGACTGGAGGATGCCAATCTTGTGTTTCGAGTTACGGAGCTTCGTCTTGCAATGTCCTGTTGTCCCCACAGCTCGACGCAGCGCGCGACGATTTGATGTCAACGGGCTTCATTCCTTCGCAAATTTCATGGCCATTGGTGGTGAATGTGACTCATGTGGCAGGTGATGATTTTAGACCGTCAGCCATTTGCCCACCTCAAGACCCAGATGCGAAAAGCGCGCCTCGACTGAATAGCCCTCCAACCGCCTAAAACATCGGAGATGTTCCAAACATTATGAAATTTATGGAACATTGTCATATCAAATTGTCATCATTTTGAAACTTGTTCGGCCCCCGGGTGTCGTTTCACAGGCGTGGACGCCGCCTCCGATGAAGGAACTCTTCATTTCGCTCTCTGCCCTGCCAAGCCCCCCGCAGCCTGGAATGCTGGGCAGCGGTCCCGGCTACGGTTATGGGAACGGCATGACCAACCAGGGAGGATCACCTGCCACTTGGATCCACTTCAATCCACTTGGACCATTGGACACCGCCTGGATACCATGCCGTTCTTGTTATTTCTTGTTGTCACGGTATGTCATATGTCATATGTATTTTTTTGTTTGTTTTTGATTTTGTTTTCCTTGTTGATAATACGTTTCTTCGCGATGATGTTGTTTTTGATAATGATGAGGATGGGGATGAGGGATGAGGGATGAGAAGCCGTGACGTCCTTGCTAAATCATTCGCACGCAGGAGATGAACAGTATTGAACGATGAAATCCAAATTTGAAGATGCATAGTTGATGTGTGTGAGCCTAGCGGCCTAACGGCCTAACGGTTCTTTGAGAGGTGATCTCCAACTTGGTACTGCTTTGTTCCTGCCTTGGTTGCTGCTATCTTGTGGAACGCTGCCGGAAGATGTTCGACGGCCCCTCTTCAGGGCACCTGTATGTCCCAAAGCTGCAATTTACTTGCAGATGGTGCAATAGGTTGCAGAATGTTGCAGATGTAGAATGATGTTGATGATGTTGACATGCACCAAAAAATGGGATTCCAATCTCTTCCAGGTTCCGGCAGTCCCGCAGTGTCCCGCAGTGTCCCACAGTCCAATTTTCGTGGCTAAGACTGGCGTCCTACCTCCACAGGGCTTCTCCGGCCATCCAGGCCATGCGCCGGGCCAACATTTCCACCAGGCCATGGCCGACTGTTTCACTGCCATGAATTTGAAAAGGGAGGGCCATTTATTTAGTTTTTTTTTTTTTTAGTTTAGGGATTTTTTTTTGGATTTCTTCCTGCTTACTCTATTGCCTCCTGCAGTGCTTCTCTGCTTCTTTGCTTCTATTCCTTTTTTTGTTTTTCTTGCTTTTCTTTGCTTTTTTGCTTTTTTGCTTCCCTTGCTTTTCTTTGCTTTTCTTTGCTTTTTTGCTTTTTTGCTTTTCTCGCTTTTCTGCTTTTCTTTGCTTTTTTGCTTTTCTTGCTTTTCTTGCTTTTCTTTGCTTTTTTGCTTTTTTGCTTTCCTTGCTTTTCTTTGCTTTTTTGCTTTTGTCGCTTTTCTGCTTTTCTTTGCTTTTTTGCTTCTCTTGCTTTTCTTTGCTTTTTTGCTTTTTTGCTTGTCTTTGCTTTTTTGCTTTTCCATGAGGTGTGGAGCAACATCAACAAAAACAACAGCACCAACAACAACAACAACAACAACAACAACAACAACAACAACAACAACAACAACAACAACAACAACAACAACAACAACAACAACAACAACAACAACAACAACAACAACAACAACAACAACAACAACAACAACAACAAAAACAACAACAACAACAACAACAACAACAACAACAACAACAACAACAACAACAACAACAACAACAACAACAACAACAACAACAACACACCACAACACACCACAACACACAACAACACACAACAACACAACAACACACAACAACACAACAACACAACAACACACAACAACAACAACACACACACCAACACACAACAACACACAACACAACAACACAACAACACACAACAACACACACAACACACCACAACACACCACCCAACAACAACTAGCCACAACACCACCAACCCCACAACACAACAACAACCAACAACAATAACCAACAACCAAACAACAACAACAACCAAACACAAAAACCCAAAACACACTATCAACACAAAACAAACGAGCAACAACACCACCACCACCAACAACAACACAGCAGCAAACAACAACAACACCACCACCACAACAACAACAACAACAGCAACAACAACAACAACACAACAAACAAACAACAACAACACAACAACACTAACAACACTAACAACACTAACAACACTAACAACACTAACACTAGCAACACTAACAACACTAACGTAACAACAACAACACTAACAACAGCAACAACAACAACACCACTAAACAACAACAACAACAACACCAACAACAACAACAACAACAACACCAACAACAACAACAACACAACACATCCACAACAACTTAACACACCACTAACACAACACTAACACAACACTAACACAACACTAACACAACACTAACAACACTAACAACACTAACAACACTAACATTAACACTAGCAACAGCAACAACAACAGCAACAACAGGACCACCACCACCAACAACAACAACAACACCACCAACAACAACACCAACACCAACACCAACAACAGTAACAGTAACAACAAACAACTGTTGGAATGTCAGCCTTCAGCTCCAAAATCCTGCAAGTACTGTGAGGAATGTAGCTGTAAAGTGTTGCACATACGGTGGAAATGCAGATTCCAGCTCAAAAATGCTGCAAAGAGCATGGAAAATGGACAGAACATGCTGCAAACTGTTGCAAATACCGTGGAAAATACAATGGAAAATGAGAGGTTCGAACTCAAAACCGTTGCACATACCGTGGAAATGGCAGTTTCCAGCTCCAAAATGCTGCAAATAGCATGGAAAATGGTGAGAACCGGAAATCCAAAAAAAATCCCCAAACTAAAAAAAAAAATCCACAAACAATTTCCTACCCTTTGAAAAGTGGTGTTTAGATGATTTATATTTATGTATATTATGTATATTTCACATTTTTTGAATAGATGTTATGACATATATATATAATATTATGAATTTACATGTCAATGTGTTGTTTAATATTCTTGGATGATGCTGTGGTTCATTCTTCGATGCGATTTGGTCAGCTTTGGTCTTTGGGACAAACAGAGTGGCTTGTGAAGATTGTGCAGTATGTTCTCTGGGCATGTGTATTTTGAAGAAATTATATGAAATTATATATATGATTTTACATTTACATTATCCTTTCAGCATGGTTTCTTTGCATTTCTTTGTTCCATGGCAGCAGGATGCTGCATCGGGCCAGATCGTGCAGGGGCAGGCAGGGGCTATACCGAACTTTGAAGTATTGACAAAAGAGTTGTGTGACTGCGAACTGCTCAGAACAAACCTGTGCCTGAAGAGTAAATAGTGATGAATAGTGGGAATGGTGCGAACTTACATGCACAAAGAATTGCAAGAACTGTGCAGGTGGTGAACGATGGTTCCAATCCTTATTGGTGACTGAGATCGAGCTTGCCTCGGAGCTTGATGAAGCCTCCATTAAATGGCAAACTGCTGGATTCCCCAGTAAAACTGGGAAAAGGAGCTCAGGTGTGTCAAAAGTATACACCTGGGAGAGCTTTCCTTTTGGAAAGCTCAGTGTCAAAGTTACCAGCTACAAGAATGACAAAGCAAGAGTGTTTGACGACTGGAAAGCTTCCAACTGCTGGAGCCAAGTGCATAGCCTGGTCTTCTTCAAGTCCTTCTGACGATATCAGGCCCAAGCCTTGAGCCCCGCATGGCTTATCCAACAGGGGTGATATGGAGTGAATGGAACACAACTTTCAGGAAAATGATGGCAAACAGATGGCATCGCATCCCGCATCCCCCTGTATCCCCAGAGTTGCAGATCTTGTGCATGCAGACATGTGCAGACCATGAATTTGCACACCTGTGGCCTGCAGCCTGCCTATCGGATCTGCCATGGCCTTGCTTTTGCTTGTTGCGGCTTGCATCTCAACTGAATTTGGTTAGACAAACTTTCATCAGTCCTTTTTTATCGGTGGTTTGCATGCCTTTTCCAGGCTCGGCTCATGACCACGACAAAGTTGAGGTGTATTTCCAGTTTGCTTGTCGCAAACTGGCCTGGCTGGCCCTGGCTTCTCTGGAGTGTGGCACTACGTTAACGTGCCAGCAATTCTTTGCCAGGGTGGGGCTGGACACTTGGATCATCGGACATCAAACATCATCGCACATATATGATATATCGAGCTAGGAACATCGCAACCTTTTCGGCCAGTGTAGAAAGGTGAGGCAGGTGAATCTGTTTGGCAAACTCCCCTTTTGCAATCCTCGGTTTTGACCTGTTATTGACTTATGATATACTTATGATATACAATATATATATATATACATATATCTGGATTTCAGCGAGACTGTTTGCCACTCAGGATTTGCTGACATAGCTATTCAAAAGCCTCCCAGTGGAGACTATGAGCCACACGTTTTTACAGTCTTTTGCACCAGCAACGGTGCAATGACGCTCAGTTTCGTTGCTCGCGATGCTTCAGGGAGGACTATTACGGACCAGTCATCTGGCCTCAATTTGCGACCTGTCACCCCAGGTACGAATTACGGGAGGCGTTTGGAAAACAACAGCCTGCCACTCGCTGAACAGTTTGAAAAGCCTGCAGAGCCTGGAAGCAGATTTTTATCGTCAGTCTCAGCCTCAGATCCAAGACGGCTCTCAAGCCGCAGGCGCTCGTTCTCATCATCGTCGCGCAGACGAACATACACAGACTCACGGCGCCGCACTATGTCTTCGCCTCGACGTCGTGTTTTGACATCTCCACGTCGGCGCACCGTGCTGGACACGAGAAGGCGCACCTCAATCGATGATTCACGAAGGAGAGCTGCCGTTCTTCCCTCCCCACGAAGAAGAACATATAGCAGCGATGGCCGTCGCAGAAGTTTCAGTAGCTATAGTAATCCGTCCCGGCCCAACATGGGACAATACGGTTATGCAAATCAACACTATGCATATCAAAACTATGGTGGGCAGATGCCCATGACCACGCCGTATGGATATTCAGGTGCCAACGCTTATCAGGGAAGCAGTGGCAACGGAATGAAGATTGCCATTGCTGGTGGAGCTGGTTTGCTGGCAGGCATTGCTGCAAACAAACTGATGCATCATTGGGGCGGTTACAGCCAAGAGCAGCTGATGAATGCACCCTGCTCTAGAGGCTGCATGCTGGGGCATGAGCACTGATATGGCTACGACTTGCACCTCTCCCCCACTCTCATCCTCTTCTTGGGGCAGTCATGGATTGAATTGCTCCAAGATTGCCTTTGTACGTCTCAATTCATAGTCATAATTCATAATTTAAACAATTTAAACATTAATATTTGAATGTCATTATTTGCTCAGTTCTAAAGCGTATACAGTACACCCTGGGTGTTGCTTCACCAATTGCGTTTTTGCGTTCTATGACCCATTCAAGGATTTAGGAGGACTGCACAGGATACAGTACATTTGCATTATCACACATATGCCCACGTATCAGCACGTGCCTTATCTATCCTTATCTTCAGTTTGATCCTAGTGGATCAGCGGATCAATGTTGTGGCATCTTGTGGCAGGCAGCTGGCAGGGCACTTGCGGCACCTGTATGAATCAGTACGGCGCGAACAATTGCAACGCGATGCTGGCTCCAAAATTTAATGCAGCCCGTGACGACCTCATGAGCACGGGATTCACCCCGGCCCAAGTCCAATGGCCACTGCAGGTACGTGTAACTCATGTGGCAGGCCCTGAGTTCAATCCGATGCTGATTTGCACCCCACCTGCTCCAGGTATGGCACCTAGGCTGGTGATGAGTTCTGTAGATCTCTGTGTATTTTGAATTTTCTTCACTGTGTAGGTTGATACATGTTGTTGATACTCCATTTTTTTCCGTTAAATCATGTTACTTTATCTAAATGGCTGGTTGAATTATTTGTTTGAAGGGTGCCGGGGCTTGGTGACATTTTCTGGCCAACTGCTTTGAGGCACACCCTCCAGTGCCACAAGTCTTTCTCACTTTGACTGCGCTGCAGTCATATTCAAATTCTGGAGGCAGTCCATATGGTGGCTACTCTCAATATGGCGGCTACAGCCCTGGATACGAGCAACAAACTTCCCGAGGAGGCATAATCGTGGCTCAGCATTCCCCTAGTCAGCAAATCCATTGATGTTCCATTGCATTCCATTTCTAATTCTCCCGTTCCTTCGCTATCTTCGCTTCATTGGATTTTGTGGCATTCTATGGCATTCTGATGTATTGATATGTACTGCACAACTGAGGCGAGTGTGGCCTCGAGCCTTCTTTGTTGCTGCTGTTGCTGCGGTCTTGTGGCTTTCTTCTGCGTGCGCAAAGGGAAGTCCAGCGTTGGTGATTCATCTTCTGAACCTTTTCCAAGATATTTTTAATAGTTTTAGTGGACCTTGGTCAAATACCCAGAGGCTGTGTGGGGATCTTGTTACTGAAAACCGAACACATTTTTTATATTTCAATATATTTCAATATACCCAATGCATTCAATTCAGCACAGAGCACCTGCGGCGTCCCGGCACAAGTTGAAGCCTGAGGATGATGAAGGGACAGAGCTGTCGCACCATGCGCATCATGCGCACAACCCATACTGGGACACTGTCCCTCGTCATGATTCTAGTCATTCTAGTCTTGTTCTTGGCTTCACATTCTTGGCTTCTTCCGGTTGAGTAGCCTCATGTCACAAATGTCATGACCATGTCATAGGTCCATCGAGACTGGGCACTGGTGGTGTCCATGTCACCAAGGCGCCTCATGCGCCTCCTGGGCCCTATGGCTCTGCGCCCGGCTTTATGGGGACTGCCGCGCCGAATGGCCAGTATTGGTCGCAGTACTGCCATGGCGAGCCAGAAATCAGCTCCGGAAATTTCATCGTGGGCCCATGGGGCGAGTGCTTAGCCTGGGCAGTGGTGTACGAGCACCAGAACCAGTGGGAAAATGATCCTGACTACAGGCACCTGGGCAATCCGGAGACACCCTGTTCATCCCTGTTCTCTTTTTTTGCGTTGTTTCAGTAGCCATCCGTTCACGCTGCCTTGGGCGAAAGACGGCAAACGCAAAAAGACTGCAAATGTCACCCTGAGCTGAGGGAACTTGGGCCCGTTGGAGGCGTGATTCGGGCCATGATGGAGCGAGCGGCTGATGACCAGGCTCAGGCGGTGCAGTCTGCAGCCGAAGAGTTGGAGGTGTATTGTGACTCGGCGGGTCCATGCGGGTCCATGCGGGTCCAATGGGTGAGCACATGAGGAACTGCGGCAATCTTAGACCATCTTAGACCATCTTAGACCCTTGGAAACCGAGATATATGTGATGGATAAATTATAACGACCGCACTCCGCCAGCACTGTCAATGATGCTTAGTGTAGGAACCATCCCAGAATCATCACTTTTTTCTTTTCATCTGAACTTGTTGACACATTATTATTTATCCAGATCTATGTGAAACACGGATGCCCCAAAAGCTTAAAGAACCGGAAGAACTAGCCGAGCCAATTTCCCGACCTACCAGCTGGGATGAGCTTAGCGCATCACTCTCGTATTCTGCTTGAACCACATCGGCATTCGGATGTAGATGGATTTAGGGTTGCTGCACATTGTTGGAGCTTAGACTGGAGTCAACAGTAAGAACAGTAGAAACTCCATCAACTCACCTTTTTGACCTTATCATTCCCAGGCAAGGAGGCGATCAGGCAAGACAAACCTCTTCCGGTGATCAATGAAAGGGCATGATGCACCAAAAGCTGCGCAGCCGCGAGAAAAGAGAGAGAGAGAGAGAGAGCGCGAGAGAGAGAGAGAGAGAGAGAGAGAGGAGAGAGAGAGAGAGAGAGCGCGAGAGAGAGAGAGAGAGAGCGCGCGAGAGAGAGAGAGAGAGAGAAAGAGGAGAGAGAGAGAGAGGAAAACCTATCCCAGTAAGCGCATTAAGCTTGCGGATATATTGATTGAAAATGATTTAAAATGATTGAAAATGATTGAACATGATTGACTTGTGAAGATGAAGATGATGATGATGATGATGATGATGATGATGATGATGATGGCCATGATCATGATCATGATGAAGAAAACGAAGAAGAAGAAGAAGAAGAAGAAAAAGAAGAAGAAGAAGAATATGATGATGATTTTGTGGAAGTCTCTATGTATCGCATGTGCGTTGCCCAGTGACATGGTGAAGAGCTCATGGCGACATTGTTGGGATGCTGTGGTGATACTAAATATGGATTTATTGTAAAGCGGTGTGCCACACTTCTCCGAATCCAATGACACAACCGTGCATTTTCACCCATACACGCAATCGCAACAAGTACTTTGGCTCCTTTCGGCTCCTTTCGGCTCACAGTTCCAGAATACAACACTGCATGGCTACACGGACTGCACACTTGCGAATGGAACCTGACATAATCTGACTGCAACGCATGTGTTGGGAATAGGGCGCAATAGGGCACATGCAAGGCCTTCGAAACTGGAGGAAACCATCGCAAGAAAGTTGTGCAATGTCGGGCATGCGGTCAGACGGCCGCAGACGGCTAAGTGCAGATAAGTGCAGTAACGCCTAGTGTGTTCAGCCAGGAGGTGCCCAGAACCCAAAAGTGAAACGTAGTGAAACTATATGACCCAAGAATATCCAAGAATAATGATGGTAATATAAATAATATAAGACGCCAAGAGAAAGAGAGAGAGAGAGAGAAAGAGTTCAGGACTCTTGTTCCAGGATTTCCATCGAGTCAGCACTTCTCACAACATCACACAACCACAGCATTAAAACATCATAGAACAATAACAACAGGCCCACCAGAAGCTGACAGCTCTCATGCTCCTCGATCCGTGTCAAGCTCCCAATGCCACAGGCGCAGCAGGCAACCCTGTCATCATGTTAGCAATCGGGAAAGCCAAACGGGATGCACAAGCAGGGGAGTCGTTGCAACATCATGAGTGATAAAGGTTGGCGTTGCAAATTGCAGCTTTCCAGGATCACATGTTTGAGTCTGCTTGATACTTCAGACGTCTATTGAATTACATACCTTTGATTAAGTTTTAGACTTATTCTTTGCACACGAATCAGCCAACAAGACTGACTTGACAATAGCTCAGCAGTATGCAACCATCCAAATCAGCACTGCCTCACAAAACCAGCACAGAGTAGAGTTTCCAGCATGAGCTCTGCACACAGCAAATGAGCACAGTGAACCCATGCAAACCCATATTTTCAAGCCGCAGCAACCCAAGCAGTTCCTACGGTCCTACTGTGCAGTCGATGGTTGGGATATGACGCGATAGCAGAGCTGATGTAACCGGTGCAGCCTGAGCAATGGGAACATGCGACGGAGCCGCTGGAGGACGTGCTTGGGTTGTCGTGACGCTGCTGTGGATGTGCCTCGACTTTGCTTTACCTGACGTATCCTGACGTTGATGGATTAATTATGATTAATTTGGCATGATTTGGCATGATTTGGCTAGATTTGGCATGACATGGCATGACACTGTGCGAGCAGTATCGTGATATTCTTGTTTTCTTAGGCTGCAGTCCACAGCAGCAGGTTCGTTGGACAAACGTTCGAATGCTCGAATGCAAAGCTGCTTTGCTGCTGGGAAGCTCTTGGACCTAACGTTGCTTTGCCCTATCAGTTGGGATTGGTTGCGACTTGTGACAGGATGGCAGTTGAAGCGTGCAAACACAGGGCAAAGGTCTTGTGGTGATGGATGACCACATAGTTCTTAGCAAACCTGTACTGCTTCTGGACATGATCGCTTAGATCGTGGACATATATAGATGGGCATCTCCACCCTCTCGCGTCAAAATGAACAAGCACAAGCAGCACAAGCTTTTAAAACGGGCTGCCAGCCCTGAATAACTTGACTAAGGGTACTAAGGAATGGAAGCGTTGGCCTGCCAAACTGTGTCGAGCGCTGTGTCCCGCCAGCGGAGAGGAGCGTACAGGCAATGCGGCATTGGTTTCAAACATGTCAAACATCTGCCAGTGGTGTGGGGAGAATGGAGGAGAATGGAGGAGACAGGTTCCATGTTGAAAATGTTGAAATACAGGTCACGTCGGCCTGAGATTCTGGATTCATGCTTAGGCTGAGGCCTGACGGTCTCTTTCAGACGGGCTTGCAGTTTGTATCAACGCAGTCCTTCGTTGTGAGGCTGAAGGTCTTGGCTTTTGCATGCTGCCTGTTGTGCGCACAGTGGCTCGGCGATTCTTTCAGTGTTGCAAAGCAAAGACAAGTAGATACCTGTTTGATCATCAGATCTATGCACATTCTTCTCTGTGCCAAGTTGCCCAGGAAGCCTTTGATGTTTCCTTCACCCTCGAGCTACGCAACGTGAGCCTCAAACATCTTCCGTCCCCTGTGCCTAGGCTGAACAATTGCCAGAATATATAAATGTAACACGTTGTGTACAATGTGTGATCATGCGTGCATACATTAACGTCGTGGAACGGCTTAACGGCTTGGCACAGTCAGCCAAACATATTTGAACATGCACCGTACAGATCTGTACAGATCTGTACAACATTGTACAACCATCATATCCATCATCAACTGTCGTCAGCAGGAGCAGCTGCGATTGCAAGTCCCGGTTGCCTTGGGCCAAGCTTTGCAGGTGCCTCCAGCCGATGTGCTGGGAGAGGTGCTCCTTGGCTGCCATGATGGCCATGTCAGTTGATGCACCAATGATATCTGCTGATCACATCTGATCCCAATATACAAGTTCAATAATGTTCAATATGTACTGTATATATATATATATGAATTATATATATAAATATGCATCTGTGATGTATTGTGATATATGATTATATGATGCAAAGGAGGCCCATGTTTGGTGACATATTTCAAAGAAACAACTGAACTTGTTGAGCTGGTGATATAAGAGGGAAATAATAAACTACATAATATATATATATATATACATAGCTATAGCATGCAGGAGACTGTAACTCAAGCTGGTTCAGTGCATGCTGCGAGGATGGTGAGAGATTCCAGCTCGCATCCCGGCTTCTTTCAGAGAGAGATTTCCGCTGGTGGTACGAGGTGGTATGGTCTGAGGCTGTGAGGCGCACAGAATCTCAGAACACAGGACGCTGAACGCAGTGTGACGCTGTGACGCCAAGGTATGACAGCCACACTCTTCACTCCTTCAAGCTGCGGCGCCGCGATGAAACGGACGAGCCAGGCAAGGCGTGGCAAGGCAAACAGCAGAGCATGCAGAGCGAGGCAGAGCCAGATGTCAGCGTAGGTGACGAGCCAACTGAGATCCCGCCAAAGGCGATGCTGAGAGACGGGGAGAGATCTTTACAGTTCTTTACAGTCCCATGCCTTGCCATGCCTTGCCATGCCTTGCCATGTGCCATCTGGTCCTCAGCCTCGGGGGTTCCTGGATAAAGGGTCGGTGACTGTGGTGTGTGCCTGCAGGTCTCCAAAAATTTGGGCATTTCAAGCATGTCAGGCAGGAACCAGTCAGAAAAGACTGGCTCAGGTGGGGCCCTGGTTGTTTAATCAACGGGGCTGAACTGTGTATGGTGTATTGATTGCGTTTTGTTTTGACCTCGATGCGTTCTGTCTCCAGGCGGTGGCAAAGAGAAAGACAGTCTGGACGGGCTTCCAAAAGACTGCATAGAACGGAATGGAGTTGAGCTACTGATGGAGTTTTTGAGTATGTATTTGTTTCACAATGCTGGGTGTCACGGTGTCACCTGATGCATCTTAGGTTGGTGTCCGCGGCAAGCCAAAGCATCCAGGCCCTGCGTTCAGCCCGTGCAGGAGAGGGAATGCTCGAATAGATTTGGTCGTCAATTCCATAAACAAACAAACTGCTGTTTGCAAGCCAATCCAAAAATACAAACAACAGCGAGAACTAGCGAGAGCAGACATGTCCCGCTTTTCCGTGCTTTCTCACATTTGGTAGAGGAGTGGCTTTTGCAACATGTATCTCACAATGCGATGTGAAGTCTGGCGGATTGCCAGCGCACCTGGCGTGGAGCTGCCAGAGCCTCCGCACATGGAAATTGTTGGAATATGCTTAAAATGTATAGAAATGTTAGAATTGAAATTATTGCGGAAATTCTGTGTTTTTGCATTTTGGCAAAGGATGGCACAGGTGTTAGCCAAATTTGGTATCGAAAGAGATGTGGACATTGTAGACATTGCTGCAAACTTCAGTGCGCTATTGTTGGTGTCTTGTTGGTCTTGCTTCAGTTTTTTGTCGCTCCTGAGCAAGGACAGCTCTTTGATGACCGCTTTGCAGCAACGATCCTCAGAGGATGTGATCGAGAAGCTCGGGTGCCTCGGTGAGGTGAAGTCATGTTGCCGTTTAGGGTCTGTTTGATAAGTTGTTGATGCTGTTTGGTCAAGGTTGAGTGGAAACTGGAGCGTCCTGCAGCTCAACACTGCAACACGGTGCCTCTGAGCGCTGCCAAGTATTCAGCCATCGTTGGCCATGCATCCACATGCACGGACACACAATTACATCATACTACGCATGCGTGTAGG